TGAGGATATCCCTGAGATTATTACTCCTTCCTCTGCCATGGACCTTCGTAACAGCAAGTACGACTGGGCCTATAAAACCACGATGGTGAGGCGCGATGACTACGAACGTATTGAGAAGCCGAATACCCGTGGAAAGACCCTTGGTGGCAGCTCCTCCCTTAACTACTTTACATGGGTTCCAGGCCACAAAGCTACCTTCGATCAATGGGAAGAGTTTGGCGGCAAGGAGTGGACCTGGGATCCCCTTGTTCCATACCTTCGTAAGAGTGCTACCTACCATGATGACCCCAAGCTCTACTCGCCTGAGCTTCAGAAGATTGGTGGTGGCGGCCCTATCCCCATCTCTCACGCTGAGTTGATCGATGAAATGGCGCCCTTCCGTGACAACCTCACCAAGGCTTGGAAGTCCATGGGCCAGCCATTGATTGAAAACATCTATGATGGTGAGATGGACGGTCTCACCCACTGCTGTGACACAATCTACAGAGGCAAGCGGTCTGGCAGTTTCCTGTTTGTCAAGAACAAGCCCAACATCACAATTGTGCCCGAGGTCCATTCTAAACGCCTCATCATCAATGAGGCCGATCGCACCTGCAAGGGTGTAACTGTCATTACCGCCGCTGGTAACGAGCTGAACTTCTACGCGGACCGTGAAGTTATCCTTTCCCAAGGTGTCTTCGAGACCCCTAAGCTTCTTATGCTGAGCGGTATCGGTCCCACCCGTGAACTCTCCAGACACGGTATCAACACCATCGTCGACTCCCGCCACGTCGGCCAGAACCTGATGGACCACCCTGGTGTTCCCTTCGTCCTGCGCGTCAAGGACGGCTTCGGTATGGACGACGTTCTCCTACGCAACGGCCCTAAGAAGGAAGCCGTCGTTGCCGCTTATAACAAGAACTGCTCCGGCCCGGTTGGCTCGGGTCTCCTCGAGCTGGTGGGATTCCCCCGTATCGACAAGTACCTCGAGCAAGATGCCGAATACCGCAAGGCGAAAGCCGCGAACGGAGGCAAGGACCCATTCTCACCCTTGGGCCAACCGCACTTCGAGCTCGACTTTGTGTGCATGTTCGGCACCGCCTTCCAATGGCACTTCCCGACCCCCAAGACAGGCGACCACCTTACCGTGGTCGTTGACCTGGTCCGTCCTGTCTCCGACCCTGGTGAGGTGACGCTCAACAGCGCCGACCCCTTCCAGCAACCGAACATCAACCTGAACTTCTTCGCCAGCGACCTTGACATCATCGCCATGCGCGAGGGTATCAGATTCAGCTACGACCTGCTGCTCAAGGGCGAGGGCTTCAAGGACCTGGTGGAGAGCGAGTACCCATGGGAGATGCCCCTCGACTCCGACAAGGAGATGCACAGAGCCGTTCTTGACCGCTGCCAGACTGCCTTCCACCCAACTGGTACTGCCCGTCTTTCGAAGAATATCGACCAAGGTGTGGTGGACCCCAAGCTCAAGGTCCACGGCATCAAGAAGCTGCGTGTTGCGGACGCTTCGGTTATCCCGATTATCCCTGACTGCCGTATTCAGAACTCTGTCTACGCTGTGGGTGAGAAGTGTGCCGATATGATCAAGGCTGACCACAAGGATCTCTACTAATGATGGAATGAAATGATGTAATGTGCCTCAATGATGTTGTGAAACCTAACTTGACAAAAGTTGGCAGATTGTGTCCACGACTTTCAAGGAATTAGTACATAGTTTAGGTAGTTTATGAAATTATGATTGAAGGCTTATGAAACATTGTCCTCAATGGTAGTGGCCTATAGTGACGACGCCTTTTCTACCCTAGTATTGTGAAGTCGCTTTGCGAGCATCGGAAACATCACCGAGTTAGGACTACAAGGAAAGAGACAACACAACGATAAACTGCACCAGGATGCTATCTAGTCAAATCACGCATGGCGTGAGCCTCATTGTGACCCAGGGCACCCAAAAGTATAAATATCAGATCTGGTAGCCTTCGGACAACATTCGTGGCACGGACCAAGTTTACAAGTCCAATCTGCCCGGGACATCGCAGATGAAATGGAACCACGACAAGACACGCCATAACAAACCCACCCTAACAACACGAGCCTCCACCCCAAATTCTCCGGCGGAACACCAAGCCAGTGCACTGATACCAACCCGCACGACAAGACGACGGAAAAATTAACCCCGCAACCTCGGGGTAACAGTAACCGATGGCGTCTTGGCTCTCCGTATATTACCAAACAATGCTAGATTGAATCCCAGCGCCCAGCGCCGAATCACCACCAATTGGCAAAAATGTTGGGAATCAAGGCATTGTCACTGCTGCTCTACGGCGCAGTCGCGCAGAGCAAATACATCGTGCCCGGGGGCCGTTGGCTCGACACGGATGGCAATCTGGCGAATGCGCATGCCGGATGTATTACCTTTGACGAGGCCACGGGGCGATTCTGGTGGTACGGAGAATACAAGACTGAAGGACAGGAGGAGGGTGGGGGAGTCTCGGTGTATAGCTCTGAGGATTTGGCGACGTGGGAATCGCATGGATTGGCGTTGGGTATGGCTGAGAGTTACTTTGTGTTGAGATGGGGGTGCTGATGATTCTTTTGCATAGAGCCGGTGAAGAACCATTCGTATATTTCGCCGGAGAATGTTATTCAGCGACCCAAGGTTGTGTATAGCGAGGAGGCTGGACAGTACCATGTGAGTGAGTACCTTCGGCTGTTATATGTGTCCGCTAATGTCGTTGCAGATGTTCTGGCATGCGGATAATTCTTCCTATGGATTGTTGCTCCAGGGACTCGCTACGTCGGATACCCCCGCCGGTCCCTATACCTTTGTCAATGTTTCGGCGCCGATGGGCAATTGGTCGCAGGATTATGGGCTCTTCACCGACTATAAGGATGGACGATCGTACGCTCTTTACTCCAACGGTGACAGCAAGGAGGGTCGCGATGTATATCTTACTCGGTACAATGAGGAGGTCTCTGAGCTGGAAGAGGTGGTCTATCGATTTGACAAGTTCGATCTCGAGGCGCCTACCATTATCCAAACGGATGACAGTTATTACGCGCTGATGAGCCATAAGACTGGATACAGACCAAACAGTGAGTGAGGCTCTACTTTTTCAGCGACTGGAGCTAACTAGACAGATGTCGTTGCGTTCCGGGCTGATTCGCTGGAGGGCCCTTGGTCCCAGCCGTTCATGGTGGCGCCGCTTAACACGCGCACATTTAACTCTCAGTCCGGGTATTCATTGAAGATTAAGGGTTCGAAGAAGACTACGTATCTCTACATTGGTGACCAGGTACGGTGTTAACAGTGTTGCCACGCGTGTCTCTGCTAACATAAATAAGTGGGACTCGAACTCGCTTTGGGAGAGTCGTTACATATGGCTACCCATGGAGATTGACGACAAGAAGAAAACGCTAGAGCTGGTTTGGAACGATGTCTACGACCTCAATGTGTACGTTTAGCCATCCTCCACGAGGGTATACAAACTGACACGCCATAGAAAAACCGGAGAATGGAAACCAGTCAAAGGAAAGACCTACTACGGAAAGGATGCAAAGACGTCCGAAAATGCATTCAAGCAGGAGGCAGTGAGTACCATTTCACTCCGCTGGACAGTCCACGCCTAACTCTATAGAACTTCGCGAGCGACAACACCATTTTAACCGGCATCTACGGCAACGACAGCACAGTCACGTTCGAAGGTATTGAAGGCACGGGCAAGCCGCAGTGGGTGTCGTTCTACTACCAGAGTAAGTCCCGTTACTTGTTTCAAAAGAGTCCCACTAACAGCCTTGACTAGACACTGATGATATGGGATTCGGAGACCAACGTAAGCTCTATTCTCGTCTTATGTCTTGATATTGCTAACGACGACTGCAGCTGGTGGATCCCCTGATCGCATCGGAGGGGAATGGCAGCTTCGACGTATCAGCAGCGTCGTTGTCAATGGCGACACTTCCAACGTCCACACACTCTATCAGCGGGATACTCACAAGAGCATCATCCTCTCCACTCCGTTGCAATTGACTCTTGAGAAGGGAAAGAAGAACACTATCACGGTCGGTGGACTGTACAACGGATTTGACTACAAGGGAGCAGACCTGGACCGGATCGTGGTGTATCCTCCGGAGAAATAGACTTTCCTTTGCTCTGTATGTTTGGCAATATAGTGATTAGTATAGATGGGCATGGCTAGTCTCTTCACTCGGTTTAATCTCGTTTGAGAGTCGGGTTCCAGGTGCCAAAACGTCATTGTCCGTCTAGGCCATAAGGTAGAATAGTACAAATTACGAACCCGACATTTTGGGTGATAATGTCTACGTGAATTTTCCATATCGTTGCGATATATCAATATAACTACCAGAACGGCAATGAATATATTGAATCTATCTGTGTGTATATATATATAGTCAACCTCTAGTGATAACAACTGTGTAACTCTAAGAAAAACACGTTCCTTCATTGGCAACCAGTTCAACTGCTCCCAGTACAGATGTAGGAGCAGTATAGGCTAATCGACTGTTCTAGACCATGGCTTTTGGCATGAAAAGCTGGGAAAGAGGAAGCTATCATGCAGAGGCCCTGCACTTGTGCATGAAGGACCCATATTTTGCCGAAAACAGTAAACACTATGCCACAAAACCCTCCAAGTTCGGCTGATCTAGTCCCCATTTTGGCTAGCAAGTTTGCTGGTTGCTTTCCTTAATTGATCTAGTTTCTGCTAACTAGCCTGTTTATCTTGGACATTCCAAAATCGGGGTGTCAGCACGCGCTGGCAATCCCATATGTTTAACCCATGAGGAACCGTACGACACCTCTCGAAGTCTAGTTCAGCAAGGTCAATATACTCCTCGGTTTTAATATCCGTAGGACTTGGAAGTTATTTTCCAGTATCAAGGTCATGTAAAATGAGCTGCCAAAATGGCAATGAAACTGTCAAGCAGACTATGGATACCAACAATAACTCCAGTATATAATCGTCGAAGTATCCAGAACATAAAAAAGTCTAAGCGTTCTCATCAACAGCAACAATCAGAGTCGCCATCCTTGTTATCTCCCATGAAGCAGTCCCCACAGTCACAGTCACAATCACAGTCGCAACAATCAGAGCACCAACTATCATCGTACCGCCTTCCCTGCTCTCCTGGGTGTTTTCTTCAGGCCAATATCCCCCACTGTTACTACGCTCAGATTCACTGCTATACTGGTAGTCCCCCTGGCCATTCTCTTTATCCTCGCTTTCCTCTCTCTCCTCTCTCTGAACCTGCTGTCGCTTCATGGCCTGCAGCTCGTGACCCATCCGGACATTCTGCTGCTGCATCGCGGCATTACTCTTTGCCATTTGCTGCTGCAACTGAGCATTTTGTTATTTGCTTTTGCTGCGCATTGTTCTGGCGATGCTGATAGGCTGCCTGATGTTGCAAAGCTGCAGAATGCTGGTTTATCTGAGCGCTGTTGCGGGCGATTTGGCGGCCTTGGACATTCTGCTGGTTTCTGAGGTAGGCAAGTTGTGGACTGGAGCCATTATGGTGCTGGGCGTGGTTGATTCCCGCGTAGGTGGGCCGGGGCAGGGGGGTGTGGTTGCATGTGCTTGTTAAGGACGGGTTTGTGGCGAGTTTGGGCCATGATTTGAATTCGTTGGGTCTCGATCTCGTACGGAATAATGAATTGTGCTGATAAGATTGAATTCAAGATTGGCAAATAACTTGTGTGTTATCTCCGAAAAAAGTATATATATCAGTAGAATGGTGGAGCAATCCAAATCAACATAAGGATTCCTAATTATATCCCAATTGACAACCTTACTCGGCGATTAATTGCCAATTCAGCATCCCCGAGACTCAGTATTCTAAAGGGACCCCGATAGCATGCCGCTACAATCACCACCATTGGCGTTCGAGCCCCAAAAAGCTATGTGGAAAAACCCAGCACGTTCACTGCTGTTCCTCTCTGCCAGTTCTTAACAAAGCACAATCACAGCCTCACCTCATGATACGAGGATGACAGCCATATCTAGAAGCTCAAATGTAAGACCTAAGAACGGTTTCCTGGCTCAGTGTTTACCCTTTTAGGAAATGAGATTATGCAGGCCCGCACGGCCTTTGCTTGGTACCTTCTAGAGCCCGAAGAACCAGAATTAGCTTAACTAACGTTATTTGCCGGCAGTCTGAGCATGGTAAGCTTAGCCTATCACCACCCGTATAGCTGTTGACATTTGCACGTAATATAATTTGGAACAGGTTGGTGTTTGGTCCCAGTCGTGTGCATGACGGGTTCCTTGTTCAGCTGACCCTTACACACTATACATACTATCATTTCCTCAAGTCGGCCGGCAGGAGTATATTCGAGACTCGGATATCTTTCCGGACTTGGCTATGGTTGCTTCTATCGTTACGAAAAGGTCTAGATGGTCATGTTGTTTGTGACAACCTTGTGATGTTGCCAAATTAGGCTGAGTGCCGTGCTTTTCAACGCCTCGTACGGTTGAGTATTTCTACACGTTTAAATGACGTCTGTCTCCTCTTAAACCTGAAAGGTACTTGTTCGTCCTCGGCGGTTAGCCCTGAAAAATAAAACTCTTTCTTTGCCTATTTAACACCCCAATGTCTAGAACTGAACAACGTCTACCAAGACATTCCAGCACTTGTAGAACAAAATTTCGTCGCTGAAGTGCCCATACAACATCAACCATCTATCGGTGTCAGTATGTGTCTAGAAATACCAGTGATAAAATTCCCAAAAAGCCAAGTAGATACTAATCCCAAGCAGATATCCCAGTTACCCCTCCCCAACACAACCAAGCACGACAAGACGCACCAAAGCCACCAAGATCGTCACAGCATGACCACCGACCCCCCCAACTACACCATCTTCGACGCAATCCTCGACTGGGGCTCCACAAACGCACAACAAATCAGCGAAGCGCACCTCTCCAAAGGCGGCTGGGAAGGCTGGGCGCAAGAAGAGATGCGACTTCTCTTCAACGCCGGCCGGGAGGGCAATTGCTACCAGAACAACGCGCGCCAAGCGGCCGACATCGTCCTGACGCCGTACACATCCGGCGCGGAAGCCTTCGCCCAACCATACGTCGACGAGGAATGCGTGGTGATTGAGCTGAAATGCGAGAGCTATTGGAACGCACAGAAGTTCCGCGGCGAGGTCAAGAAGGATATCCAGAAGGTTAATAGTGGGGTTTTTAAAGACCGGTTGTTGCGGGGCGATTGTAATGTGTATTGTGTTGCGTTGGCGATGACTGATGAAGGGGCATATTATATGGAGAGTTTGGGGTTGGAGTTGTTTAGGGATCTGTGGTTGCGCCGTTTCAAGTTTGGTGGTATGTGCGGCAGTTTGAGCCGGAGGATGTTAGTGAGGAGGAGAATGATGATGATGGATCTGATAATGGGTACCACGGTGAACGGGACGGAAGATGGGGTTGTAATTATGCCTAGCCTATATAGTGCGCTGGAGATAAAGTCTGCGTGCGCTGATAGCAATTGTAGACGAATATCTGCTCCATATCTAGACATTCTTAAGATCATCTTTTGTATCATCTCTTAAACCAACAGTGAATGCAAAATGACAATACACCTTTCGCGCGACGATATATCCCATACCATTCATGGGGCTTCACCAAGAGAACCATCGTGGCTAAGGATAGTCCCACAGCAGTCGCCCAGAATATCCAGAAATCACTGGAAACTGTCAATCCACCCTCCTGTTTGACATCGAAAAAGCTCGTGCTGAAAATAGCGGCGACAGCTGACAAAGGTAGGTATATAACGGTTAACACCGTCATAACTCTGGCATTATAATCGGCGGACTGGGTCAGGCGCTGAGTGGCGCTTTGCAGGTCTTCATTGTTTATCGAAGCATGCATGTCACACTGATCGAGGATATTTTGAATTGAAAAGGCCAGATGGGACAGTTTGGAGTCAACGCAATATGTCCCTGCTACTACTGCTCTGGGAGTATCTGGTGATACTGGAGATGTTGGAAGTTCTTGTAAGGATTTTAATATTTGGGAGCACTCTTGAGCCCTCCGCTTCGTAATCGAGAGTAATTTTAATGGACTCCTGCGGGTAGTTAAGATCCGGGAACTATGGCCGGCAACGGCACCTGGTAGCTGGTTTACCATATGTTCGATCAAGACAGTTGGTAGGAGCAAGGGGTGCCATGCGACGCACCTCAAGGAGGCGAGTCGTCCGGCCAGGACACCGATGGTGGTCGCATTGCTCAGACGAACCACAGTAGCAGTGACATTGTGGTTCGGATCGTATTCCATTGTGAGGTAAACCTGGGCATATTTGACATATAGAATTATGGCGACCTTCCCGCTATTAAGAACATATTTGATGAAAAACGATCCATTGGGGCATTGCAAAGGATCCCTGGGCAAATTATGGACAGCCCTAATCTCATCAAATACCTCAGGCGAGAATGGGAGGTGCAGTGCAAGGTCAACCCCGCCAAGACTATCATCAGTAGGATGTTATTCAACATGAAGTTAGTGCAAAGGACTTGTGAATCTTACAGGATCCGAATGGAATTCTCTTGCTGTGGATGTTCACGACCTTGTATCCAGGTTCCGGGCATGTTTCCTGCGGCTGTTTGCTCGAGAGGGGATGTTGCTGATCCTTGAAAACATACGGTGTAGGAATACTGTGGAGATGTTGGGTTTCCACGAATCTGGTCGCTCATCTGGAGTGTCATGGCAGACGTGATTGTGTGCATGGATACTTTTGCACAGGTAGTGTTGAGTGTTTGATGTTGGACTCTAGCCCCGCATATATTATAATTTCCTTCCTCTTTTTTCTTTTTTCTGCTTATCAGCCTTGCATCGCCTCAATGTGTTGGCGTACCGAGCAGAAATCCGTCGTTAATTCGTTGGCCAGAAACGCCTCAAGAGGCTTAGCCATTGCCAAGTGTATTGCAATCTGGTGACTGCGATATTGGTTCGACAACTTGTTTACATAGCTATCATTGTAATCTTGTATATGCCCTTTTCTATCATATACATAACTTAAGAAAAGAAGTTCGCCGGTAAACTAGATGTTTATTCTTGAATAAAGTACATAGATGAATTTAATCATGGTAGTAATATTGCAAGAGTAACTAAACTAAAAGACTCACCACTATGACCGAACCCTAGTTATACTATGAAAAGATTCTCTACAGATATATATCAAAACTCATCGTCTTCTACAAACTTTCCTAATTTTTAATAGTCGTGAATGTAATTATCTTTGCTATTATATTACACTAGTAGATGAATACGATACATGTACCTCCAAGCAACAGAGCATAACATATTTCCAAGATAGAGAGTTGAGACTGGGAAATGATTGAAAACAGTAGACTTGCATACTAAGGCCTTTACATCAGGCAAGATTAACGATTTTGACAAATTTACCTTATCACCAGCTAACCACCGTCACAAGTAGTACGCAGGATGGACTTCTGCACTGTACAAGCATAGCCTTTCTAACACTGAACGGACCCATCTGCTAGAGCCCAGACAGGACCCGAAACAGCGTCTGGGTCAGGGGTGGTATTAAGATTCTGATCCTTAAAGGCTTGTGGAACAAGGCCACCCATTTGGGGATTATTTTCTGGACTCAATAACTGAATGTTCGTAGACTTGTCGACATTGAAGTCTAGGTTTGTTTTGGGTGGAAGGTTGAAGTTCGAATACAACGTGCAGGTGCGATGGCCCGATTTAACAGACTCTGGAGTTGAGAACTTCCAAACATAATTGGCACACGAATCGAGTCGTTTCAAGCATTCCTGGATGCAATCACATTCGTTTTTGACATGGGGAAATTTGAGATCGACTTCAGTAGTAACACCGGTCACGTCAAATCCTCGGGTATATCGAATACAGCCGTTGTTAACGGTTTTCAGGCCCGGGCAGATCAGGGCTTGACTGGATCCCTGCTGATCGTGGACAGAGGCCGGATTTGCAGATGCAACTCCCACTAGAAGAGAGACAAGGAAGCTGGTAATGTATGTCATGTTCGGAGAATACAGCGAATACAATTGAAGGCATTAGAAGGTAAAACGGAAATGCAAAAGATCCCCGCAACCTATATAGGACGCGCGGAGCGTGGTCCATCGACTGCTTCGCCACTTCCCAAATAGCGTTTTGTGTTCCAGATGAACTGCTTCACCACCCAACCAGGAGGGAGAGCGGGAACAGGTGAAGAGGGCATTTTGACTTTGCGTAGTGCGAAAGCACCTAAAGTTTAACACAAGCTTTCTTGTAAAGCTTGGCCAGACTGATCCATATCTTAAAGCACAGTAACGTGCTTCAATCCACATACGAGACCCATGGCACGAATCCTTTCTGTGACAGACATGTTATCTCAAACTTAGAGAGTGTAATTGTTTGGGCGGTCAATGAGGCTGGAGAGTTGGTCTTAAAATACGTGCTTAAAATTCATATCTCACAGTTTTCAAATACATGGTCGATGAGATTATATGACGACCCGTGCCACGGTGGGGTAGCCGATGGCCGGTCTAGGCTTGCTCGCCGTCTGATATATGGAGTGTAAGGTGCCTATTGAAGGTGTAGCATGGATCAGCTGAGCATACGGTGTACGCCGCTCGGAGTCCTAGCCGATGATTTTCGTTGGATATCACTCTATTTATAAACATGTGGCAATTGGAACCATTTGTGAAACGATCCAGCACGTCATACCGCCAAAAATACAAGTTTGGGAAGTAGTCACTTAATCAATCGCGCAAGAGCGACTGATCTACTCTATAAAATTGAGTTACTAGGTCGACTGGCCATTGGTGACATAGTTATGTGGTATTGGATATTTACGATCCACGTCCGCTATCAGTATCAAATAGCAAGCTTTGGGCACTGCCAGGTCAATTCACAAGTCAACCAGGGGATCCTTGATTTGGATTTCAAGGCACGGAGAAAGTAGATTGATTATCAAAGCCATGACTTGCAAATAAGGGCGATAAATGGCTCCGTCCAACACATTACCTACCTTCTCATCGTCATCTTGTATGTGGCGGGCTTAAATTCCGGGACTTCTGAACCTAGCTGTAACCTCAAATGACTTCATATCTGGCCACCGATGAACATATCCATGGGGAAGGTGTCTCCAGAGGCAACATATAAGAAGCGGTTGCACAGGTGTTGAACACTCCACGCAAGAAGCCCAAAAGGGACATAGCAATCTATTTTCAGGAACCATAATACCCACCTCGAAGATTCTTTGACGCTATTATGTACGTTAATATAGCTTCTGCCACTCTTATAATATCTGTCTGCGCTGCTGCTGTGGCTGCTACAGCAGCCCACGGGCCCAAACCCAAACTATGTGGTACGTACACCACAGGCGAGCTCTGCACTACAAATTCGGCCTGTGAGTTTATCTGCGCAAACTGGTGTGCATATCATTGCAGTGGCTCTGCAACTTCTCCATATACATTCAAGTGCCAAAAGGGCTATTGCGAATGCACCTGTTACACATAAACGAGAACCGGTATGCAGATAATCCTGCGTCTCAGGAACATCCGGACAGACGATCTGCAAAAGTGTGCTTGCGTTCGTTAAACGACCATTATGCTGTTACATATTTCTTTTTCCAGGATAAGTTGAGACTGTCCCGCACTATGATTGAGACATGTGATGTAACCAAGGCATATCTTTGCAGTTAGGGCACCGAGCTCTTGTTCATTAGCAGGCGTTACAAATGCTCGCGCACATTCTCTCTAGGTCTCTTTAGGGATCAATTTGGTGCTTAAGCTGATTTCCTATTTTTGACCACATCACATTGCACTATCCTTGTTCAAGACTATTTCTCTTATAAAGCGTAGCTTCGAGAGCACCAGGATTCTAGGCCTGGAAAGTCGATGGCTATGCAGGAAGGGCGAATATGAGTTTCGTGTAAGATCCAGTATTATACTCGACAGCAACGTTCTTGAAAATCGGACGGATGCTATTCTTAGAAACAGGATTATTTGTCCATAGTATGATATTAGTTGATCGATTCTCCCGAAGTATTATCGCAGTTGAAGAATGACTTGGAATTTTCAAGTTCATAGTACAGATTCTTATAAGTATGATAGACGGTAAATTGCGTGAGATTTGAACTTGAATTACTGTGGTAGAACTACCACAATGACGCGAATCAGAGGATGGCTACTCTGTCGAATGATCTTTAAGGCATAATCATGTAGTCCGGCTGAGAGGGCAACACTGGCGGGAATACCACGGAATCAAGTGCCTATATAGACCTGTGTGAGGTTTCTTCAGGGCTGTGGCAAATGCTGACATCGCTAGCATATCATAGTTTAGCGAGAAGGGACAACCATCCCCCACTATCCCCTTTGACAAGCTTATCCTCCCAATAGTTAGGGTTGAATGTCAATTCGCTCAAGGGCTTAAGACGCTAGACTCGGTGAAACAAATCCTTATAGACTTTACCGTCAAATGATCCGAGCGCACTTGGCAGAGTTGCATCAGCATGGTCCAACTGGGCAACATTAGAGTGGCTAGTCTTATCTGTCTAGAAAATAATCAGGAATTTTCCATCCATCAACCAGGCCGACAGCATAAGGCTCACTCCGAGCCATGAGCTGTCGCACACGGTTTGGTAGCTCATCGAGATCGTGTTGCGAAACCGCCCCGGAACGGAATACTACCTGGCTACTAGTTGACCAGCTGAGCGTGTCATGGGCGTTTCTTACAGTCGTAGGCCTGCGTTTCCATGTGAAAGAAAGCAAATAGAAGGTACAGATCACGCAGTGTGTCCTTCGCAGGTTGGGGCAGTGATGGATGGTTTTCCAGGGTATCATGGAATATTTTGACTAGGAGTGTAAGGGACTGGGCTAGATTTGGTCCATCAGCTGAATCATTGCATAGAGTATCGTATCTGTGAGCAACTGTGATCAAGTCCTAGTGCTACTACGACAAGATGCTGTACAGAAATATTTCAAAACTCATCGTTTTCTACAAACTTTCCAAATTCCTAATGGTCATGAATGTGATTATCCTGGCTCTCACATCGCACTAGCACACTAACACGATACATGTCCCATGTACTTCCAACCAACAGAGCAAAATATTGTCTCTTAGATAGATATTTGAGACTGAGAAACCATATGAAATGGGCGCATTGCCATACTAAGGCCGTTTTATCAGCCGTCTTGTAAAAGTAAACACCCTAGGCTGAAGGGGATGATTTATTTGAGTTGTCTATCCATTCTTTGATCGTCATGACCTTCTTGGTGTCTTGGATATACGCAGTATTGCGGAAAGTATCGACTAGAAAAGACAGACGTTAGTATGAACTCTACGCCAAGTAGGCATCCTCCGCTTACCCTTTGCTTGCATCTCCTTCCAACCCGTCACAACGTTATTGAGTTTGGCTCGCTCCAAAGCGACGCCGCGAATAGTCTGCCCGAGGTCAATCTGGTTTGAAATAGAGTCCAAGTGGTCGCTCATTTGCTGCCAAACCGTGATGAGTGAGCCTAAGATCTCGATGGCAGGCCCGATCAGGTCGATGATCGTTTGCAGGTCGGCCTGCAGAATCATGGAGTTAGTAGTTTGAAAATGCAGCAAGGGAGAGGTTCTGATTTACCTTCATACGGGTGAGGTCGCCATCGATGGCCACGTCGGCCTTGAGAATTTCCTCGTCTTTTTTGATGAGGCCCTCGATTCTTTCAATAGCTTTCCGCATCGCAACCGCCTTGCTACCGTAAATTGATGCTGTGGTAATGGCAGCAATGAAGCCGAAGATTGTACTGGCCGTCATTCAGTACTGTATGATTAACAACCAAGGGATACTCACCACCATGCATACGCAGGGGTTGTAGAAGCCACAATGACATCTGCCAGTGAAAGTGAGCAACTGTCGGCAATACAGGGATATTGGCGACCTACCGTGTTTGTACTCTTCCTGTGCCGCCCTCAAGTCATTCTGTGCCTTTTTAATTTCATCTCGTATCTTTGTAATCGCACCGTTCTTGTCAGTGAGCATTTTCTGTACTTTCCCGGCTTCGCTGTCGAGGTCCTGCTGGTTTGTAGAGCATTTGCCTTTAAAGGCGTTGAGAGCATCGCGCATCTTGGTGCTCTGATCACTCAAATCCTTCAGTTTCTCCTTGAACTCCTCCACGTAGTCCTTCACATCACTGGCCTTCTGGTCAATTTGCTTCTTGTCTGCATTGCTCTTCTTGAGATCATTATAATCCCCGATCAACTTCAGTAGCTGAACATAGAAGGCGCCATCTATGTTGCCTTTGCCGCAAGCCTCCTCACAGTAATCCGAGATACGGGCCGCCAGGGTGACCATGTCTGGCCAGGTCTTCTGGCTGAATCCAGTACATTCGGTGTTGATCTGTTTTGAATCCAATGTTAGAAGAATTGGCGCCGCATGACAGTATATCTGGGGGATTACTTTTGAGTAAGTAACAAGAACATTGGACATCGCTTCCTTTACATCGGAAGGGATTGCGGTCTCCTCAATTTGCATCCGGTTACAGTAGTTCTTTGTTGTAGTCGGCAGCAAAGCGCCGGCGTAGACGTACTGCATGAGCGACACCATCTTGGGATGAGAGAGGACAAAGACATCCTGGCTCTTGGGCTGGTCGTTGGGGGTTCCGTTGACTTTGACGATTAGATTCAGATCGGGAAGCCATTTCTTGAGGTCGGGATCTTCGGTGGCAGTCATGGTAGTCATTGTGACTGATGGATTGGATTTGTTTCGAGGAGAGCGGATGAGGGCTAGCAGAAGAATATGCTGTTTGTTGTTGGAAGTTGAAATCGGCTGTAGGTTGGTGCTCTATATAAGGGTATCCCCAATGACCATTACTGGTAGGATCAAGTCCACATGCCTGGCAGCTGCCTTGATTCTGATCAGCCCCAATATCGCAAAGGTCTATAGGCTATGCCCGATAAGAATCACCCCGAACGTCTCCGAATGTTGAGCGAGATAATCTCTCTATGTTATCCGTGGTGATACTTGATTGGAGAGATTGAAAATCGACTCCCATACAGTCCCAACCGTCTAATGCAGCTTTCAGCTCTCCTCTCAGGAATGACGTAGAGTGGAATTTTGTCCCCAAGTGACGACGCCACCCGTACGATGTTGCTCAACCCATATCGCTTGGTTGCGTCTCATGGTTGGCGCTCGAATTACGTACTTCGGACAGTCGTGCATAGTGTGGCTTCATCACTTATGCAGCCGTGCGTGGAATATCACAGACGCATGAAGGGATCATATTATCACTCCACCGCAACCTGCATATCTCTCATGCCAGTATGATAAAGATGCATTTCCATTATTAACAGCTATCAGTCACATGGCTAATGCATGCATCGCTAACAGCAGGAGGCCTGACGTGGCCATGCAAGAATACCACGCAGGAGCTGCGCAGCTTAGCTCCTACAGTCAAGCAGCCAAAGCCCCCCCTTGCCCCTCACTTTCACGGCCATTTATTTCCGTTGTAAGTTGTACAGCCCGAGTGCTTGTAGCTCTCTTTTCTCTATTCGCGAAACGTTTTCCAAAAACCGTCGTCTCTCCATACCAATCACAAAGCCAAACCATCATGGCCCAACTCTGTGCCCCTGCAACCAACAAGATCAACCTGTTCAGTCTGGACAGTGTCGACTTTAACCCTGGTCTGTGGTTCGCGACTTTTGCAGTCACTCGGCATTTGCGATACCGGACATTGATCAATGCATATGGTATGAACAACGTAAGCGATCATTCCCCGAACGGCTTCATCTTGAAATATCCTGAACGCTATCTAGTACGACCACAGCGGGACTCCAGGTGTATTCGCTCTTCATGTGCGGGTGAGTCAGGGTTTCCTCTACCAAATGATTGGTGACTGACCGTTCGATAGGTTGTCCCTTTGGGCGCGGGAATTTTGGTCAGGTCATTGTTCAGCACAACCGGGCGGATTAGCTAACAGTCTTGAATAGTCGGATTTCCAGCGAATGGGCCAAAGCTGTGACGATACGATCAAGCTGGCTGATTCCGCTGCGCAGGTATACGGTGAGCGCTGTCGATCTCCGAAATGACCGTAGCTGACTAGCAAATCAGATGATATCTTCGGGAAGATTTCCACTTATAAGAAAAACAAGGAAACAGATCATGCCCAGTTTTACAAAGAGAATGCAGAGAACGCGATCAAGGCACAGCAGCATCGTATTCAACAGGCTGCTGTTCTCTTCCAGACCACATCCGAAGGCCTGGGCTACGCGCTCGCAGACATCCCAGAGCTGAAGCCCTTGACTGATTACTGGTGCACGTGGTACCAGACTGAAGCAAGGAAGGATATCCAGAACGAGGGCGTCAAAAGGCTGTTGGTATGTGGCGTTCCTGTGGGTCCTTGGGTTTGGATTGTAACACTCGTGCAGGGAGACACTACCACACTGAGGAAATCATTGGACACCGCTGAGCCTAGCTTGCAAGCGATGAAAGGTGGCCGCAAATGGCAATCCGAACTGTTCTGCTTCCTGCTGACATGCTTCAGGCTATGCGATTGCAGTCATGCAGGATTTCCAAGTTACTCACGACTGGGTCAAGGTCGAACATCTTGACAAGTCAGACGAATACTTGGCACAGCTCCACAAGAGCGTTCTCGCTCGTTGGGACGGCCGCAAACAGGATGGTAAGACTGCCAGAAATTTTCAGAGCGTGCCTGCTGATCGTCCAACAGCCCAGAATTTCAAGGACACTGTCTTTGCGTACTGGAACCCACGAGCCCAAGAGGCCCTGAATGGCTCGTACGCTGAACGAACTGCGCATGACAATCCCGGCCCGAAATAGATAGGTTTTACTTTCGTACGATGATCTGCGGTTGCTGTTTGTAGTTCTGCAGAAATGCACTGCCTTGAAAAACCAACTCTGCCAGTCCAATCTGTACACGTCCTGCCCCACTGCACCCTTAGCTTTTCCCCGCTTAAGACAGCCACTCGTATCCCTTGCCATACATAAATTTCAGCGGGATTCCCGACCCGGACGGGCCGCAGTTGCAGGGTTGCTGGTACCCACCACTAGTCAATCCAACAGTAATTAAATCAAAATATATGGTTGTAAACTGATATTTGACCAGTCAACAACAATGGGCTTGATCACATTATCCCTGTAATCTATTCTGTTGAACGGTAATATACCGAATCACCATACGAACACCCCGCAGCTACATGCATGTATGCACCAATACTAGTCTGGATGAACACGTCTCAGCTCAGCTCAGCCATGTGCCGAGATAAATCCCTCACATCCATTTCCAGCGGGAAAAGGCAACCTGCCGATCTAATCTGTAGCTTTGCTCCGGGGTTGAAGCGAAAGATATTGACGGATAATTTGAGAACTGATTGGGGCATGATTCTCTCCCACGATATCAGCCCGTCAGCTGAGCAGCCCAAACACCTACACCTGGGAGGCTCGTCTTAGCCACGGTATTATAAAGTTCACCTGTATAGGAAAGGTTCATTGCAACATACCCAGAGTCGAAATGAATAACCCTTTCCCGCAAAGCCCAAAGTCGCCCGCCGAATGGGAAAAGTATGCGACTTCCCCCCAGATCAGTGGAATTCCATTGAAGGCTGAAGGGGCCATACCAACCAAGCCGGGCGACGTAAGTAATCAATGCCACCCGCGGAGCAAAGCCACTGACTCTTCCGATACAGAACGCATTCATGCGAGATGTCTACATCGATGTGGCCAAGGTCATCGCAGCTGAGCCCTTTCAAGTCACAGCCGCGGCAGATGTTCTTGGCTTCCACCCCGACACCACCGTCGACCTGTCAAAGGCCGCGGGTGGTATACAGCTGTATGGCAGGGTATTAACCGCGGATTCTCCGGTTAACATCAAATTGCAAACAAAGAATGTGGCTGCAGGCTCGTTCACTATCTACGGCACCACTCTGGACCAAAAGTTCACCTACTCGGTCGACGGAGTTGACGATGTTGATGAAAAGGTTCAGAACACCCTTGGCCTTGGCCCGGGTACAGGTAATATTGGATTGGACATAGTAATCGACAAGTCAAAAAAGCCAGCAGTCACCACAACGTGGATAAAGGATTATAGCCTTTGCTGGGACAATTATAGGCTGGTGGACACCCTGGCCACCCAACTGCGCATTGCGTCCATCCTATTCTGGAGCCATCCAGATCTCGCCCTTGAATTGACCGTTTACGTGGCTCTCTGTACAGGGAGCAGTGATAAGTATGACGGAAGCACCAACCTTCAGGCCGTGAGTCTGGGTCAACAGCTGGCCATCCAGAAGCTCCTTGGGCCAACGGGGAACTACGTCCCCGTCCTGGCCGTGGACAAATATATCGACTCCCAGACTCTTCTATTAAATACAGGGGAAGCCTTTCAAACACAGTATCAAAGATTCCAGGATCGGAATAATGATCTGCGAGACCGGCACGCCGCCTGGACGGAAATGGCAAGCAAAGCGGGAGACCAGCTCACAAATGCAAAACAGCTCCGAGACGAAGCGGAAACAAAGTATAAACATGTCCTCGACATTGTTGGTTCTTGCGAAGCCATGATGAAGCAGGATGAAGATCACATCAAGAATCTGGGAGATGCATACAAGAAGGGGCTGGATGCTTGGCAGCAAAAACCAAAGAAATGGGCCATCTTCAAGATTCTCGGCGCCATCGCCGGTATGCAACTCTAGTCCATTTCCTACATCACTAACTAACTGAGCTCTTCAGACTTTGGTTTGTCCATCGGCATGCTATTGCTGGGCAGCTCAGGGGGCAGTGGCCCAGTCAGCAAAGCCATCAACGCAGCCGAGAAGGTCGAACAAAGCGGCGAGGCCGCAAAGTCCCTACTCAGGTCTGACGTTCTCAAGAAAATAGCTAAGGGTGCATCGACAGTATACAAGCTGTATCCAAACATCTCCAAGGCAATTAAAAATCTCCAGGAGCTCGAGAAGAATCCAGATGCAGACGTCAGGCCGATCCAAGAGGTCCAGGGTGATGCCGCCGATGCAGACGCGCTTCTGTCCATTGCTGAATGGGATAAATGGATAGAAGATGCCAACAATGGGTTAGCTTTGGCTGTGAGTGAGAAGGTAGATGGCGCAGCGGCTTTCCAATCGGGGCTTCGAAAGCACTCCATCAATGGAAAGCTGTTGGCGCAGGCCAAGGCAGAGGCCATCAAGTCTGCACAGGAATATATCCATGCATATATGGGGGTAGTCCTAAATCAGAAAGACTTCAAGAGACTTACAGAATTGGAGACAGAGTTTAGAAAGAACCAGAAGTTGACGGAAGAGGTAGAGGTCCGGTTGTATGACCGGTACATGGCCGCTCGAACTAGCATCCTCATCCAGATGCGCAATGTCGCGTGGGCCTACAAATTTGCCGTGTTGGATAACGACCCGATCCAAATCGATCCAGTGAAGAATGTGCAGGATTACCGAAAGGACCTCTCTGACTTGGTTATGAAATTGCAAAGGTTCAAAGAGCAGTACCCAGGTGGCCCCTCGCGTAAGTCCGGCTGATCCAAGAGGTTAAAGCTTGCTGACATAGGACTATACAGGATTTGACACGAAGATCATATCATCCCAGAATGTGAGCTTATTAGTCTCCCTCCTCCTGTTTCCTTAATTCAACACCACTGACTTCTCCAGCTGCCGGCCCCATACAACGCCCAAATCGTTGAGCAGCTCAAAGCCTCGCATAAAAGCACTTTCACGTTTATCCCCAAGGTCCCGAAGACACACGATCACAGTCCCGCTGGTCCATTCTACGACGGGTCTCACTTTCGCATCAACAGGTTGGAGATCACACTAGTTGGTGCGAAATCTAATGTCACAGATCAGAACGAGCCGGATTTTGCCTTCAAGATATCTACATCCGGGGTATACAATGATATATTTAAATCAGACATCTTCAACTTTGTCGGCCCTGTGTTCTCCCGCGAGTACTCGTATAATATTGTCGACGGAAAGCCTGTCACGGATACAGCATTCACCATCAATACAAATGAGTACAGCGCACCACCACCATTTACGAGCTGGACAATCGAGATAACGAATCCGGGGTCACTGGATCTTTCTGGTCTCACTTCCATGGGCCTTAAGTGGCATGGTGAGAAGTACAATGAGGAATTCTTGGGGTAATGAATGGCTTTTTACGGGGTCCTGCTTTTAGTGGATATAGTTGCGAGACTTTAGGCTGAATTTTGGGCCTCACGAGAATATCAGCTGCTTGCTTTTCAAAGCAAAGAATGCCCTTAAATGTAGCTCTGAGCCGGTCTCTCAGTATAGCGTCAGACAGGGGTCGCACGTGTATTGAGCCAATGCTCATTTAATTGAGAGTAATTCCAGTCAAGAGTTGGATGAAAATTCTGTCTCGATTCTCGAATTTGTTCAAGCGACGCTGTAAAATATTATTCCCAATCGTTTTGGTCATCATTCGGAAATTGATACTTTGGATCGCAAAATATATGCTCCTCTTTCAGCTACACGAGATCTCCATGGTCGGACCTGCAAGCATCTTCTAATATTCGGAACAACATGTCAGTGGGCGCTAGAGTAATTTCATTGATCCTGATCGAATGTACGGTTGGAACTCGCACAAGGACGATATTCCCCTGTCCTGACCTACATCTGTATATGCCCAGCAGTAAGATTGAACGGATGTTTCCAAGCAGAATAATATATATAAATGCTTAATTTAATAATACGCTTCTATCTTGAGTATCCATGATAATGCTCCATTTCTACTCCGCCAGACATGTTTCAATGACACATTGTTGATCCCCCGGAGCTGACCAGACCTGAACAAGCTTGAGAGGTGGTTCCACCGAGGCCAACAGCTCATTCCACTGTGTCTGAGTACGCTCCATCCCGTTAGTGAAGAACAGCATCAGCATATCCATGTTACTCCTCATCATTGACTCATTCACATCGGAAAGGATCATTTCATTGATGAGAAGACGGGAATGAGGCTGCATAACCTTCGCAATATTGGAAAGGATTTTTCGCGAGGCGATATCGTCCCAGTCGTGAAGGATCGATTTGAGGTAGTATATATCGGCCCCTACATCAATTTTAGCACTTTAATATAAAGAACGCTCATTATGCGAGCTATTGCTTCTCTTTCAGTGTTTGCGTTGAAGACCTACCCTTTGAAGTCTGCTCTGTAAAGAAGTCATGCGAAGTTGGCTTAATTCGAGAGTCAAGCTCTCCTGGAATCCCAGCTATAGTCTCCGGGAGGTCTTGCAAGATCAGCTCGCAGTCTAACTCAGGGAATGTATCCGCAAAACGCTGTAGATCAACCCCCTGGTTACCACCCACATCAACAATGATTGGTCTTGTCGACAGTGTGCGTGCGGCTAGCCTCTCCCCAACCGGATATTTCACATGCCACGGGACAGAGAGTGTTTTGTTCCGAGCGGTCATATTGTCGTCAAAGCCTTTTTTCCACTCGGTGTCTTTCGCGAGTGTTTGCCAGATGGTCTCTCCCATCGCGAAGTCGTATGCTGGCGGTGTTTTGCTGATATCAACAGGTCTGTTCTGCCGGAGATACTGCCGAATTCGACTTGCAACGGGGAAGACAATGTCATTGCTGATCGGGGGGGAGTAACGTTAGCACAGGTTTGACCGTAGCAGAACGATACTACAGAGATTGGGGAACACTCTACGAGATAATCATGCCTCCAATGGCACCTGACGTGTTTTGAGCCAAGGTACACCCATTTGCAGTGTAAGTCTGATACCCAGTCTCATTTGCAAAGCCGATGGCCGTTAGCATGCGCATCACCCGAGCTGCGATATATGAAATGCATTAGTCCAAAAGCCCCATCAAAGCGTCTTCTAATAACAGCCCCGATACGTACCAATGAGGACGACATTGTACCCGGAGGCCTTAGACAGGTCCTTGGCAGTCAGACTCTTGCCTTCATTAGCAGCCAAGGTCTGCAGCAGGCCCATCTCATGCGCCACCAGAATGCAAACATTGTTCACTGTCTGTTATGCGAGAGTCATTGTTGTTTGCGATGTGTTCCAAGAACTGGTAAAATAGAAGGGATGCAACATACCTGAAGTCGCTGTTTCATCGTAAATATGTGAGGAGGCACCAGCTCACGACGCACATTTTCCAGGGCATCTTCTAGCCGGATCCAACTCACAGGGTCATCGTTGTTGTACTTCTCAATGACCTGCTGAAGCTCGACGGCGAGGCTTGCCTTGTCTTTCATGGTGGTTAGCGGTCGCTACTTGGTTCGTTCCTCGCTAAGGCGACTGAATTGATGAAGCTTATGGGCTATACTAAGCTGGCGGCCACATCACGCCTCTTAAATACATTTCAATCACAGGGCAAGACTACCAGGCATCATGCCTCGGTAAGGTAGAAAGGCTTCCCTTTTGCCGTACTGTCAAACATCCCCCGCCAACCCCGCCACCAAGTGGAGCCAGAGAGAAACAAAAAGGGGACATCTCTGCCGTGGTGTCAGCGCTAGTGGACCAAGCCCGATCATCCCTGCAAGAGTAGCCACCTTACCCGTCCGCAATTATGATGACATGCATTAACCAAGCCCGCTGGAGTGAAGGCTTGCACACTTCGTGGTCAGGCCACTCTCCTGTAGCAATCCCCTGCCTGATGCACAGATCCCTGTGCAGCACAGCACGAAAGACTTTGGCAAACAATGTAAAACAACTGATTTACAAAATGTAAATGCAACAGAGTACAAACCTGCAGCAGTACACCGTGTGCTTTTGGCCCCAGATCACCTTTACCTTGATGCTGAGGGGCAGGCTCAAAGGTCTTTCTCACCTGCGTGTAGACCAGATAGGATACTTAACACTTGCATCTCCTATGGGGTTGTGGTGATCCACTTCCTTCTGTCGTGATATCCTCCTTCTTTCCGATCACAGCGCAGCCCGAAATTCAAGATGGGATATACTTCTATACAGACCGCCATTGTAACTGTACACTGGACGCTGACTTCCGTGGCTGCTGTCCTGTTCGCTGCCCGTGTTTATGTGAGGTTACGGCTGCGACCAGGCTCCTTTGGATGGGATGATTGGTGAGTACCCTTGCCCGAATTCCGAATAAATATTTTGAACCTCCGAGACCGAAAGCTCACTTCCTTAGGACCATGCTTCTGTCCCTCGTACGCATTCTCTGTGGCAATGAAGATAGCTGTATATCTGCTAAACGGACGACAGGCATTGGGAATCGGCACTGGGGTGGTAGAAACTTCCCTTGTCGAGGTTTGTTTCTCTGCATTAACATTGTACATTTCATGTCCACGACACTGACGGTGAGATACAGCACGGAATTGGCAGGTATGCTCATATAAACTGAGGGTCACGGAAGTGTCACGACACCTGACACCATTCTACCAGGCACATGGATACTGTCGACCCATCAAACTATCCCACTCTCTCCAAGCTAACTCTGATCGCTTCCATACTGAACCTACTTTGTACGATGACGCTGAAAATATCTCTTTCCATATTCCTACTCCGCATGGTGCAGCAGGCGAACCGGACTGTCCAACGACTTGTTATATTCAATCTTATCAGCCTTGTCCCCTTCACAGTCGCGGTCATCATCGTCGATCTCGCCCAATGTGTGCCGCTACAAGGCTACTGGGACAAGTCCATCCCAGCTAAATGCATAGACAAGCACACCGTCAACATCCTTCTCAAGGCCGCTTCCGGTAAGTCAACATCCGGCGAATTCTTTACCTCTCGGGCAGGAGTCAATTGCCTAACCATTCCTTACAGGTGTCGGTGTTGTCACTGATTTCATGACCGCTGTGATCCCCATGTTCATCATCCATAATGCCCAGATGCCTGCGAGGCGGAAATTCGTCCTCTACGCAATCCTCGCACTAGGTTTTTTGTATGTTACGTGCCAAAGAATCTTCTCCATATATATTCGTCAGGCTGTCTAACTATCTTGTCCACAGTATCGCTGCAGCTTCCATAGTGAAGACCGTCTCTATCGACTGGAGCCCAAAGGACTACACTTGGGACAACGCCAAGATGGCCCCCTGGGCGTCCACTGAGCACCAGGGCGGGATGATAGTGGGTTGTCTCGTGACCCTGAGGCCGATCTTCCAACTTATGCGGAGGCGTATCCATTCCAACCCCCCTAGGGAAGACTACGATATGGCTGTGCGTGGACAGCAGGCACCACGAAGAAACAAAAGGGAGGTGGACGAGCACGGCTTGCTCTCTGAACCTATGGAGATTATGAAACAGACTAAGGTCGAGGTACTGGATGAAGCAAGAGATTCGCAGACAGATGGATCTGAGGACCCGTGGGATTACAGGTCGCGGTAGACGACAACGCGTCAACAATAGGAATGGTATGAAGTGCGGGATTACCATCCTTAGAATAAGTATATTACTAGGCCGCCTTGGCTGAAATCCCAAGACAATCCCATATCTTTTTGACTAACCAGCCAGCACTTCCAATTATTAGTGAGTGAATGCAACCTAACAACCCCACGTAACCCCGCCCTGCGTCCAATAAGAAGAGGAAGACAAAAAGAAAAGAAACGACGAAGAGGAATTATTAAACGTAATACTCCATAATCTTATTCGTGGTCAGACACAAAATACAACGTTAGTGGGAGATCCATTTCCCTTCCGAAATCCGTCCGATAGCTAGCCGTCTTCACCGCCTGCACGAACCCATTACCCACTGGTTTTTCTCTGTCTTGTCGGGAACCCGCATACCAAGCTTCTCGCGGAATGACTTCCAATCGAGGCAAGTGGGGTCTTAGTAGGGTGATCAAGCCCCCTCAGGCTACGCACAGGGACCAGGAGTAGATAGCAGCACCGTACGGGGGTAGATGTCAGTCCGTGATGCAAGGCTGACAACATTACAACGAGTAGATAAGTATTTGGCATACTTGGACACCTATCCGTCGTTTGACCTAGTGGGAAACCCCACCCAGCCCAGCCATTTAGGTAAAGGTAGCAGGTGCCAGGGTAAGGAGCATTTAGATTGTGGTGCAAAGGATTTAGGGTCATCGCATCCGCTACGTGACAATTCAACAAGAGTATTGCCGGCTCATCCGGTTCCGTTTCGGCAACCGTGTTTGCTTGTTCTATATTTTTGGAAATTAAACTTCCATTCTTCGATAGCCATTGGATCTTGTCGAGTTCTATATTCTACAAGTTGAATTCAATGCTGTGGCGAGATAGCCGGAGCATTGAATACGCAGGTCCAAGCAAGATGCCAGATTGGCTGCAAACGAGCGGGGGTCCTCTGCATTCGAGCTGGTCGTGCAGGCTAGCAAGCGGCCATCCGTAGGATGGCTCAAAAACTCTATTGATCTTACCGTACTGAGCGGAGTGTTGATCACAGCCAGCACGGTTGTTTCATCTTAGTTGAGTAATATACCACCTTCCAGAAGAGGGAGGCTGGCACTGGCATCTGGGCGCCTGGCAGTGGCACAATATTATCCTTCCCGCTACTGGAAGCTCGTAGCATGATATTACAGCAGCTTCAGATTTCTTGTCATTCTTGGTCAAGACATATGTGCACATGGATGAAGTTCTCACATTGCTACGTTTGCCTTTCCACCAGCAGAGGTTTCATTTTCAACGGAGCGAAAACCAATGAGTAGAAGATCCTAAAGCCTAGGCTTGAAGATGTCGTTAATATCACCCTCGACCCATAGGACTCCAACCTTGAGCGCCGCAATCTTCCACTCCCCATCAATCTGGGCAAAGTCCATGGTGTTAACCCCGTGGCCCGTAGCTAGAATAGCGGCATCACCGGCCTGGGGTTCCCTCCTATGAGCTGCCAGGATCTGGAAAGCAACTCTGGCGTGTGATTCCGACTCCCGCGTCCATTTACAAGCGCCGATCATATGTTGCGTCTGTATATCGGGGTTCCCCAATTGGCGTGGACTTGACACTTGACGTACATAGAGAGCAGGTTGAACGGCGGCAGCCTTCAGTAGGCCGAGGGCCGAGTAATCCACGTCGATCATGGGGGCGAACAGAGCCAACAGACTCGCCCAGGCCTTTGTGTCTATGCTGTTTGCCCAGTTGTAGAGGAGGTGTTGGCACGCCAACGGGATGCTTTTGTCGGACATTGTGCGTTGCTTCTTCGGAGGAAGGGGTGGTGAGTGGAGAGACCAGGTAGGTTAAGTTAACTACTTCGGTGTCTCCGACGAAGCCGGGTGTCTAGCGTAGCAATCAAGGCCCCATGCAAGGGGAAGATATGTAGTGTAAAATGTGCGTTGAGCAATAACTAGGGTAAATACTTCCGCAGTTCCCTGTATATACAATCACATAAAAAGATTATAGGCAGTAAGCCAGGGCTACAAGTGGAAGGTGTATGTTGCGTGAGATGTACGCCCTATTTTAGTGCTTATAAACGGGTCAAGGACCCTGGGGCGCTGCGTAGTATTTATTCTATTTTGGGAAATGGGGATGCGTCAGCCAGAAGGCTGTACCTCAATGCTACGTGGGGGCCGAGAAGATAATATGGAAAAATGACTACACGAAACACTGCCCCGGTGAGTGGGTCAATGGCGGATTGAACCCGCTTAGATCCTTCCGGGACGGACCGCGTATTCCTTCAATGCGGGCGATGAAGTTTTGGTTGACTGCCAAGACAGTGAGGCTTTTCCTTTGCCCTTCCATCTCACTATTGCGACACTTCCTCGATTCTTTAGAAGGCGTTACCAATATTCCTCTGATAGAGTTGCATGTGTTAAACTCAATACCAACTACAATGTGGCCATTTGCGACATCAAAATACCCATCGATCGTGCTCTACTTCTACGATGCCTGGCTCATGAACGTCGCTAACCCATATTTCTGGCGTTGCTCGACAAAGGATGTGCTAGTACCTCTTCACCAACGCAACATTGGGGTTCATCACTGTGATATAGGATGTGGTACGTGAGCCGACACAATACATAGCCACGGATTCGAGCCTAACCCCCGATCAATCATGAAGGCACCGGATACTATCTTGTCCATCAAAAGTACCCTAGCCCTAACACAACGATCACGCTCCTCGACCTCGAGAGCACCCCTCTATCAATAACGCGTTCACGTCTTTACAAATCGCACCCTACAGTGACAGTTCATCCCCACCAACATGACATACTATCTGTTGAACATATCCCTCCACCTCCAACCTCGTCTGAGTGCACGACATATGATTCAATATCCTTAACTTACCTCATTCACACCCTTTCAGTCCGCCCAGAAGACAAGGTAAAGGTTTTCTCAAAGGCCAAGGCCGCGATCAACCCCTCTGGCGTGGTCTTCGGCGCGACCGTCCTTGGGCACGGTCCGTGGCATAGCTGGGCGGGTCGCCTCCTGCTCCGTTTTTTGAATTGGGAGGAGCGACTAAGTAATTTCGATGATAACGTGGAGGTCTTGATGAAGGGGCTTCGGGACAATTTCAAGGATGTGAAGGCGGATGTTGTTGGCTCAATTTTGGTTTTTGAGGCTAAACAGCCGATATAGCGTTAACAGAGCAAGGTTCAGACTAGCTATAGACGAGATGTTACATGTCATTGCTGTTTCGAATTGTCTATTGTCAACCGGCAGAAGTACCCAAATATACTATGTAGAGCCCAATCTAGGCGTGCACGCTTCTTCTACCCTGGTGGTAAGTATTTCGATGCCTATAGGATGGCAACTTAAACTGAATCACAGCTTGGAGTCCACACCCTCCGGAACTTTCCAAATGAACTTGGCCAGTTCATCTCTTGCCGCTCGCATCCGTTTCAAGACTTCGTCCCTCGGGATATCGAGCAACGAATCAATGTCTCTTGGGACCATTTCCAACCTGCCCAGCCTGACAAAGTGAGCAGTGGACGTTTGTCTGTGGGCTTGAGTCCCAATTGTCCGACAAGCCTCGCCCCACAGTTTCATACAGTGCCTACTTTGGGGGAGCGCCGGGATGATAACATTCCAAACGTGCGGCATGAACTCGTACTGTACAAATGTAACAGGTACCCCCGAGGCCGTCAGGTTCCTCACGAGGAACTTTACTCCATCACTATAAGTTTCCTCGCCGCAGGCAATCCACATCGGCGGCATACCTTCCCAATCAGTCCATGTAGAGGCGTCAATAAGGGGATGGCAGATTGCCGAATTATCGCAATGAAGGTCACCTCGGGGTGGCTTGGCCGGCCACACCTCGTCGGATGGAAACCCCGGCTGCACCCATGGTGCGCCCTCTGATAGCCAGTCCACAAGCTTGAATCTTTCCACAGAGGGGAGAGCCAATGCAAAGTCTGCGCCTGGGCAGACAAACGCACACCCTCGAGGCATTTCAATCGGGACCTCACGACCATTGAAAGTGATGGTGGCTCTTTCTTTCTCACGTAGAAGAGACTGGAGGAATTGTAGCAAGTGCAAGTGAAGAATTCCACCACCTGACTCTCCAACTAGCACGAGCTTCTTGGGGTCGATTGGCTTGTGAAACGACCCAGGTGGAGGTGCTACCAGGTAAAGGTAGGCCACCAAAGTGTCGAGTACAAGTGTGGGGACGGTATACTGTGGCACGAGGCGATATTGGAATGTAAAGGCACGTGAGCCACTGTGCTGGCAGAGTTGCTGGATCAAGGGTCGGGAACCCGGAGAACCCGCACGGCTGGATAGAGTTGCTTAGCAAGATACTAGACACGTTAAAAATCCACAACAGAGCCTCTAACTTACAACCAAGCTCCACCAGAGATGTAGAAAAGCGTCACGTCATTTGTTATATGCTGCTGAATGTCAAGGAATCTTTCTTGTTCTGTACCGTCTGGCTGAGGGGCTTTAGGGTCCTTCACATCGTTTCGAAACCCTATCCATTCAGCCCGGTAGTCGGCGCAGGCTGCCGGGGGGTCAAGCTTCTCGACACCCTCACTCTTAGACTGATAGAGATCCCAGAGCTTCGAGCGTAAATTCTCTCCTTCCTCGGGGCTTGGGCGTGGGATCGTTACGTTACTGACCAAGAGTGGGCCCTTGACTGCTTTTGGCCGAGCGGAATAAGCCTGCATTTTGGAGATGGGCATCCAGGGAGCCGTTTTCCATCCCTTGCGGTATGCCAGGACGGCTTTTTTCTGGGCTTCGGCTGTGTCCATTACTGGAGATGTCTTAGTCAAATGAGCTGGGCTCTGGAGCAAATTGTGCGATCACGATTTCGTTGTTGACGAACGGAGAGAACGAGTAGGTGGTAGGTTGAACGGTTGCTATCTTCTTGGGTAGTGAGGCAATAAATCTACAAGGGCTGGCAGTTGGAGCAGTCGTCGCCATGCTACATGTGAGTGCCGAGCCGAGGTAGGACTTTCTACATGTATATTATCTTTGTTGCAGCCAGAGACACACGTACGACCCTGTATAATAGTTGGAATTAATCTCCACTCTGGGCGCAGGGATCGGGATCATCTGAAATAGAGGGCTCCACATTGTACCAACTAGTACTGTGGCCGGTCAATATTACCGGAGCTGATCCGCAATCCCTGCATTTCCTCTCAACGAACTTAATGCGCCCAGCAGGGGTATTCAAGAGATGCAGGCGAACGCACGATAATGCATGTTTGCAGGCTCTCTGGCCCCCGATGGTGCCATTCCAAGTATTAGCACTCGGCCATGTGTGTAAAAGTGGGTAAGAGATATCCAGAAGGCTCATTTAAACGGTGGTTTATCAAACTTGGACTGACCGGCTTCTTCCAAATAACTGCCGTTTCACTGTTTTTATCACAGGGCCAAGATGGGTGCAATTCTTTCCAACCCGGCCAAGGACGCATCAGCCCCACCACTACAGCATGATGACAATATCTTGGTGATTACTGGTCTAGCCACCAAATGGCCATCCAAGCTTATTGGTCCGAATGATTTGAAAGCATATGCCTTACACCATTACCCGGAAAATGCTCCTTGGTTCGTTCCTTTCCCATTCAAAGAAGCGAGTCAGGAAAGCACATTTGCTGATTGACTTCCAGGCTGCAGAGCTTATTGAAGATCAACGAACAGACTGGCATAGAAGCCCGCGCCGTAGTAGACATCTGGGATGATCCACGGTGGCATCAAGACGTCCCTCCCACAGCAGAAGACGTCGATGCTGCATTCCGTAACTACGGCGTGCAGCTTGCGAAGGGTGCCGCCCTAGATGCCTTGAATGATAGCCACATCTCCCCAAGCTCTGTTACACATGTTGTGGCAGTCACAGCAACCAATGCTGGCAGCCCGGGTTATGATCAGATCGTGGCCCGGGAGCTGGGTATTCCTCCATCTGCAGAAAGAGTTCTCCTGGCTGGTGTTGGATGCGCAGGAGGCCTAGCTGCCCTACGGGTAGCCTCCAATCTAGCAATAGCAGCAACTCTACGACATCAGGAGGCCCGGATTTTGATCATTGCGTGTGAGATCTGCAGCATCCAGATCCGTGCTGAGCTCCATGCTGCATCCAACTCACATACTGTCGGGATCGGGCCAGCCCTCTTCGGTGACGGTGCGGCGGCTATGGTACTGTGCAACTTTTATAACCTGTGTGACAAGATTCCCCGACGTTTCAGTGTGATTGATTGGCGTACATGTATCACGCCCAAGACACACCAGGAGATGTCTTATCAAGTAACATCTAACGGGTTCCTTCTGTCGCTGTCGAAGCAGGTTCCTAAGTACACTGCCACGTCTCTGCAAGTGCCGTTCCAAAGCTTACTCGAGGAAAATGGAAAGGAAATGTCTCCCATAGACTTTGACTGGGCTGTTCATCCTGGTGGTTTATCTATCATTAAAGGGGCGCAGATGGCAATGAATCTTCCTGATGAAGCATTGACGGCGAGCTACGATATCTACAGAGCTCGGGGGAACGCATCGAGTGTCGCAGTTCTTGCAGTGCTAGACAGGCTACGGTCGATGGAGATGCGAAAACAAGATGTCATTGCATGCAGTTTTGGGCCCGGTCTTACCACAGAAATGGTTCTCTTGAAGCGATGGTTGTAGTTGATAGTTTATGTCTATTACTTCTAACTCTCTTGAAGCCGAAGTCACACGGTTCTGTTGAAAGAGCATCTCAGCGGCCAATGAACTTAGAGGTGTCTTTTATGATATGTAAGACATGGTGTATCGAGTAAATATCAATGCTGTTTGAGGGTTTTTAGTCTGCTTGTCATCATTAACGACGTATATGTAGCTTTTTCGATTTAATGTATTTGTTCAATCAATCAATATTCCCTCATTCTATTAGAGCCAGACCAATGAACGTTTTACTATGTAGGCGTCTTGGTGCTGAGGCAGAATCCGTGCCCTAGATGCCTGACTTGACTATAAGTTATATTATGCAAATCTACATAACACCACTGTAATACTACTGCTCAGAGCTGTAGATATTTAAGCACAGTGCAAATGTAGAAATATATATATGCATTATAAACATTCCACTGCGCACCTCATCTTGAATTACTCTCTGTTGCGGGCTATCACGGTGACTATTTAACCAGCCTCTATATCGCATGCTATTGTGGTGGTATCTTCCTAGTCCTTTATTAACTCTAGCTCAGGTATGCCTATTTGCCTCCTGCTGCTCGTTTACTTGCTACTTCCGTTTGTTCATATGCAGCCATTTATATGTAGCAGGTGAGCCAACAGTACCTGGAAGTCTACCACTTGATTCGCCAAGCAAAATAATCTCTTCATACACTTAAAATCTTGTGACATCGTCTATTATGGTCTATAGCAACAGGGATGCAGATCGGCCACGAGGCTTTGTCCTAATACTACATGGGAGCCGAAAATGTGGTGCGGGTCGAAGTATAGATGTTTGCTCAATCACTGGGTTTCCCAATCTCATATATTGATTTATTTCTTTCTTTCTCGTTGTTGAACTTCGAATGAGGCCTCGAATACCTGTGCAACTGGACCACTGCATCATTACAGAATAGATCTGACTCAATTACCGTTGAAATAGTAGTTGGATTTACTACCAAAATAAATATATATCATAGCCGTCAATATGCTCAACACTGTAGAATCATACCTTAATCCAATTTTAGTGCGCTGAATAACCTTGTTTTGAACTCCCTTTGGCTTTATAAGATGAATGATAAAATAACTGAATCAAAGCATACACTATCGCAACCTACCCTCGGCTCATCACCTACATGTGGGATCCCAGCAACAGTCCATAATAACGCCTGTACTTCTCTTCTCTCTCCACCCAGCAACACAGCTCGATTTTTCTTCCTGCTCCGTGGCTCCGAAAGATCAACTGCTACTCTCGATGGCTGTGGTATCCCAACAGAATTGCCTCGAGGTCGTGTCTTGTCTGGCCAGTCACAGACGCTGCATTGGCCCTCCCATCTGTGGAGATCGACTATCTTGTACTTTGGACTGGTCTGTTGAACTTTATACGTCGCACTTTATCAAAATACCAACAAGAAGGAACTTGCCATTTCATGATTTCAGATTCTCTCGGATGTAGTTTGCAGATGGTGTTGCCACACCAACACCACATACAAAAGCCCCAACCAACCGAAGGAAGGCCACAAGACATTCAGCACCATAATTTCAGTGACTTGATGGCATTGCCACAGAAGAAAGTCACTGAGACGGGACGCACCGGAAGTTCTGATCAACAAATTCAAAGGGGGGTCAGTACTGACAAGCATGTTGTTGGACAAGCTTTCCTCAGTGATGGGGCATCCAGTATCGGATGCGCGGGAATGCTGGCGGACTGTCTGCTGTACGGCCATGGCAATTTCATCTCGCGAGGTATACGGCATGCAGATATTCAGAACAAATTCATTCCCTTGGCTCATGGAGTCCGAGCAAACCCGCAGAGCTTCCTGAACGTCCGATCGCAAGAGCTCCTGCCTCCCTAGAACCTGCAGCTTCGCGTTCCAGCGCTGCAGCGACCCTCCAGGCCTTGATAGCTGGTAGATCTGCGCCTTGGCAAGGTCCATGAGTGCTGCGACCTCCTCGGGCGACCGCTGGAAATTTTCGATGCTGAATGCATACATGGTCACAACGTGAATCCCCAGGCGAAAGCAGATTTCCAAATTCTTGGGGGGGTGTCAGCAAGGGTGATGCGACAGAGAGGGCCACACGCACACGGTCATACCTGCTCCAAGGTCTCAATACCCATTTGATGTCCCTTCTTCACGCTGATACGACGTGTCTCTGCGAAACGGCGATTTCCATCCATAACGAAGGCCATGTGTGCCGGTATGGGACCCACCCGGACAGCCTGAATCAAATAGTCTTGGAAACAGTGTGTTAATTGTTGAAGGAATGACATGGCGATTGCTGGAGAGAACCCAGAAGTTCAATTCACCAACTTGGTTGCTCTGGGACGCCCGGGTGGTGTTAAAATGACCTACATAACTAACTATCCTTATGCAAGGGGCTTAGAGATGACCTGTCACCCTGAAACACGTCACATCGTCCAGCAATTAATCACTCCCATATGTAAAAGCCCACGGTCGCTACCTGTGGACCAGAACGAGAGCATCCTAGTAACTTCAGCCATGGATTCCCACTCGAGTGCGACCGCAGACATTGCGGCAGCCGTCCGCAGGTTCCATGAGCTCAAGAAGCCTTTTCGCATCTACCATGGCTCGACAAGCAGTACACGCCAACGACGTACCGATCACTCCAATGTTGTTGATATTTCAGGTCTCAACAATATCCTCTCCATCGACGAATCTCGAATGACAGTCCTCGTGGAGCCCAACGTCCCAATGGATACACTGGCCCGACACACCCTAAAGCACAATCTGATACCTCTTGTTGTCATGGAGTTCCGTGGAATTACCGCCGGTGGGGGGTTTTCCGGGACATCTGGAGAATCCAGCTCGTTCAAGTACGGGTTCTTCGATCGAACGGTGAATTTCATCGAGATAATCCTGGGCAACGGTGAGCGAGTGACCGCCTCCCGCACCGAAGAGCCCGATCTCTTCTGGGGCGCCGCCAGCAGCTTTGGCACAATGGGTGTGGTGACTCTGCTTGAGATCCAGTTGCGTTATGTCGGGCCGAATCCGCACCTGGAGCTGGAGTATTTGTTTACTAATAGCATGGAGGAAGCACTTGCCAAGATGCAAGACTCTGTGTTGGATCCTAACTTGGAATATCTCGATGGAATTGTGTTCAGCAAGGAGGAAATCCTCATCTGCAAGGGCCGTATTGCACAGAACAAGGGCAGCGACTATCCTACTCACCGATTTACACGTCCGGAGGATGAGTGGTTTTACATCCATGCGCAGAGTCGCATGCAGGAAGCAAAGCTGTCTGAGAAAGCGATCGTCGACTATATCCCGCTGGAAGACTACCTTTTCCGATACGATCGAGGCGCGTTCTGGGGCGGGAAGTACTCGTACGAGTACTTCTTCGTCCCATTCACCCGGTGGACTCGCTGGCTCTTCGACACCTGTATGGGCACCCGCATGATGTACCACGCCCTCCATGAGAGTGGTTTGGCCAATCAATATATCGTCCAGGATGTGGGCATTCCTTATGGCAAGGCGAGTGAGTTTGTGGACTGGCTGGATTCTAAGGAAACATTTGGCCATTACCCTCTGTGGCTCTGTCCGCTCCGCGTACAGTCGGCAGGTGAAGGAGGAGGCCTACTAACAGCAAAACGGGACACCGCGACAAGGGACACCAGTGATACTGTTGGCGAAGACTTTCTAATGAACTTTGGCATTTGGGGGCCTGGACCAACCGACCGTCGGCGGTTCATCGATCGCAATCGCCGGCTGGAGCAGAAGGTCCATTCGCTCGGCGGGAAAAAGTGGTTGTACGCACACACGTATTATACCGAAGAGGAGTTCTGGTCGATCTACGATCGCAAGTCATATGATGCCCTCAGAGGGAGATACCATGCTGATAATCTCCCTTCCTTGTATGAGAAGGTGCGTGTGGAGCTGGAGAACCCGTCCGCTTCCTGGTCAGACTGGTTCTGGAGTATCAGGCCTTTCGCGGGGTGGTATGGAGCATGGAAGGCCGTTTCCGGAGGAGATTACCTGATGAGAAGTAGTTAATAGCCTTTTGAAAAAGCAATAGATGTCCATTTCAACTTCGTGTCCTGATAAGCCATCCACCTGATAGCCTAGGGCTGGCTATCGTTCTTGACTCTACAGTATCCCCGTGATTAAATATAATTTCCTACACATCCTACAATGTCACCCCTCCTTCTATCAATGGACGATGATCTAATTTATACAGACTTCTAGCATTCTACTGCAAGGTAGAATGAAGTATCTTTCAAGCGCACACCCCCCTCCTAGCCTGCCACCTTAGCACCACCCAAAAGAGGTGCCACACCGTGAAAGCCGGCCAGAAGCACGCCAGAAGCATGATTTCGGTACCCTGATGACACTGCCATAACATGAAATCACTGAGCCGTCTTGTGGAAGACGTGCGAATCAACAGATCCACAGGCAAGCTATTGGCCGAGAGCATATGTCGATCCAGCATCTTGACCACGTCCCCTTTCCCCTCCCGCGAACACTCCACAACGGTGGACTGAACGGCTGTGGCGATTTCGTCGCGTCCAGTGTATGCAATGAATAAGTTAACGACACCCCTGCAGTCATCAGCCTTGGACAAGTTCGGACCCGTACACGTTCTCTTACCGACTGTGACCGGCTGTTCCGGTACAAGCTTCTGTAGCTACAGAACGCAGACGCGAACTGACCATCTCCAATCGGCCGATGATGCGCAATTGGATTCCGTGCTTCTTGAGCAGTCCATGTGGTTGGGCGATGCGTCGAATGAAAGATTCAATCACGGTCATCAAATCGCTGACTTGCGTCTCTCCGCGTTTGAAATTCTCAATGCTGAACAGATAGGCTGATACCTCTGTTATCCCGAGATTGTAGCTCATGTCAAGTGTCTGTTTCCGTCGTGGGAATTGTTAACACTATGGCGCGTATTGTTTACTCATTAGATGAGGGGGATAATTACTTCAAACAATCTGTCAGCACCAGCCGAGTGACCTTCAGGAATAGAGAGGCCATATTTACGAGCAAAGTGTCGGTTTCCGTCGAGGATGAAGGCGACATGTCGGGCGATTGGCCCGCATTGGAGGGTTTGGAGGGCGAAGGACCGGAGATAGGCTAGGATTGTCAGACCTGTGGATGATGCCACCGTGGAGGTTATATGTTGATCTAGGAATGCCATTATCTGGAAATATGGAGCAGGAGGATGAGGGAAATACATGGAGATAGAAACACGATGCATCTTTCTTAGTCGAAAATGACACCAGACTTGCCGGCATGAATGATATATCAGATTCAAATTTTGGGTCGTTGATCAGACCGACAAGGTGTATTGAATGCCAATAGTTCTTGCTGATAGAGCGTGTCAGAACTTGGATCTACCGTATACTTTATTAGGCGGATCCCAATTTCCATCTCCAATAATGGTAAATCGGTGGGGATATTTTGCGCTGGCTCGATTTATTTGCTGTACCCCTTGTATAAGGAGACACGCCAACCCCTTAGATCCAGCATTGCGATTAGCTATCTCCCACACCCCTGGTATATATATCAAAGAGATGGGTCCCACGCGGCAATATTTACCTTTTGCACAGGAGTACTACCCGATCTCGCACAATGATCCTCTCCAAGGTGTCGCTGCTGCCTTTACTGGGCTTCATCGCCCTTACTGGAGCCGAAGTGTCCCCCGAGGTCCGCACAAACATCGACAACTTCAAGACGAACCTCGATTCGACCATTGCTGCCCTCCACGCGTACCAGGGTGGGGTCACTGGTCTGGCAACCCTGATGCATTCGGCTTACTTGACGCGCCAGGCCATTGAGCAGTCCAAAAGCCATATGCAGCAGACGGACCAGTACTCGCTGGATGATAGCGCCGAGATCTCCAACAATACGGTCGCTCATTTTCAATCAGTGGTTGAGTTTCTGAATCTAATTCATACCAAGGTACGATGTTACGCATGCCAGGCATTAAGGTCCATACTAATCATGTGGGATGTTTCAGCTTCCACTGTCGAAGAGCGCCAAGCTCGAGAACTCGATGCGCCACATGTCTCGTACTTATATGGACGAGGACAAGGCGTTCCTTGAGCTGATGAAGAGCAAGCTTGCGGTTGAGCATCGGGACACTATTAGTGATGGACATGCGCAGGTGCTGGATGCGTACGAGGCTTTAGCACGGGCCGCGGCTTCATATTAGATGCAAGAGTGTTTAGCTAGACTCATTCTAGAGCCCAGAGACGATAGTACTGGGAGACTACTGTGTGGAGCCGATACATGGTTGGCTTTACTGATAGTGAGGGAATATATTGTTCGATAAGCTGAAAGATTTTATCGTCGATCTACAGTACGGGACTATTTATGAACGGTCTCTGAATGTAGATTTGAATGTGAGATTTAGATATAGTCGAGCTTATTGTTACGATGCTTATCTTTTCGCTTCTAATTGCAGGAGAGATTGAATCCTAGGTCTAGGTGGGCTAGTTCCTCGCTACTGCATCCACCGCAGTGGTGTCGCCTAAGACTCCTGCTGGGCATTGAAATAGCTATGTAACATAAGTTTCCACCTGCGCCAATCCATTGCTAAATCCACGACTAATGGGATTCATGTCCTACAGGCACCCAGTTTCCTTGATACCGGAAAAGTGAACCCATCTCCATGCATCAACATTTCCGTTCACTAAGGTCGTCCAGGCCGGGAAAGAACGCACTAGAAGGACTTATCAAGGATAGTTGCCATGTCGCCGGCACTATCCGTGGAGAGTGTGCGGCTAATCATTAGTCTTGAACAAACACCTGGAAGAGTATCTTGTCATGGCTGTGCCCAGCAAGCGGTGGGTAGTTATGTATTACTTTCGATGTCAAGGCATAGAATTACTTCCTTCGCTTGAGCTTGACCTCTATTTTGGCATGGAAGACAGATATGTCCTGTCGTCACGAACTATCCAGCACGGGATACTCCATTATGAGACTTCTGCCTGGACCTATCAGGGCAATTTGCGATGTTTACAACACTGAGATATCTTCTACGATCGACCCATGGGCGATAATATCCTCTTTGTAGGTCTACAGGATAATTCATTCCGTAGAGGTATATATCACATACTGCACATCTCTCAATGCCTGCCCGGATCAACTTGTAGAACACATCTAGAATTCTATACTCGTTATTACGCCGTGGAAAGAGTACCATGATTATTCAATATGTTTTGGCTAAATGCAAATGGTTATATCAATTCTAGAATAGAAAATATCGAGTTATTAGGATTATAAACATGGGGATCTATCTATAGCGATCTATCTGTAGTGCGAAATCTTGCGCCGTCCAAGCCCTGTCAAGTCTAAAACGAATCTAGCAAACCAAAAGAAAACAAACATAACCACAGAAGTGAAATCGTAACATCATACCTCCCTCAATAGTGGGGGCCTTTCTAACAACTGGGGCAGCAAAGAGCAGATTGGGAATTATAAAGAATTAAAAAAGAAAGGGGAAACAACAAATGAAATGAACGAAACGGTCATCATGGGGATGGATATCACGTAGAATGGAGCAGGAATTAAACATAACAAGGGGGTGCGTATTGGGCATCAAAGTCATATGCAGGAGGCATAGCAGATTCTCCTTCGTATAATGGAGGAGCGCTGTTGCCGTGGAAGGTGCCCTCCGGGATGGCATTTCGGCCAGCCACTTCATGAATCGGGAGTGTGTAGCACGTGGTGAATGCTTTCGCAAACTGCCGTCGGTTGATGAGATCTCCTGTCTTGTCGTCCAGAGTGTCTTCTCCAGCGATGAGATGAACCCTTAACCGGTGATCAACCATGATTGTTGTCCTCTCGCCTCTGGACTCAGCGCACTCCTCGTTAAACTTGCAAGGGGTCACGTGTCGACATGGTTTTCCAGAGTCGAAGGTGCATGAAGAAAGATCCGGTCCATCAGCGGTGGATGCACTTCTGGGGATAGTTATATTAAATTGTACGTCAATTCGGTCATGATCTTCGTGGAGCTTTCGCTGCTGGGCCGATAGTTTCTTATTCGGAGCCCAGCGACCCTGTTGCTTTCCCGAGCACAGCTGACGCACGGATTGCTCCTTCCAAGTGATGTTCTCTCCGTCAGGATTTTCACCGCCGGAGACTTTCATCAACTTCACCGTCTCTTCAACGCTCCATTGGACCTCTCGAACAAAGAACTGCTTCCTTTCAGTTGGACGAGCACCCCGCGCCGTAGTGCCACGGGCCACCAACTTCGCAGAGTATGCGAGCTTAGCTTTGGGATCGGTCGGTTGCTCCGGGGTCAGAGACAACTCCGACTGCAACCGCTCGCCAGTATATTTTTTAAAATGCCGAACAGTCTGGCTGGGGCCAGTCACGATCTGGGAGAGGATTTGGACGTCCTTGGTCGCGTCCACTGCCATTCCAGATGGGAAAGTGACCGCAGCGCGCACAGCATATGACAACCCCCCAAACGGAGTCTCTGTCGTGCCTGATGTGCCAAATGGAACGGGTATCGAGAAAAGAAACTTCAGCACAGCTGCGCCCGACTCATACAACTCGACTGGTTCTGGGGAATGCCATAGCTGACATTGCACCAGCGTCTCTACCGTACTGCTTCCCTCCTTTTGTTGAGTGACGATAGTCTGAGTTTGAGGTACGCGTTTCCTGCGGATCCGCTGCAGGAAATCGCCCTTTTTGTTGTCGTTTTGGCCATTGGATGCCAGCTCATTGTCTCGCAAAGTCACAGTTCGAAGCAGACTAACAGTCACGTTGGGGTACTCCGCCTGCTCAAAGTCCAACAAGGATACTGGCACCAGAACGGAGCCTGAAATGGGCGGGCTGTATCTCTCGCCGTGCGACCCTTCATATACGTGATGGGTGGTTGGAACGTCCAGATGCAAAGGTTCCATGTGTGAGATAGTATAGCAATTGCTTTCTCGGATTATAGATGATGGCGGTGATGATGTAACGGGCATCCGGGCACGCCGTTTTTATAACCCTTCTCCCTTCTTGTCAGGGAAGAAGATGAGAGCGAAGAGCCATCATAAAAATGTCATAAGGGGCAACCCCTCGGATCCACGTGGTAGGGATGACTCTTGATAACGACAATTCTTCTCAAGTCATAAAAATCGAAATGTGTGTAAGCTGTGCCGTTCGTTCCTCGTTAGGGCACGAGCACCCGTTCGAAGATGAGTCTCGACCCAGACGTTCCATCTGGCGATCTTCCCAAAACGGAAGCCAAGAGGGAAGTTGGTTCGTAAGCTTTCAAGGTTTTCCGGGGATCCACCACACGACCCTAAATTTGGAAGATGACAACCGTCCAGAATGATCGAAGACGCAGCATGTGGAAAGTACTAGAGAAGAATAATTCCGTCCGTGTGACTAAGTGGCAATAGGTGTGCCACGCTCGCAAGCAGAATTTTCTCCACAACGGAAATCCTCCGGCGGTGTCAGCGTGAAGAAATTTCTGCTTCACCGTGGCTACAATGCATGCGGTGGTTGGAGATGGATCATGTTGGGCAACTTGAATATCGCCGGAGATGTTGGACCTGAAGCTTAAAGTTGGGTTCAGGCTCCTTCCTCGATCGGCCTTCGAATGAGGAGGCTTATCTCAGTTCTTCATGCATTACCCGGGTCGGAAACCCGGGTGACCCACAGTGGTTTATCCACTGGCGAGACCCTCGGTTGGCACGTTTAGTCTTAAGTTTCGGCAGGGAAAGGAACAAAGTTCATCTTCAGGTCCAAATACTGGCCCATGCGCTTTTTCGGACCTGGTTAACAACGCATGTATATTTTTTAGCGAGCTCTCGGTTCGTACCATGTCTGTACAAAGTACATGTTCCACGCGGGGCTTTTTCGTCTAAGAGCCTGCTGTTAGTCATAGTGGGTGGGGCTAGTATCATCCCCAGTTCGAAAGTGTTGTCAAAGAAGTGACTATACTTTTGGAAAAATTCCTGAAGATCAGTCAAGAAGCTATGACAAGTTGACAATTCAAGCCCCAAAGGCAGGTCCACCAAGGATACTTGATGGTTAGAATGATGCCTTCCGATCGGTGAGTTGAAAATCGCGAGGCATCTACCCACACCGGTCATTGTCATCGCTCCATTGCACCATCGGCTCATTGCACCCTGACGCACGGTCACGATAGCTTGGAGACTACTCCGCTAGATACGGCGTCGCCTAAGCCGGCATCAGGTGACTGGTGGAGTGCAATAGTGCAAAGCAGACTCAGTATGTCTCCATCGCTTAGTATAGCGACGGATCTGGATCGTTCGATATTAACGCCTCTATAGAGCACGCCATATGAGGTGTCTCGTGATGAGTTGCGGTAGTGGAGTTCGTGAGTATTGTTTCCAGCCATCAGTCTAGAGTGTCGGATTTCCTCCGGTGATGGCCTTTTAAGTACTAGTGTGCTTCCCCACGCTGCTTTATGCTCACGAGGTATGGGGTAAGTAGCTTGAATAAAGCAGCTCCGGTTCCCAGTCGAGAACAGAATACAGAAGCTGTCCAAGCATTCTCGCTGGTTCTATAAAATCCTCTTCTGCTCCCACATGCATTGTCAACTCGGATTCGTCCCAGAAAAGGGTTTCGAGGAGAATAAGGGCGTCTCTGCTATGGCCCACTACAGTCATTCCGAAATTGATCTAGCCTACAAAACCACTACCAAGAACCTAGTATGAGCTGATCATGGAACTATTATCCGTAACACTTGGAAGAGAATAATTTCCTGTCTGGTATATATCCCTGTAACTGATTTGGAACTAGATGCGACGTAGAAATTCATCTACCGGAAGAAATATATTCAAGGAATGTGGGTCATGTTATCTTCATGAAATTACGGTAGTGCCGTAAGTAAATATATCTCCACAAAATCCTCGCTTCCAGAAAAACGCTGCCCCCCGCACTATGCAACACTCAAAGCCCATGTCCAAAATACAAAACAACCCATTCGCGGTCTTCAGGACCAAGATAACCGATCGAAAGAGCACGTTTAGCTGAGCGTCTCTAGAACCTCATCCTGATGCTTTGCCAGATATTCTGAGAACTTGGTCAAACGAATGGGGTATTTTTCAAGTTCCTCAAAGTTGACTTGGTACCCAACCTCATTTGTCCACAATTGGGCATAGAGTCTAGGATCCCTCACAGCGAGGTCTCTCGCTTCTTTCTCATCGTAAAACTGAAGGGCAATACCCTTTCCACTAACTCGGCTTAGCTCCCGCACGATCTCAGCCGGCGTAAGAAATTCAACACCCAAGTCAATTTCATGTTTGTTAAATGCCGCAGGATTAACAATTGCAGCTGCTGCAAACTTTCCAACGTCACCAGGATCGAGCACCGTCATGGTAGACCTTGGTTTGTATGCCGTTAAAAAGACACCTTTCTGAACCAATTCAGGAAACATATAAGACGCAGTCGGCTGATGGTAGTTTTGCATGAGAAATGCAGGTCGCAGAATAGTCCAGTATTGGACCCCGGCTTCTCGCACCATTGACTCAATTTGCGCCTTGTTTCGCCAATACCACGCCATGGGATAATCAGGTCCCCAGTTCGGGAACTCTTCGTGCTTTCCCGTCATTGTGACACTGGAATACACAATAGTGGTGACTGTGCCGGATGCAGCCGCAGCATCTATGATGTTCTTTGCATGAATCACCTCGCTTTCAGTGTCAGGAAGGCTTGGTGATACATTCAGAAAGACTGCGGTAACACCCTCGACTGCAGCCTTTAAGGATGATAGATTGCCGAAATCGCCTGGGGACAGTTGCACTCCCAGGCGCTGGAGCTCAGCGGCGGATTGGGACGACGGGTCCCGAACAAGAGCATGAACTTTGACTCTGGATTTCAAAAGTTCACGCGCAGTAGCACCGCCTTGGTGGCCAGTTGCTCCAGTAACAAATGCAACAGTGAGACATGATATCGAGGTTTAAGGGCACGCATCTATGCGGAAAAGATAATGGATAATGTAATAGCTATTCAGAATTTGATGGTCTTCTGGATGAAGGTAAGAATTCAACACGATGCAAACTCTTTAAATAATTTGTGACTTGATAGAGTAGCCACCTCATCTCACTGCTTGAAGAGGTATACAGCTCGAGGATGTGGAGCCTTGCCAAAGAGGCATAGTATCCACCTTGTTTTGTCGCACGCTAACTTGGATCGGCCTTAGCGCATTTGGCTATTCCGAATTCAGCATGCAGCTCGACAAACTGGGGACCGCTCAACTCAACTCGTCCAGTCGACTGCTTTTGGTGGGGTTGATTACTAAACGAGGAAGAATTGATGACGCCACCCACATGAACTTCTATAGAGGAGTTACGTATATTCAACCGCAACACTGATGCCGTCTCACAATTGAAGCCATGACTCATTATGGTTTATCGCGGTAAGCCCAGCAGAGCGTGCTTAGAATGTCGAGCGAAAAGAAGAAAGGTATTCTACCTAAGCTTCTTCGAGATCGTAGCTGACCTAGTCTGATATTGGGTAAGTGCGACTTAGCAAGACCATCATGTCGTCAATGTGCCAGGGCTGGCTCCAGATGTGTCGGATACCGAGATCAGAATTCTCATGCCTTCCGCGATCAAACTGTGGAGACTCTGGGCAAAGTTCAACCTTTTTCTGACAATAGCCCGCCTCTGATCCGTGGCAATCAGGCAGTCTCCATAAGATCCGAACGATATCAACAGGCTGGGGTCTATCAATCTACAGAGCAACATGATCTTGACCCTTAGTCTAAAATCACGGTTTCACTTGAGGATCAGGCTCTGTATTTCTTTTCCTACCACTATCTTGTCAATGGACCTAGGCGCCCTCCCAGCTATCCTGACTGTTTGGCCATAATATACGCGCGAGCAACCGGACACGGATACTTGGCTAAGCTGATCAGTGCTGTCGGATTGGTTAGCCTGGCATATCTGAGAAATGCACCCACCTTAACTCAAGCGGCGAGGCAGACGTATTCTTGGGCTCTTCGCGATGTACGTGCGGCACTCGCGGACCCGGCTGAAGCAGCATCCGACCAGATGTTAGTCGCTGTGATGGTTCTCGTGTTGTACGAAGTAAGTCCTTTATGACACAGGGACGGTGAGCTGGATAGTAACTTCAACCAGACAGTAACTTCTAACTCCAGTAACAGTCTTAGTCCGTGGGATAGACATGTGGATGGAGCCCTGGCATTGGTGCAGCTCCGAGGGGTAGGCCAGCTACGTAACAGAATCGGTCGAAACATTTTTCTTAACTTGCGCACTGAAGTCGTGAGTCACTTTGAGAAATCATTATAATAGGTCTTTCTGAATTTCTGACAGTTGATCAACTGTCTTCAGCGCGGCGTGCGGGTACCAATCACCTTGATAAATTGGATGAGTGAGGCCCGGCATTTCGAAACCGCGGAAGAGGCACCTGCTGGTAACCTGGCAGACTTGATTGTCAATGCCTGCGCCGTTCTTGCCACGGTCAAGGAGGAAGCCACAGACAAGGCGGATTTGTCTCGTTATATGTCAACACTATTGTCAATTGATCAAGATTTCAAGTGCTGGACTGAAAACCTTCCCACTGACTATCAATATAACACCTTAACGATCCCAAACGATTCTGGAGAAATGTACTTGGGACGATACGATACTTATTCTGGCGTGGAGATGGTTCACATCTGGAACTTGCAGCGCTGTGCGCGCATCACTCTCCACCAAGCACTCATTGACTTGTTATTACTTCACTTCGACATGGGATTTTCCCAGCCAGCACCCTTACCATCCACGGACCTGCTCAGTACTTCGAACACTGTTGTACGCGAGATCTCCCGTGACATTTGTCGCAGTGTTCCATACATCATCCATCTCTGTGATAAGCCAGGCAAACCAGGTGATGTGAGAGGTGCTTGTATTATGCCTCTGTTATGGCCCCTCTACATTGCAGGAACAGCACATACTGCCAACGATAGCTTGCGTGATTGGGTCATAGCCCGGATGAATAAGATCGAAAAGGTCACTGGAATTCAAAGAGCAAGGTTTGTGGCTTTGGATATACAACAGCGCTGTTTATTTCCAGATTGACTGCAGTACTTAACGACGATCCCCCAGATACACTGTTAGACAGCCTTGTTGTGTATAGAGATAACCGACTTATAACTTCGCGGTCACCTTCTGATCCCGAACAACCAGCCTCTTCTCCCCACTCTCCCTCTTTCTCTCCCGATCTCTCAGCACTCGCCGTAGAATCTTGCCACTCGCACTCTTCGGAATCTCATCCATGAACTCCACCTCGACAATCCATTTATGGCGCACTTTCTTCGCCCTGACATACTCAATCAACTCCTTCCCAACAGCCCTCACGCCATCCTCCGTCGCCAGTCTAGGCTTTGCCGCAGCCTTAACCACAACGTAGGCCTTCGGCTTCTCCCCCGAATAATCATCTGCCACCGACGTGACCGCCGCATCATCCACCACAGGGTGTCCAAGCAACAAGTCCTCCAATTCAGCTGGCGAAACCCCAATCCCCTTCACTTTAATCATCTCCTTGATCCGATCGGTAATGACAAGGAAGCCCTCCGGATCCATAAAGCCCACATCCCCAGTATGCAACCACCCGTCTGCATCAAACGTTTCCCGCGTTGCCTTCTCATTCCCCAAATACCCCATGACCACCTGGGGCCCCCGGGCCAGGATCTCACCCTCTTCACCAGGCCCCATCTCCTTCCCTGTTTGAGGGTCCAGAATCTTGACCTCAGTGTTGGCAACAATTATCCCCGCCCGTTGCGCATACTCATACGTCTGCTTCTCCGGCGGATGAGCTGTGATACAGCTGCAGGACTCCGTCATCCCATACCCCTGCTTGAACCCTGTCCAGGGGAAACGGGCCTTGAGCTTCTGGAGGATTTCACCTGAAATAGGAGCTGCGCCGGAAGAAAAGGTCTTCACGTGCGAGAGGTCATAGTTGGAGACAATTGGGTCGGTTAGAAGACGGATGATGATGGGGGGCACGGAGAGGATTTCGGTGATTTGGTATTCGACTATTGTGGCCAGCATGGACTCCATGGTGAAGGAGGGGAGCATGTACACGGTGCTATTCCGGATTATAGGGAGATGCATTTGGTGAACGAGGCCGGTGACTTGTTTGTGTCAGGAATAGATCGGGGTAGAAAGCAGAAGTGGGGGCATAGTACGTACTATGAAATAAAGGCAATACAGCCAGGGATTTCTTCACATCCTTCCGGAGAAGCTGGTCGACTTGCATGCATTGTGCGATGACGTTGTGATGGGCGATCATCACCTACAGAGTCTTGTATTAGCCAAGTTGCACCAAATGAATAGACGCGTGATGCATACGGCCTTCGGCAGCCCCGTGGTCCCTGAGCTAAAACTCAAAAAGCCACACACATCTCGATTCGTCTTGTTCTTCGGAAGCTCAAAGGGAGTTATCTGCCCAGTGGGTCCATAGCGTCTGCCCTTCTTGACAAGGTCCTGAACGGATAGATAGTCACCCCTCTGGCCTTCAAGGAGAAAGATCCGCTCGGGAGGAATCCCGGCTTCCCGGGCAGCGGGGATTGCAACGTCCATGCCAGAAGGGACGGTCATGAGGAATTTTGCGTTGCCGGTTTTTAGAGCATATGTCATTTCCTCGATGTTGTATGCTGGTGAGGCGCCAGATATTATGCCCCCTTGTTACATGCAATGGTAATTAGCATTGCATCTACAGTTGGGGAGAAAAGGGACAAAGACTAACCAACACGGACAGTGGCTAGCATCGCAACTGGATACCAAATCGTATTCGGACTGAAGAGGGCAACGGTATCCCCTGGTTGGAGGCCATAGTCGCGCACCAGGGCAGTGGAGACATAAGTTGTGTATTCCTTGAGGGCGTCATAGCGAATGCTCTCCTTTGTGGCGGCATTGATGAAGGCGCCGAGGTTGTCGGGGCTGTTGGAGTTTAGGGGGGAGTAGCGCGAGTCAAACAGCCATTTCCAGATTGTGATATCCTTGGGGACTTAATATGATTCTCAGCATAATGCTTCATACTCAGAGGTTCGTGGTACTTGGGCAGTTTGATGGGTGGGAAGGGGCGCATACTGTTGATATGTGGTCTATCTGACTGAAAGACCACCATTTTAGCTCTGCTTTGCCTTGTTCTAATTTGTATCCTGAGTTAAGAAGAATATCCTGGATTAAATGGATAGCTGAGGTACGCCTTGTCTAGGCGGTGAATATATGATAGTTTATGCGGGGAAACAGTCGACCGAGGTCAGCATATACCCCGCATGTCGGTTATAACTTGCTGAGTTGTCCAATCGGTGTATTCAGGTCCATTGAGACTGTGAGATTAAGTGCATAGTTTAACTTTACCAAATACCGAGTGGCTCATCCGATGTAGACCGTAATAGTGTTTACGCATGTGGCGTGTATATTGGTATCGAATCATCAAGGCAGAGTTTCGTCTACCGTCTAGGTGTAAGGATTAGACTCTGCTCCTCATGTTCTGCAATATTCCTAGGCATTTGGGTTCTCATGGACTGCTGCTTTACCTTTGTATATTATATTTCAGACCATGAGAACTGCATCGTTGAAGTTGCGCATGCCATCCGCCAGAGTAAAACCCGGCATTGAATGCAGGTCTACCCTCTCCAGGTTTCGCCAGTGTTGCTTTAGCATAGTAAGGTTCCTGGAAAATATTTCTGAACGAAACTTGTCAAAAATCGTTTTCAGCTTTGTGCTAATAGCAGCTCGATGGGTTTGCTGGATAGCACAACGCCCCACAATCACCATTGGCCAGCAAAGAAAGCCGTCTGAGGGCGACTCGGGTGGTAACATTGCTAAGTGAGTGACAAAGGAGGACACCATCTCCTGAATAGAAGCGGCCGAGATAGAGATGGACCCATCGATAAGGCTTTGCAGGTACATCAGACAAGCAAGGCGATATAGCTCGAATGTCACACCATCGTTGATCATTTCCGCACTCATGTCGGGCTGTACATGGAATGACGCTCGAATATTCCGTAAGTCTTGCTTAGCGCTCACTAGGTCGGCATATATCCTCTTATAAGTGAGCATACTTGACTCGAACTGCGATAGATGGAGGGCGACGCGGAACACAATAAAAAATACTTTCTGCGAGGTGCCCATAATTGATCCACTTTCTAGGTGCTGGAGAAGACCCGGAAATTCAAATATCTGCCTGGCTTCACTCAGTACTAGCTGAGCCCCGTGAGTGAATGCTGTGATGGAAAAGAAGTAACAAAACATTTCCACGAGGAACTTTCGCAGAGATGTGTTGGGCGGCACCATGTGGAGCCGGGGTCTGAGTAGACTGGCCGCAGCGTTCAGATGTGGCAATATCTGGTCGTTATGGCAATAATTCTGCGACTATATGGTATTAGACAATGGGCACACGCTGCTTTATCAAATGAATACTTGCCTCGTGAAGGCAAAATAAAGCAACTGCCAACAGGTTATGATCTGTAAACTGTTAATATCCTAGTGGTATGTCACGACCCTTTCAATACATACCAGAAGTAGCTGATTGCTCACCACTAAGAGCCTCACGCAAGCCGGAAATAGCTCTACCGTAGTATTCAACCGCTGAGGCTTGTAATTCCACGCTCGAATCATACTTCAGGAGATCTTTCGCGGCAATCATGAGCACGCAGTGGAGAATAAGGGGACTTTCCATGGCTTCCGGGAAAATCTGAGAGAGGATCGCGGTCTTTCGGTTACCCATCCTTGAAGTCAACCACATAGGGCCATGTTTCGCGAAGTGATCTAGAAGCCGGCGAACCAGGCCTAGACTGGGAACTGCGAAGACTGTCACCATAGCTGCCAACTCCGGCGGTACTATCATGCCCGAGAGAACTTGGCGTCGGCGCGGACGTCGCGTGCGCACGACCACTTCCGTCGTCGGCCATTGGCAGGTGAGATGGTTTCGTTGACAGCCTGCACAGGTAGGACGGTGCTCATCGCATTTCTTCTTGCGGCGACGACAGGTAAGACATCCATCTTTGGAGCGGGGAGCAGACCGTGACCTTTTACTGGGATCATCGACCATGTTCTTAGTTCGTGGGGCTATACGCACAACCACTCCACAGACTCTAGGGTCATAGACCCATGACCAAAGGGTGTTGTCAAGAGGATGTCGTGGAAGATGGAGTGCATTGTCGCGGTGGAGAAGATGCAAACCAGCGCGGCACTTACGACTCCCGATCGGGTTTAGCCCGGTGGATTCATATGAACCATCACATCTGGAAATATACAACTTTCTCCACCTCCAGCATCAGCCACTCTTCACCACTGTCTCTACAAACTAATGGCTACCATGTCACCGTAACTCTTTCCACGCTTGTTTAGTCGGTCTGATGCTACTGACAGTTTGATAGAATGACTCACTATGATACTTACGTAAAGTTGCGCGGTGTGCTGGGCGCTGGGGCAAAATATATATAGTGGTCAATCTAACCCAACAGGCTTCTGTGATTAATATCTCAAGCTTGAATGGCAATGGTGTCGTCATCGAAAATGGAACACAACACTTGTCTCGATCCTGCAGACGTGACGCCCCGCCAACCATCTGCTGCAGAGAGTCGGGAAGACCTCAATCCACGTCCGGACAAATCCAACAAATGGAACCACCCGAGATCGAATATCATTCGTGTGCTGACCACGTTCTGGGTCTTCTTTGTCATGGGAGCTAACGATGCGGCGTACGGCGTATGTACCTGTGCGATGTATCCGGTTATTCATCGCTAATGAGATGTACAGGCTATACTACCATATGTTGTTCCCCTCATGTCTTATACATTACCATTCTGAACTGACGGCAAGTTTGACAGCTAGAGGAATATTATAGCATTCCGTATATGGTCGTTTCCTTGGTATTCCTCTCGCCATTAGTAGGCTACGTCTTGGCGGCATTAGTCAACAACAAACTTCATATGGCCCTGGGACAGCGAGGAGTGGCTCTCATTGCACCAGCCTGCCACCTCATTGCGTATATCATCAGTTGCATCCATCCGCCATACCCCGTATTAGTTGTGGCGTACATCTTTGCGGGGATTGCAAACGGACTTCATGAGGCTGCGTGGAATACCTACATCGGCAGTCTGGAAAACCCAAATGAGCTTCTGGGCCTGCTTCATGGGGTTTACGGCCTTGGTGCAGTGATCAGTCCGTTAGTGGCCACAAACATGATCACCAAAGCGAAGGTGCCCTGGTACTACTTTTATTTCTTCATGGTAGGTCCCTTGACTGTTCGATTTTTAGCTGAATGCTGACTACTCGTGAGATCGGTATATCTGTCATCGAGGCCGTGGCATGCCCGGTGGTTTTCTGGCGATTCACAGGGACCGCCTTTCGACAATCCCATGAACAGTCTCACGGGGATCCGGGAGAACAGGGCAAGAGTGGGCTTCGGGATGCCCTTTTCACCCGCCCCGCTGCGCGCGTGTCCTGGCTCTCTTCCTTTGTCCTACTGTTTTATGTGGGAGTGGAAGTGACGATTGGCGGCTGGATCGTTACAATCATGATGGAAGTGCGGCACGCAGCACCGTTCCCTAGCGGTATGACAGCGACAGGATTTTGGCTAGGAATTACCGCAGGACGAGTGGTACTGGGATTTGTTACAGCGCGACTTGGTGAAAAATTAGCCACAACTGTATGCAATATATTCCCCCTTTACTGACTTGGTTGCTAATGCGGTACAGATCTACATTACTTGTGCAATAGCGTGTGCGTTGGTGGTATGGTTGGTTCCTAATTTCTATGTCTCTGCTGTGGTGGTGTCAATTCAGGGTTTCTTCCTTGGTCCACTATTTCCCTGCGTGGTCGCCGTCATAACCAAGCTTCTGCCCAAGAATCTCCATGTTGCGGCGATTGGCTTCGTAGCTGCCTTTGGAGGCGCTGGCGCAGCTGTTGTTCCATTTGTGGCTGGAGGAATTGCACAGGGCAGCGGAGTAAAGTCCCTCTTACCGTTCGTCGTGGGTGTTTCCGCTGGGATATTACTGCTTTGGCTCGGGTTACCACGACTGAGAAAAGGGGGAGCCCAACAATAGCATGTCTATGTCTCACCATCCCAGTAACGATAGCCCCTTGATACTCTCGTGCAACTCACCAAACCTGAGAACCCAATCTAAAGACAGCCAAAGTACATAAAGCTCATTAGTGCTAGACCAAATTAGGTAGATAGTATCGCATCCAAGAGAATATGATGTAATAGTTGGAGCAGCTCTCCGTACCTCAACTGCAATTATCCGAGCGTCAATCCGTGACCAATAATAGAGTGGGCGCATCGCCTCCTCACAGGATTTCCTCCGGGGAAATAAGAAATATTCAGTGAATCAGAAGTCAAGCCCGTGAGGATCAGTTCCTCATGTGGAGCAAAGTGGGTCGCGACCACGCAACGACAAGAAATCGCGATGCATGAAGATCTCTCGTTTGGGCAATTCTCCGGCCGATGTCTTGGATGGCAGGAGCTGGCTGAATATATAAATATCGGGCGCAGTTTGTCAATGACCCGACAAGGGGATTATCGTGTTAGAAAATCGTGCCATCAACAATGTATCTCAATCAACTTGTCCTTGCTGGTCTTGCCCTATGTGGCTCCGCTTTAGCGTCTCCGACGCCCGCCAAACGGGCAGACGAGAAGGTAGGATACCTCTCTGTCTACTGGACAACGGACGATGAGAGTGTCTACTTTGCCTTGAGCGACAACGATGACCCTCTCGGCTTCTCCACAATTAATAGCGGTAGCGCTGTTGTTTCCCCGACGCTGGGTACCAAGGCCGTCCGCGACACGAGTATTATTGCGGGACAGGGCGATGATGCTGGTAAATACTGGATTATTGGGACGGACCTCAACATCGGCGAAGTGAGTTTTATTGCTGGATATTGATCGCCGGAGGTGCTGACCGACAGACAACCTGGGACGCCGCTGTCCGCACTGGCTCGCGCGCGATCTATGTATGGGAGAGCACGGACTTGGTCAACTGGAGCGAGAACACCCTCGTGACGGTTGAGGATAGCACCGCTGGAATGGTATGGGCGCCAGATGCCATTTGGGATCCGGAACAAGGTTAGTACGGTAACTGGAAGGCCACGGATGAAGCTAACTCTCGCAGGGCAATACTTTGTTCACTGGGCGTCGCGATTCGTAAGGAACCCTTGCTCTACCACATCACACGACCACTTTACCCATAACCCTAACTAACATACCCCCAGTATGCCGCCGACGACACCGAGCACACGGGCGACGCCACCACAGGAAACGTGCTTCGCTACGCCTACACCAGTGACTTCAAGACTTTCAGCGAGCCACAGGATTATATCGTGGGCACTACCGACGTGATCGACCTGTGCCTCATCCAGCTCGATAGCAACACCCTTCTGCGCTCATATGTCAACAGCAGCAGCGCGGATGGTTTGCCCGTGGAGATCAGCACCAACGGTCTTCTCGGTGACTGGTCGCTTCTGGGTTCGATCGCTGACAGTGCCGGCTATGAAGCTCCCTACTTCTTTGCCGATAATGCAGGTGGTGGTAAGGGATATATGACTGCGGATCTTGTTGGTAGCTCCCCTGGTATTTCGGGCTGGACCTCGGACGATCTTAGCTCAGGTGTTCTTACCAAGGATACTTCTCATGATCTGACCTTTATGAGACATAATTCTGTGCTTGCCGTCACGCAAAGTCAGTATGACGCGTTGAAGGCAATGTAAACAATTGCTGCTTGAGATGCGAAGAGCCCAGGTGAAGGAAAGGGAATGGAATTGATATTAGTGTTGATATAACAGCTACAAGATATATACATGCATATCACAATTCCATAATTTGTCAGTTATTAGTCTCCCATTACTCCATTCATATGTCTCTGTTTCGTGTTTGCAATATACTATTGTCATCGAAGCTTGCCAGACGTCTTTGGGTATAATTGGCTAATTACTTATGATACCGGAAAAAGTATAGATATCCCAATTACTTCAGGAAATGGACATGAGTAAATGTACAGTGATAACCTATATCCGAGTACTTCCCGACTATGGTGCTCTCTCCTTCCCACTACTTCCCACTCTAGGATCCGGATCTGACTCGGCAGACTTCAGTGCCATTCCCATTCCCTTAAGCCTATACAGAATCAGAATCAACCACACCAACAACTCCCTTATCGAGCTCGTATTACATACGATGTTGGCGGGGCCTAAGGCTGAGTGATGTCATGCCCCCCTATTGCGAGTAGGATACAATTCAGTATCCCTAATTGCAGAGCACTGATGTGAATACTCAACGGGAAGCCACTTCGGATACTTACCCTTATAATTGAACGCGTTTTGTTCGACAGGGATCATGGGTGGGGAGTCCATTCAGATATCACCCCAGTAAAACTACAAGTCTTAGATTGATAGATCCATACAATACAGTTTCAGTTGAATCACCTCGTTATACAGCGCGCCGTCTGGTTTTAAGATTTAATCAGATCTGATCTCATGTAGTGTTTGCTTTGTACCGATATAGCTGGTTTATCATACCTTCCACCTCCGGCACAACTAGACTAGCTGAGGACGAATGAAGCCCACAAACGCAATAGGATGTCTGTGACCATCATGATGGATGATATCCGTCTACGGCGATCCTCTTCGAAAACACCTCGTTGGGATCGCTGTTCGTCTCCACGTACCGACGCACATGCTCCGGAACTTCATTCTTATTATTCGGACCAGGTATGGGATCCCCACAAGTCCTCCAGATGGGAATGGCACCCTCCCAATAGTGATTAGCCGCGCCTGCCTCCAAGTCCTTTTCATCCTCAGTCCCAAGGCTATGCCTTGTGTGCACATGGGACTTGCTGGTGTTGATATCCACCCGTATAATAGCCGCCCAGTCGACTTCCGCTCTCGTCGTGGGACGTGTTCCCTCCCACCGACCAGGGACGAAATCATCCATTAGCAGCTGCATGGCTTCCCATTTCTCCTCTCCCGATAGACTGTGTGCATATCCATTGATAGTCGTACTGCGGAAGTTGTATCCATTCCAGAACGGCGTGAAAGCTAGGAAGCATCCATCTACCTCGCTTGCAGTTATCGTTACCATCAATCCTGTTTCGTTTGCAGCTTGCAGGCGCTTCTTCATCTCGGGTTTGATGTAGCCATGCGCGTACAAAACAAGTTGGTCTTTGTCAGCTTTCGAAGATGACCCTGTTGGCTTGTCAAGTCGGCCGACGAGTGCGATGACGGTGGGAAATGGATAATCTGGGTCCCCTTCATCGGGAGGAAATGTGAAATGCAGGACTCGGGGGTTGTTAACCACGCCTTGGGCGATGGTAGGCGACCAAGGGCCTGGTAAACAAATCAGCATATCATTTTAAACAGGGTAGATGGACAATTGATTACCATCCCACTCTTCAGACATTATTATTGGTCGAAGACAGTTGCTCACGGCCGTCGGAAGGGCAAACAAAACTCCATGATGTGGTCCTGCTCTCCGAAGAATCGTTGTATCTTAAAGCCTTGTCGATGGGATATGTAAGGCTGCCAGTTAACGAACCCAATAGACTTTCACCTAGTCAGAGTATTACGTTTTGATTTGCTACCAATGCATTTCCGGAGTTTGGGACACATTTGATCTGTCACCGAGCTGAAGATTCTCAGGGAATCCGAGCCGCTTGACCTCGTCGTAGGGACCCACAATCTCCATACATCACTTTCTAGACCAACAGAATAACCAATTCATACATTCACTCTGTTGTCCATGCAAAACTACCTGGCCTCTCTTGATCCTGCATACTTGCCTTTATCGACAGTTAAATATCAACAATTATTCTCTCCGGTGGTGTGCCTGGATGCTCCGCTATGGCTTACATTTTACTTTACGATCTTTGTGGATCTCAGATCTAGTACATGTATAGGTGCACACTGAACCATTCCTCATAGCATTGTCCGTACCTAGAGACTAGCGGTGAAACTAGCGGTGACAACACATCGCAGTTATAGAAAATATTACTCAAATGTAGTGTATTATTTATGTCCCCGCTGTCGCTGTGCAAGGCCACTAGAAATATCTGATGAGCTCAAAAAGTGGGGAGCCAGTGTGGGTAATTGGCCGATGCTAGATCCCATAGGTTCCAACACTACGTTACGGATCGAGTTTGGATAAGTCTCCCTGAATAAATGTTCTTTAAGGTTTCGTACTTGCTGATCTTCTCCTCTTCGGCCTCATCCCTCTCATCCATTGTGACATATCGCCTGCATGGGTACCTTCCTTTGGAAGAAGTAATAAACGAGTAATCTGTAAAGGCAACCAACGGTCGAAGATGGGCTAGTCGTTGTATTAATTAGAGGTGGACATGAAGAACGATGAAATCTATGTTTCCCGGCTCTGGCTGCACATTTGCGTACGTTCTCAGCTTCTTCAGAATGGCTGGCGGCATCGCCGACCACTTTAGGGTGCTGAATGTACACTTTGTATAGAAACTGTTCCGAAAGATAGGACAGCAACCCCTACTGGCCCTTGCGCTGCAATCATCTGGCATGATTTGAAGTATAAAGGGGACTGATCTCTACTGCCGTGAAGAAGGTTGCATCTCTCTGGGAAATATATGTACTGAATCTACTTTTGAAAGCAAATATGTCATTGATACTCTCTACTTTATGTCGTACACACGCTGAGCGAAAGCCACCAGAAGGATTTCTTCCTATCGAGTCACCTTTGACAGCTTCATTAAACCGGTATTATGAACCTTGGGAGACTATTACGGCGAACCTTCCATCTCTCATATCTAGTCGGGTACTACGAGACTCGGTTGACTGTATGCCGATTTTGTCTGTACTTCACCTACAGGCAGAGCCAGAGTGGCGCAGAGCCTACGTCCTGCTGACATTCATGCTTCATGGGTATATATGGGGATGTCCCAATCCAGTAGAGGTAACAAACAGTAGATACTTCGGCCATTCCCGTTTACCAATGGATGAGAGCTAAAAAATCTTTCAGATCATCCCACCCCCACTTGCAATCCCACTATTGCAGGTTTCCGCCCATGTTGAGCTGCCCCCAATCGCAACTTTTGCCGGATTATGTCTGTGGAATTACAAAGTGATCGACGCAGACAGATCTCCTGCAGATCCCGAAAACCTTGGTACGGGCTTCACGTTCACTGGAACGGACGACGAGAAATGGTTTTATTTGATCTCTGTAGCTATTGAAGCAGACGGCGCAAGGGTAGTCTCGCTTATGACAGATCTCATCACTGCATCGCAGCGGCAGGACCGACTTGCGGTGACAAAGGGCCTGGACTTACTATCCAAAGCCATCAGCCATGTCAGGTCGCTACTACAGCGCATGTACGAGCGGTGTGATCCACATGTATTCTACCACCATCTGCGACCGTTCTTGAATGGTACCAAGAATGCGGCGCACGCTGGACTTCCCTTTGGTATTCTCTATAATGATGGAACAGGGTTGCAAGAGTATACACAATACCGCGGGGGAAGCAATGCGCAGAGCTCGCTCATTCAGCTCTTCGACATTATTCTCGGCATTGAACATTCCTCGGATGAACGGGCCTTCTTGCTGGAAATGCGCCAGTACATGCCGGGCCCTCACCGCCGATTTCTAGAACGAATCCCTCCTCATGCGAATATGCGCGAGTTTGTGAGGAACAATCCCTGCGGTGAAGAGCTGAATGCTGCATATGCCAGGGCTGTCTGTATGCTTCGTTCACTGCGGAACGCGCATTTGCGTATCGTCTCTCGGTATATCATTGTGGAGTCGAAGAAGACGACGCCAATATTGTGCTCTATATGCAATTCTCGGACACATACCACAAATCCCTTAGAATTTTCAAAGGATCTGTCCGTAGATTGCAGTAGACAAGACGACAGCAGGAAAAGGGGCGCTGCTCTGAGGGGCACGGGTGGAACACCTTTGGTGCAGTTTTTAAAGCGGCTTCGGGATGATACGAATTATTACTAGAGCATGTCGCTCGCTTGGTGAGAAAGACTCTTGAATTAAAGTTTGTCTTTTCGAAGTGCTTACGGTGTGAAGAAACTTTATCCGAGTGGATTGCTTTGGAGTATCTGGTAAGCCAGCCATCTTGTGGCCAATTCGAAGCTACGTGGCGTCTCCACTTAAGTCAACGGAGTTGTCTCTCTTCATGTATACCATGACCAGTGTTCAGCAGTATATTTTCAATCCCTTGTTCGGTATTAGCTTGGGATATTAGAATACGATGTTCAATTGAATAATACTTTGCATTGGCTGGAGGGCCCATGGGCTGTGGCGCTTACAGCCGTGCGCCTATAGCTGCAAGTAGAGTAGCATCACAGATCGATCTGACTAGGGTTCTGCAAGGGCCTTCAGTAACTCCCGAATCGTACCAGGCCGGCGGAATATGAACCTTCCACCCCCAACCCAGGAAATAAGTCCCCCCGAAATGTCGTTAATAGACACATCTTCATATGATTGTAACGATGAAAGAAGCACACACAAGACAGAAAGTAGTCGTTGTGGGAGCAGGCCCTGTTGGCTGCTTAGCTGCACTTTATGCAGCACAACGAGGTGACGATGTAGAAATATATGAACTTCGTGAAGGTAAGCTCCAGCTATTTCAACCACACCTTGCAACAACACCATGAAGAGTTGTGATTCATGCCAAGTCTAGATCCTCGCATGTGCCACCCCAGCCAATGCTCGACCACATCGGGTGCAATTGGGTTGGTTTTGTCAGAAAGAGGCCTCAGTTCTATCCATGGCCTCCAAAACCCAAGACTCCTCAGTCTCATTGAAGCGAAGACAGTTCCCATGTACGGGCGGATGATTCATGGGCGCTACCCATCTGGCGAGCTGTGGGAGAAGGCGCAGAATTACGACAACGTCAACGGAAAGGTAGCAACTACGGCCGAACGTCTATGAATTATCACCGGATCACTGATTGTCTGCCGTACAGTTTACTAACGCAACAGATCGCTCACATCTGACCAATGTCCTGCTAGATGAGCTAGAAAAAACTACCAACATCAACGTGTTTTTCAATCACAAGTTCACCGGGGCCGATTTGAAAACAAACCAGGCTTTTTTCCAATTCAAACAGGGCAATCTCAACCCTAAGCATGTGGATGCCTCGTTCGACATGATTATCGGTGCTGATGGCGCCTACTCTGCCACACGATCCCAATTAATGAAACATACTCCGATGGACTACCAGCAGAAGTATGACGATATTCGCTGGTGCGAGATACAGATCACCGACCGAGCAGTGTCAAGTCAGCTTTCCCGAAATCACTTACATATATGGCCCGGCCGCGAATCCATGTTCGTCGCGGTTCCCGCCCCCGGTGGTACTTTCACGTATACCCTTTTCGCGCCCTCGTCGCACTACTCGGCGTTTTTTCATTCACCAGAGGACGTCGCGGCGTATTTTGATACCCGTTTCCCTGGGGTATCGCCAGATCTCGTGGACCGCGGGTCTCTCCATAAACAGCTCATGGTTAATCCCTACCTTCCGCTCGTAGGGACAAAGTGCTCCCCATATCACAGTGGACACAACGCCGTGATCGTCGGTGATGCTGCTCATGCTGTTCTTCCGTTCTATGGACAGGGCCTCAATGCGGGCATGGAAGATGTTTGTCGACTTTTCGAGCATCTAGATAATCACGGGGTATATCAATGTGCGAGGAGCCAGATAGCAACTGCTCGTGCTTTTGCTTTGGAGGCATACAGTCGTCAGCGAGTTCCTGACGGACATGCGATTCATGATTTATCGCGTGCTAACTACCTGGAGCTGCGTTGGGGGGTCCTGTCCTCTCTGCATCAGCTACGCAAGCGAGTGGAGGAAGCGATTTGCAAGTACTTACCCCAATTAGGCTGGGCGACACAGTATACCCGAGTAAGCTTTACCACCGAGTCATATTCTGCGATTGTTCAAGCGAGTGCAAGTCAGGAAAGAGCTCTTATTCTAGCCTCGATGGTGCTTGTTGCTATCATGGTTATACTTGCTTGCTGCCTGTTGATTTAGACAAAGTTCTGCATTTTCTCGGCGACTTCTAGTGGTAGTAGCCTCCAGCTGAAGCTCACTCATCTCTGAAAGAAGAGAAGGTTTAATCCGGAGTAAGATATGCAATCGATGTGTCAATCCGGTAAATGAAACTCTCTTTTCTCTGTAACCCCACTCTTCGCAACTCTAATACGAGCTGAGAAACTAGTAACGAACCAGGAAATCAGGCTTCCTTAGCATACAAATGTATTCGACTCCTCAGCGAGATTTGGTTCATGCCACTGTCAGATTTCCTGTTCACCGCTTGTTTTTGCTCTGGTCTTTTCAAGAAATACCATGCTGTAAATATTTATTTAACAGTTTCAAGACGTATGTTGTACCGAAAAGGACCAACGCAGAAAACCGCTCGATTTCAACGCACTGCAGCTGGAAAGCATACCCACACCTTTCGGGCAGTCCTGGAAACATGGTCCGAGCGTCCGAAGCCTTCCCCTTGTGGGATGAATCTCTAGACCTGAGCGAAATCCTCACTGGCGGTCCACGGAAACTACTCGAAAGCTACTCCCACATTCCTCCGTCCGACGTAGAAAGCCATGTCAGAGCCATCGTGAGTCTCCGTGTGCTCAGCTATTCCCATGCGAACGAATTCTGACATATGTTCACTAGGCTAAAAAAGGCTGGGACATCAGAGACTATCCATGTTTTCGGATGTTCTGGTTTCTCGACTTTGATTTGTCTCGCTCGCCCCAGTATGCGAGGGTTCTGGAGCTGCTCAAGTCGGGCGCGTTGTTTATTGACATAGGCTGTGGAATAGGCCAGGATATTCGCCGTCTCGTCTATGATGGCGTTCCAGGACAGAATCTCATTGGGCTTGATCTGTATGGCGGGTTTGTTGATCTGGGGTTCGAACTGTTCCGGGACAAGGCGTCGCTGGGGGCTTCGTTTCTCATCCAGAGCTTTTTCGATGACACGGCCCTGTTCCGGCAGGTGATGGGCCAGGTTTCGGTTGTCAACTCCGGGTACTTTATGCATCTATGGGACTGGGACGGACAGATCAAAATCGGGCGGAGGATGATGGAATTGCTGCCGACTGCAGGGGGGCTTGTGACGGGAGTCCATTTTGGTAGCAAAAGATCGGGGAGATGGATTCCTCATGGGGGGAAGGAGATGTTTCTCCATGATACTGATACGCTAACTGCTATGTGGACTGAGATTGGGGAAATGTCTGGTGTTCGGTTAGATGTAGAAGCTGTCAGCCAGGAGGATGTAAAGTGCAAATACTATGATCCAGACGGGTTCATTATAAGGTGGGTCGTGCAAGTTGAGAGTCGTGCGAACTGATGGCGCAATCTCTTCTGTAATCAAGAAAAACGGACCTTCAAATTCAAATCATATCCACTGTCACTGCTTCGGGAGAATAAAGTATTGGCCCATTAAGATATTAGATCTTTAAATCTTACATATAAAAACAATTCTAACTCTCTTGTCAAAATTTTAATTATAGATTGTCTCGTTTTATACTCAGTTTGAATTCTCATGAGAGGCCAAGTGTATAAGCTGTACGTCAGGGCTTTAGAAGTCATGTGGATAGTCAGGAGGTAGTTGGAGCTGGCACCTCTCAATTTGCACCACCTTGCTGCTATCGTTCAATTATTTGATATCTCACTATTCATTTACGTATACCATCTACAAGGTGAAATGAGTGGTTGTTTATTCACTTGGTCTGATGGAGAATACGAGGCACTCAACTACTTGATATAACCATTAATTTGTCCAGTATTACTTTTCTACTCGCTAAATGCCCTATTCCTTCCAAATATGACTTTTCCTGCTAAAATATACATCCTATATAGGCTACCTTCTCTCCAACACCGTCTGAAACATCTCCTCAGTATGCTCCCAAACCTTCTTCCCAACACCACTATTATGATACCCATCAAGAAGCCTCCGATTCCCAACCTCAGACCCATCCCAGTGCAGCAAATAAGCACCACGTTGGCACTCTTCCGCATGAACCCTACTTTTCCCGGTGACTGTCGAACCCGGAGAAAACCGTTCACTCGTCGTAACATACAGATGTCTCTCCCCGCTCTCCTGCTGAGCTACCATCCACGGCCGGCCGATAATCATCGCAGCCCTAACAAGGGGGCCTAAAATGGGGCCCGCTTCCCGAGAGATACCCGATTTCACAATCCCAGGATACGTATGTATGAAGGTTGTAGACGGATATAGGGATGCGAGCTCTTCTACCATCAATGAAGACATTGTTGTCGCGTGTACATCGCAGCTATTGAGGCTGTATTTGTGCTTTAGGTCAAGGTCATCCAAATTCAGTTCCGTTTCGTGGCCTGCACCTAGGACAGTTATAACACGGGAGAGAGCGGTGTGATGGTCTTTGTGGCTAGCGGCCTGTGATATCTGGGGCATTAGGTTCTTAATGAAGCGCATTCGGGCGTAGTAGTGGAGGCTGAATTTCTTATCCAGGCCTTCAGATGTTTCTGAAATGTGTTAGAGACCTATCCTCGCCAAGGGGACAAGGCATTCTGTAACCTGTATGTCAGAAGCAAGATGAACTTACCATCTCTGCCTTTTAAAGTGAAGATACCACAGCTTAAAAACAAAAGGTTAATGCGACTTTCTCTGTGTTGAATATGCTCACATGCAGAGTCCACCCCACGTAGGAGCGACGCGTCCGTCTTGATGAACTGAAATCTGCCGGTCGGATTTATCAGGGTCAATTCCTGGATAACCTGTCTTGCTTGTGTCTCGTTGCGTCCAACAGGATAGATAGTCGGGGAAACGGTGTAGCGAGCGAATTCACGCGCTGTGTACAGTCCGATTCCACTTGTTCCGCCCACTTGAGAGTATTTAATAGGGTGATATTGATGGTAAATGCCATTTCAGACATTAAAAGTGTTGAATGCAGTTCTAGACATACCAAATACAGCAACAAGTCCAGATCCCAGACCTTTCAACGACGCATTGTGGGCACGAACAGTTGAGAGCGATACCATATCGTCTATGTCTTCTGGTGGTTGTACCACCTTCAGGATCCTAGTGTAGCTTATGTGCACATCAGCTTTCCTGGTGTCGAAACAAGTCCTGTGAGGCAAGCTTATTGTTTTATTTTCTACGACCTAGAGTCGACGGTCGCTCGTCGAAGGTTTGGGCAGAGCGCTTTTCGAGCATAGTGATCGTCGCTTTAGTACGCAGCGGCCTCTACCGTGGATCCGACGCAATTTACGGTACAGTCTGGGCCGACTGGCTGCCAATATTCCGAGCCCAGATTAACATGGAAGAACTCTAAATCCTCATAAGCATAGCTTTCAGATTATCGTTGGCGAGGGCCGGGGAAGTGGGTACCGGATCACCGTCGGATAGTTTGTTCCCCCGAACGCAATCCATAGAGTTTGATTAAACTCTAGGGAAATGGGTCTAACCCTAAGTCGTCTGTTGCATCTGCTGTTGTTCGTCGAATAGTGCTGCATGGTGCTAGGCTAGACTGTCACCGTCCAAGGTGGCCCACAATAACTCTTATAAATCGATTGTGTGATAGTACGTTTAACTTCATCGCGAATGTGGTCAGGTTGTAATATCACTTATGAATGAGCAACTGTTGACGAACCTAGACACTTATAGAGGTTTCCTTACCCCCATAGTTCTGGGTCAAGTTCTAATAACAAGCTGCTACCCATCGTACAAACCGCAGATCTAGTGTGTGTTTCAACCACTTCCAAGCAGGAATGCAGGTTGACGCTGGATCAAGACCTGATCTTCAAAGCCACAAAGTATCTCGTAACTACCAACCTAGGACTGGTTTTGTCAGCATGACACCAAAGCGGGGTTGAATATAGCGCCACGTCAGCTCAAGGGCTACCTTCACTGAACAGGTATTAGATCAGAGAACTGCACCCCTACCGTGTGCCAATAACGCCGAAAAAAGACATATCAAACTCAGTGAAAATGAAGGCATGGCTATACAACTCCACCAAGGGAGGCTTAGAGAAGAACCTCATCTTCTCGCCTGACGCCCGAACCCCAGGGTCCCCACAGGGCGACCAGCTGCTCATCCAGGTGATCTCCACAGCCATCAACCCAGCCGACTACAAGGCGCCTGCCATGAGTACTGTTTGCGGGAAAGTTCTAATTGCAAGTACACCCGCCAGCCCCGGAATGGACTTCTGCGGGCGGGTCATCGCTGTGGGGACAGATAGTTCTGCACGGCAGTTCACTCCAGGCCAACTTGTCTTCGGCTGTCTTGGCATGCCACGGCAGTTTGGAACGCTTGGAGAACTTATACTCGCAAGTGCAAACAGTACTGCTTCTTTGCCGGTAGGAGTGGATCCAGATGCAGCTGCTACCATTGGGGTTGCGGGGCGGTCGTCGTACCAATCTATCGTGCCGTATGTATCGGCTCCAGGGAACAGAGTGTTCATCAACGGCGGGTCTGGGGGCTGTGGGGTTTATGGCATCCAGATTGCGAAGTTGCTGGGGTGTCATGTTACAGTGACTTGTTCTACACGCAATGTACAGTTCTGCCGTGACCTTGGTGCGGACGAGGTGATCGATTATACGACACAGGATGTTTTGAAGGAACTCAAGTCACAGGGACAGGTGTTCGATCACGTTGTGGATCACATTGGGCTGCCTGATGGTCTTTATCAAGAATGTCACGCGTTTTTGAAACCTGGGAAAGTGTTTGTCCAGGTTGGAGCCTCATCGATGCTGACGTTCGCCCACCGGCTTATCCGCCCCGCGTTTCTTGGTGGCGGTAAGAGGAAATACGTGGCATTGCTTATGAAGAACCATAAGGATGAGTTGGTCCAGATTGCGGACTGGATCCAAGAGGGAAAGATCCGGGTTGAGCTTGACACGGTATGTGAATTGGAGGATACCGTCAAAGCATTTGAGCGACTACGTTCGGGAAGGACAAGGGGCAAGATCGTCATCCACGTCACAAACCTTGATAGTGAGGCTGCCTAAAGACTGATATGTTCTTCCACAATGACATTTTGTCTCCAGTTTACCTTCGTCTTCATTATAATCTTTCTCCCAAACTTAATACCTCATAATATTATATACCATTTAGAAATGGGTATTCAAGCAACAGATAAATATACTGAGAACAGCAGACAAACGGGGACGTATCAATAAACATGCCGAGATGCAAATATTCTACACACATTTTCCAACGCCAATTGCCTGGTGGAAGGCCGTATATACCAGAATCAAGGTGCATGAGTAGCATACCCAGTAGCCATACGTTGAATCTGTCCGGCGTAAAATTGCTGCATACAGTCAGAAGGATTCCGACAAAGTGAGGACTGACATACCGTTTCTGCACCTCCACCCAGCACTCTGATCTGGAAAATCCTCGCCCATAGAGGGGTCGGTACCTTTCCTAGAACAACGTTTGCTTCATCGTCTGTATACTTCTCATCCATCATTAATTCGGGGAAATTGGGACAAACAACTGCCGGGCGCCCGACGCCGACAATGTCACACGCTCCACCCTTTAAAGCGGCTTGGATACCTCTCCGACTACGGAAGCCTCCAGTAAGCATAAGGATGAGGCCTGGGAAGCGTTTCCTTGTCTCCTTCGCGAAGTCAAAGAAGAACGCCTCTCTTGCTGCTGTACGCTGGACACTCTTGGTTGCAGTCTCTTCCTGTAGGCCACGACCCATCATCTATAATATCAGATAAACTTAGCCTGTTATCCTCCATAGATATGATGGCCATTATTCATGGCAGAATAATTGACAATAGCAAGCATCCCAATAGGAAATTACAGTCAAAGTGATGCTGGAATGCTAACATACCGTTGGGTCCTCATATGTTCCTCCCGATACCTCAAGAAAATCTATTCCAGACTCTGCGAAGAGGCCAATCTGTGTCATAGTGTCCTCAAAGTCAGACGCGCTATGGTCCGCAGAGTTGAGCTTGAGTCCGATGCAGAAGTTCTCAGGCACCACGGCACGGGTTTCTTTGATGATGTCAAGAACGATACGAGCGCGTCTTTCAGGGCTGCCACCGTACTTATCATGGCGTATATTACTCTTCAATGTTGAGCCACGTTAGTTATATATATGCGGATGGCCTCTGGGCGTATAGTTTGTAAACAAAGCTTACCTTCGGGGACAAAAACTGTGCTATTATTCGAACCCTCGTCAGAAAATGCAACAAAGCCAGACGAGGAATGATTCCAAGAGCCGAAGGACTTACACAAAAGATAACCATGAGCAGCATGGAGCTCAACACCCGCAAAACCGCATTCTGCCAAGAACCGGGCAGAGTTCACGAATTTCTGAACTACACTCTCAATATCTGAAACAGTCATTTCTTTGGGAACACCAAAAGCGATATTCCTAATGATGGACGCCGCACAGCCAGTTCCTATTTGGAGCGGAATCGGGCTGGGTGCGACAGGCGTCCCAAACACGCCGCGTTCGCCTGCACCTCTGGGGGACTGGCGGCCAGGGTGGCAAATCTGAGCGATGGCTGGAGTGCCCTGCTCCTGGCAAGCTGCCGCGTATTGCTTCCAGGAACGTAATTGATCTTCTCTCACGCCGGATTCACGGACTGCCAGGTCATAATAGTTTCCTAGGTCACGTGGATCAACCTGGATGTTTCCTGTTCGAAGTGTCAGCTTTCAGTTTGACTTTCTTAGGGACATTTGAGTCTTTCTTCACCGGTCAGTAGGCCACCCCATTTGCCTTTGCCCCATTCGCCGTAAGCCCGTGTGAACTTCTGGTCAGGCACGCGGCTCTTATCGGCCATAGCCTCAGCCATAGCAGCCTACATAAAGGATATGAGTTCATGTCCTGCCACATCCAAGGCCAGGTGGGAGACTTCATTTCTACCTTCACTAATCGATTCTGCAGCACCAGGCCACATGGCAGTGTGATCGGTTGGTTGATATCCGATGTCATCTTTCAGAATTGCTCCAGTATAAGGCCAGGGTCGAGTAGTTGCCTCTTTCCCTCGCAGTGAAATAAGCCCAGCAGGTTCATTCCTCTTTTTTATTATCTTATTTTACATATAGGGTAAATAAATGATAACGTTGTCCGCAATCTCAGGGGTCGGATAAACCATGTGGAGGTATTTAGTCTGGCCCAGATTATCACACGGAATGTGTGCTCGGGTTCGGTGCAACTTCTCGCCCGTAAGGGGTCATTTCAAGGCCTAGTTGGTAGAGCATTAAGGCTCTTACATCGGTTGCCTGATGTCAATCTTAGTTGATGGGCTGTTGGTAACCCGGAACAAAACGTGGTCATCCAAAGGTGATGCCGGTTGCATGACTCCATCTATACAGCACTTTACCCGTGGCGGGCGATGCTAGTTTCCTTTTGGTTAGACTTGCGAGGAGTGGAGCAACGAGTACCCACAACGAGCTCAGTTAAGTGGGATATGGAGGAATAATTGTCCCGACGCTAAAGCATCCAGCCGCCAAGCCTAAGGTTAGCCCTAACTAGGGTATTGTTTTTAACAAAGTCGACAACAATACCAAGGTACGTAGGATAAATATTGCCTATCATTGCCCGCAAGACATCATGGTACATCGCTTCAGCATAATGATCATTAAAGAAGAATATGGAAGTTACGTTGTCAGCATAAATTGACCTCCGCGGTAGTGGATCGCATTGTACTACAGGATTACGAACCCTCCGTGTATTTTTAAAACAAATATGCTCAGGCTGTAGAGTATAACTATTCTTGTATCCGTATCCTCTTAACCTTTCGTCTGGGCAGGGGTTCTACAGTGACGAATCCTATCACCTGAGAAACAACCATGGCACAGATTCCAGGCACACAGGTATCAAAGCTCTCAAGATCGCCGCCACCTGTCTCGTCCCGGAACAGCGCCATCCACCGCCCCCTGTGATTGTCGTGGACGCCGGGTACGCCGCTGCGATCTTTGATTATCTGTTCCTTTGGGGAAAGCGATCGTTAACCAAGGGATCAACTCTCAATCTCTCGGGAGCTACCGGACCTTCTGGATGTCATCACATGGATCAGAGGACAAACGTGTAAATGGGAAACCGATCATATTATACTTTGGGGAGCTAGATTGGCTGAATGCATGTTACGGCGCTAATTACTGAAGATCATGACCTTATTGTCGGCATTATGCAAGGGCCATGTGTGGATGGCTTAGCAACATCTCTGCAGGTACCCGTGCTACAAGCCTTGCGGATGATGCCTTTATACCTTTCTAACTAAGTAGTACCCTTGTTTTCATCTAGCAGCGGGTGATGGGAATAATGTATCTTCATAGGCTATCATGTCCAGATCAGAGGCAAGGGGCGCATCTTGCAGACTCACCACAGAGCTTGGAGCAGAATTTATGAATAAAGTCACAGCCCGCACGACTCTTACAACTTTCTTTCCCAGCCGATTAAGAAAGTCCATCGCACCATGAAGCTATTCCTGGTGGTAGTGACCACGTGGGATGATGGGGTGCCTTTACACAAGGCTAAACAGGGAGTACGGCTCGCACCTCTTGGAGGATCCAGGGTTCCTGGTGGGCATTTCGATCTCTACACAGGAGGTGATGCCTTCGAAGACAATACCAAGAGACATCTACGGTTCCTCTACAAGGTCCTGGCTTAGTGTTGATACCGTTAGTATTGCTAATGGAGTTTCATTTTGATATTTCATTTAGATACGGCTTACTGATCGTGAATATTTAATTAGGGCAGAGTACCGTGAAAAATGACGGGATCTTGCCCTAAATTTATTCCACGTGACTGTCCTTTATTCAAACCTCCACATTATATCTGTCAGAGTCGAGATCAGTCGTTGTCAAATAATCTACTGTTTGATCAAATTGGTGAGCATTTAATTGGGTATTTAGGCGGGCTTGAGTCTGGACCCACCGATGATCAGCGTCCAGAATAGAAGCCGTTGCGAGTCTATTTTGCCACGAGGAGTCGGATGAACTGACGCACCCGACGAATGACGACGTAAAGATCGAGCGTATCCACCCTTGATTCTGCGGGGGATATTTGGCCTCCATTGATGATCATTCAGTGTTATAAAACCAAGCTACCTTTGTTCGATCAAGTCACTATCTTTGCTTTCCCAAGCATTTACCACTCTTCCTGGCCTAACCGTCGGCATCCGGTAGCAACGGCCGCGAACCACAGCTAATTTGTTGACTCTCTGGTTGGCCTAACCGACCTAAATTGAAGATGTCTGCTACAATCCCAGATTCAATGCAAGCCCTGGTGGGAAACCGATTAGCGGCTGCGCGACTGGCCAACTATGTCTGGGGCAAGCCCTGCGGAGACGGAGCGAAGGTGCAAACAGTTCCCACCCCAACCATATCAGACACAGAAATCCTCGTCCGCGTCAAAGCGGTCGCGCTGAATCCCACAGACTTTAAACATGTGGATCTTCTCGCTGCGAAAGGGGCCATCATCGGCTGTGACTTTGCCGGAACGGTCGCCAAGGTGGGATCGAAAGCTCCCGGCAACTGGAAGGTTGGCGACCGGGCAGCAGGCTGGGTGCACGGTGGCTTGTACTACGACCGTGGCTCGTTCGCTGAGTTTCTGAAGGTCCCCGGGGACCTGGCTTGGAAGATTCCCCCCACTGTCACCGACGAAGCAGCAAGTACCTATGGCGTGTCTGCCGTCACCGCCGTGCTGGCTCTCAATGCGCGCCTGGACGTTCCGTGGGCAGATGGAGGCCCAGAGGGAGGACACCGTGACTCGCCTGTGTTTATATATGCGGGCGCAACTAGTGCCGGTCTCTACGCTATTCAAGTAGCCAAGCTGGCCGGCTTGAAGGTCGTAACTACGGCATCTCCACGGTCGCATGACTTGGTGAAGCAGTATGGGGCAGACGATGTGTTCGATTACCGATCGCCAACCGCAGCAGACGAAATTGCCAGAGCATATCCACAGATGAGCCGAGCTTTGGACTGTTTTTCCGAAGGCGGGTCGACGGACTTTTGCATTAAGGTTGTCCAGAAGGCGAAAGGCAAGGTGGTCACTTTGTTAGACAGAGGGAAGACGACCGACGCAGGGGTAGAAGTGGACTTTCTTCTCGGGTATGGGGCGTTTAATCTTCCATACCAGTGGATGCCTCCCATCGGCCCTCGATTTTCGGCCAACCCGTCCGACAACGCCGCTCTACGTCGGTTTTATGCATCGTTGCATGATGTGTGCCATCAGCTGCGACCACCGCCTCTCAAGAACATCGAGGGTGGGCTGCACCATCTCAATGAAGGTCTCGATCTCCTTCGCAAGGGACAGGTTGCCGGTACCAAGTTGGTGGCACGTCTGGGGTAACGCTCTATCTCAGTTATACATGTCGGTCTGTGGTGCAAACGTGAATTCTTGTGTATATATATGATTTGATGTTCGTTAAGCGGTAATGTGAGCAAATCTGAATGATAGATCTACCAAAGCGCATGATTATAGTATTTCTACGTCTTGAAGGTAACAGTATCACTAACATGCCTACATTTCCAATTTCTCTTTATTTATCTAAGAAGGTGTGATCACTAGAAAGTAGCAAGGCTCCATCTTGTCAAATTGTCACTATACAGAATAACACGGCTTACATGCTTATTAACTAAGCCCCTAGAACCTTATCGTCCACTTTTCATCTCTCCAGTCCACAGGATCCGGATCTACATTCCAGTCGCCACCGTGGATGAGGGACAACCACACGGATGGATTGTTGACCCGCAGACCGCCTGCGATCAAAGCCCTACTTTCCGATTAACTTTATCCCAATACCAAGAAGCTTGTTACCCATCGCCTGAAGTTAATCCATGATCTAATGGTTGTCATTGAGTCTACGTCATGACGCCCAAAAATACGGACAAAGTTCATGGCGGCGGGCGAGATCCAGCGGAGAACAATTCTGACGTAGGTATGTGCAACGACGGTTACTACTTTAAATGTCTTCCTGCAATCTCCCCAAGAGCCATTCCAAGGTGCAATTTGTTAGACGTTACATTCTCCCTTTACCCCTTCACTAGCCTACCCTGACCGAATTACATATCGAACACCATGCCGTACCTCAAACTCCGAGACGGAGCCCAGCTTTACTACAAGGATTGGGGCAATCCAGATGGCGCGATAGTCACCTTCTCTCATGGCTGGCCGCTCAGCAGCGACAACTGGGAGAACCAGATGTTTTTCCTAGCCGAACATGGCTACCGCGTCATTGGACACGATCGACGGGGTCATGGACGATCTACCCAAACCTGGGACGGGAACAACATGGAGACCTTTGTGGATGACCTGCAGGAGCTGTTCGAGCATCTTGACATCAAAGATGCCATGATGGTTGGGCATTCCCATGGTGGAGGAGAAGTGACCCGCTTTCTGGGCAAGCATGGTACCAGCCGCGTCAAGAAAGCCGTGCTCGTCGGAGCCGTGCCACCCCTGATGCTCAAGACCGCAGCAAACCCAGAGGGAACAGACAAGTCCGTCTTTGACGGTTTTCGCCAAGCATTCCGTCAGGACCGAGCACAGTTCTTTTTACAGGTTGCCACCGATCCATTCTTTGGTTTCAACCGCTCCGGGGTCCAGAAAAGCGAGGGCCAAATTCGGAGCTGGTGGCAGCAGGGCATGAACACTAGCTTTAAGACGGCGTACGATGCAATCAAGGACTTTTCGGAGACAGACTTCACGGATGATCTAAAACGAATTGATATTCCCGTCCTGGTCCTCCACGGCGACGATGACCAAGTGGTTCCCATTCAGGCATCCGGATATAAATCTGTGAAGCTTTTAAAACATGGAACGCTAAAGGTCTACCCTGGAGGGTCTCATGCCATCCATAACATTAACGTCGCTGAAGTTAACAAAGATCTCCTCGACTTCTTGGAGTCTTAAGAGGGATACTAAATACCTGGTGTTCTTGTGTTGCAGCATCCAGAAAGGCTTCACTCACTTGTAATGGATTTTTTGTAATTATTCATTGCACCATCACTAGTTGGATTGAAAATAGTAATTCGAATCGCTGAAGTTCATGATTTTCTATGCTCCCTTAATCCTGTGCGCTACTGTGTGCCACTCGATCGTCTAAAGCTACGATGTTTCAGCGCTACTGTAGGTCGATCAGTTTCTGAAATCTCAGGAAGATCTATTACGGTGGCATGAGTTAATAGCCCGTGACGCTCAGTCGACTTTTATCGAAGTGAACTCCAATAGTAAGAAATCTTAGAATTACTCGAAGTGGGCGATACGACAGGCTATGCGCCCAAGAGTCTTTGTGAATCACCCTGCCAAATTGAAATCTGGGGAATATGGTAGTAGATATCCGAGTTGTGTCCCTTTTCCAGAGCATACATGCTATAGCCGCCCAGAGAGATAAAAAGCAAGGCTTAGTCAAACTTCAGGGAAAGAAGTGGTCATTTAATGAAGCAAAGAGCGGTTACAGCTCTCCGGGCTAATAGCTTGTTTTGAATAGAGGCTGAAATAAGCGTAGTAAACAGAAGGTATTCCATACACAATCAGTTTAGTACGTCTTAACGATCATCTAGTAGATACAGAATCTCAAGTATTGACGAAGAATAGAATATAGACAGTAGAATAGAAAAGAGCAATCCAAACCTTTCTTTGAACTGGAACCGCCATTAATCCCCCTTTGCTCTTACTTCAGCGCGCACCGCATGCTCACTCCTCATCCAAATAGGAAGTTCAATCAGGCGGCTCAGTAGTATGAGGGGACATGTGCCAGTGCTACATCACTCCTCCATCAAATTCTTAAACAAGTCACCCCAAAACCCCGAAATATCCTCTGCGACCACATAATCGCACCCGTTGATATGTTCCCTTAACAGATCAAGAATACACTTACGTGCCTCAGAGCCCCATGAAGCTGACTTCCAGGAAGCGTCTCTCAGGTCCTGTACCACAGCTGCCACCATCCCAAGCAGCATCGCCAAGCTATCCAACGACCATGCAACTGTATTACGCCAAGGGCAGTCATATATATAGAAATGGGCTCCAGCGTACGGGTGGTAATCTGGTTCATAAAGCCATACATCACCGTCCACCCCATCCACCATTACCATACAGCCGTTGACAGTTCCAAAATGGAAATAGATGTCAGTGCACTGAGCTAGCGGACAGGATGGGGTGTGATGCATTTCAAGTTCATTCTCATCGGTAAGAACGTAGTGTTTCAGACTATTATTTGCATGTTGTGCTAAATGTGTAGATTCGAAAGGTATGCCGTGTATCTTGAAGGCAGGGAAGCCAACATTTAAAAGAAACTCTCGAGTACGATCATGGTCCAGGCCAACAGGATTGTCTGTGGGCCTCCATAGCGTGTTTGCCCCAAAGCAAGCTTCCAGCCAGGCTCGGTTTGGTGCTGCAGCACTAAGCATATTGTTCTACATTGATGTATGATGGTCAGTATGTTTAAGTATATAGTTCAAGTTTTGAGAGGTCAAGGCATACTAGGATTGATCGCAAGATCTTGCCTCGGTTATGAGGAACACTGAAGACATTGTAGGCGTATTTGCATGATTGTGAGAAGTAATAAGCATCACTTGTCAAATTCAGGCCCTGGTAAACTAATAAAATAATCTCCGAGGGAAGTTCCAGAAGCCCCATTCTTTATCGCCTTGTATTTCGCGCACAGCCTGTAGATTGTGTTGCAAGAACCACTGCTTAGACCTCTCAAGCTGTAAAAGTCCAGTTGAGTCATGCCAAGACACAAGGACTAACCACTTCTAGAACCGGCTCTTTTACAGTATGCGCAGACAAAAAGGATCAGAGTGGGGAGGATTGAAGTCGTCCATTTTTGGAATAGAGATTTCTTGGACTTAATAGGACTGACTTCGTTTCTGGAAAAAAGAAATAGGTTCATGACACTGATGAGCAGCCACCAAAGAATAGAGTACCAAAGATGTGTTCTGTCCAGTTAAATCATAGGTGCCCTTTTAAGATCGGTATTTCCTGGACTTGAGATAAAGCATTTAGATATCATCACTTGTTGCTCTACATTGTGTCACGATTTCCCCTGCGATAATCACAGGAGATAGGGTACATTCTATCATAGAGTCAAATTTGAAGCAATCAGCCAAGAGATGGGGTGATAGCTCAGTTGGGAGAGCGCACGACTGAAGTTTCAATTCAGTCACCACCTGGTAATCGTGAGGTCGCTGGTTCGATCCCGGCTCGCCCCATAATTTTTTTCGTTTTCTTGGGTTAAGAAATGTTATCACATACAACACATAGTAAAGTACTTGTACGGCTGTAGGTCGTAGTGAATCAATCCCTGCAAGGATATGAACGAACTTGTCAAGATATTATGGACCGGAAAGATCATTGATCAACCCGAAATGTAGATCTAATAATGGGTTCTCTGTTTAGCTTAGTGTCTTGATGAAATATTTTGTAATAGTCCGCTCGTTGGAGATTGTCGGCGGTTTCTTGTGCCATCTTCATTGCATACGCGAGCTCCTCCGTGATGATATTCTTCTGTTCGGCAGTGCACTTGCTTCCATCCTCTTCAACCCAACGTGTGTAGATTTCAGGAGTAGACACATTGTCCATGAAGTGTGGGAGCACAGCTCTCGCATGAACCTGGTGAATGACCGTAAAGGCTGCCACTATGGCAAGCCATGGAATCCACTTCATCATGACGAAGATGCGGATGTAAGTTTTCTTTCATGGAGACAGAGGCTGGGACTACGGCGCTCTTTATAGCTCCTTTGAAGCCGATTATCTACCTATCAGTTACCAGGCGCAGAATCCAATCTAGGTTATATTCTGTAACTCGTGTTCATAAGCAGTTATAGCTTGATTAGAGCATACCTTGTTTCAAACTTGAAGAAATTACGAAAAGGCCCCGTAAGTCTCACTAAGCTCGCCGTAAACATCAAACTCCTCGTTTTATTAGAGGAAGGGCTGGGAAAGGATGAACTCGCTATAGTCGGAACAACCAGAGATTATGCTTGTCGGAATAGTAAATGCAGAAGAATTACCCAGATTTAGGGGAATGTAGCGCGTTTGGTCGATAGATAGAAGAATCAGATCAACATCAAAAGCAGATATATATTTGGTTGCAAGATATTCATGCCCCTTAATAGCTAATAGAAGCTATCTAAGGTCGCCTTCTTGAACATCAGACGCTTCTACGGCTGATTGCATATCATTCTATGTGATGGCACCCGTCCGATATTGCAAGGCATAGGGCGCTTCATCAGTGAAGAACACAGATTAAACAGAGGAAGACCATGTCCCCAGTCCAATGGTACCATAATTTAGGGGCATTAGTGTCTTTGGTGTCAGGCGACTTTGTGGGCCTAGGAACTCCTCTCGCTCTATTCTTTTTTCCTTTCCTCTTTGTGTTATCTTACACCAATATCATGACTGATAGTATGGCAGAATGAAAAGAAAACAAGGTATCGTTATAACAATAAGCACGACAACTGTTCTCAAAAAGGATCATGTTAGGTAGGCATTCGTTGGGATATCTAATGATAGCGGCAGACACACATTTAACAACCATCATGCTGGATAATGGAGGAAATAAAAATGAATATACGAAGTACATGTTTGTTATTGGGTGTCAAAAGGAAATACGCGACATGTAAATTTCCTACTCATCTTCAGCCAGACCTGTATGCATTGTTTCTCAGCAGGAGTCTGGTCATGGTTCCTTTATTTAACGGCAAGGGCAAACAACTTGAATACATAAACACGCGCCGTTCTTAGTTCACTTTCTGTATTTGACCCAAAGAGCAAGTGACAGCCTGTAACCCTTCAACCAGATGGCACGATGCAACTCACCATGCCCATGCTGACTTGTTTAGAACAAGCCCGTACTCAATGTTCTTTAAGAACTAGGACTTTTCCGTTAACCCATTCAACTGATGTTACAGGGTGCGGCTGTTTCTTGATCTTATAATGAAAACTTATAATGAAAAGTACAAAGGAGATGAATGATATCTCAGGTCCCTACCAACTAGTGACGGAATAGTACTAGGGATGAACTCCACAATAGTACAAACAGAGATTCTCTCGGCGGCCCTAATCCTGATTTCTTGCTATTACGTACTCCGTACTCCGTAGTCTAGAGGCGATTGTGATAAGGTTGAGGCCCAGTAAAGTGGATAAAGAACGAAGGTCCGGTCCTTTACGGGCAACCGAAGGGCGATGCAAATTTCTCATTATTGAATCTCCAAGACCCTTGTTCTGTTCGGATATCGCGGATGTACCATGGTGATCATTCCAGCCCCCCTTATATCTCTTTAGGGCCGCTTAGGCTGCGCGATTGTGACAGTCGGAGTCCAGGTGCGATATCACTCGAATCATTAGGCGTCCACATCACAGATATCTGGAAATGGGAAAGGAACGAACATCACGACTACGCGGGTTGAGATTGGGGCCTCTCTTTAACTGTGGTTATACCGAATATTCGGTGTTCCGCGGCAGTGTCTTCAATTCTCGGTCTCATGTTGCCTTGAGACGAGGTAGACTTGGTGGGAAAATTAGGTATGTTAAGTTTCGCTCGTTGGCTTTATACATTATCCACAGAAAGGGTCAACTACCGCCATCTATAAACTAGTAGGTATACTTATATCTCGGATGTCTATCCCCCAACTTGTCCAACTGCTCCTCATACGGCAAGTCTTCGACTCCCCTCAACAATCCCACTGGATCACTCTGTTTCCTGCGATTCAACATCCGCAACAAACCAACCTGCGCCACCACAAGCGCCATCGCAATCACCGTCAAGGAGAGATTGAACCGCGACCCCAGCTCAAAGTACGGCGCGGACTTCTCGGGGTAGATCCAGGTGCTCATGATCCCGCCGCAATTCGTCGCAATGAATGCCATAGCCACGGCCGTTGCGCGCCGTACATGACCGGCCGTGTTATTGGGCACCCAGCTAATCAAACAAGGGGCGCACGCATACACACCAGTGAGGAGGAGCACCAGGGCAGCGTAGCGAACGCCGACGCTGCGGCCATTGATGGCCAATGCTGCACCGATTAAAGCAATGCCGCTGGTAACGAAGGCACCGATGCCGCGCTGCTGGTACCGGTCAGAGAAGTAGGCAGTTACCATGGTCACGACGAATCCGCAGGCGTACGGTGGCACGGTCATGAGCTGCGTCTTGGTGGAGCTGTACCCGAGTGCCTGCACAATGGATGGTGAGAAGTATGCGAGACCGAAGAGACACGCGCCGTTGCAGAAGAGGATGAGACATGCGATCCACACATGCAGGTCCTTCAGGACGGATATGACTTCTTTGAAGGAGACCTTGGTTTCAGTCTCGAATTTGTTACCGTCTTGTTGCAGCCGCGCGGTGCATCGCTCCGCGTGCTCGGGGCGGAATGTGATCACCTTTTCCGGGCCGTTGGGTAGCACTAGGAAGGAGAAGAGACCGAAGCAGACTGTGAAAAGGCCTTCAAGCAGGAAAATCCACTGCCATCCCTTCATTCCCCGCAGGCCGTTCATCTGCTGGATGGCTGCAGCCAACAGACCTGAGAAGGCACCACTCAGGGAAGCGGCGGAGAAGAAGAGCGCGATGCGGACCTGCAGCTCGTGGCGGCGGTAGAAGTTGGACAGAAACAGCACGATGCCAGGAAAGAGGCCTCCTTCGAGAAGGCCTAGAAAGAATCGACAGGCGAGGAAGCCGGAATAGTTGTGTACTTGAGATTGGAGTGTTGTGACCAGACCCCAGAGGGTGCACAATGTAGGTAGAAGGATACGAGGGCCAATGATCTTCAGCAGGAGATTGGATGGGAGTTCGGAGATCACGTAAGGGACATATGTCACGGTAATGGCTGAGCAGTTAGTGTGGAACAGGCGAGATTATCTGGAAATATGTACCTGTTTTGTATTGTAGATCCGTCAAATTCAAGTCTTTTTGCAGACCGGCCTATAGTCCTATGGTTAGCGGGATATTATATGTCAAGCTAACTGATTGAACTCACCACTCGTGCATTTCCAACATTTGCACGGTCCAGCCAAGCCAGAAGATACAGCATGAGTGTCATCGGCATCAGCACCATGTCCAGCCTCAAAACTGTTTGTCGGTCGAGTTTTAGCGTCCGCTCATCCATTGGGATCTCTTCCTCAATGACATCCTTTTTAGCCTCTGGGTCCCCGACCGGGTCGGGGAATGATTTTTCGTCGGCCATTATGACAATGAAACTGCTATGTGTAGAAATGATCCCCTAGGAAACTCCAATGGATGTTGCAGTCGCCGCTTTTTATACCTGTGGTCTCAATGCGAGTGATGTGTCACTGCGCAAAACTCAGAATTGCCGAACAGTTGGCCGAAGCAGCTGTGAATACGGGGTGTGGTTCCTGCGTTGTTGGGGAGGGCCAATGACATTTCCATAAGCAATCCCAACACTTCTAGCCAAGTGAGCTAAGACGATCTCCTCAAAAATCTCTATCCTCTATCCTGCTTTAAAAATGCGGGGGCGGGGGCACTAGGAGAGGGTTGTGGGGAGACAGTCATGTCCTTAACCTCGGCAGCCGGACGCAATGTCCAGACCGTTCGTTCTCCTTATCGCAAGATCCACGAGGGCTCTATGAGCATTGGGCTGGAGAATTACTCAAGTCTTCGGAGCGCCCACCGGGCCTATTAATTATTAAATGTGTACGTTATCTGTTTCGGTTATATATGATAATACGACATAACAGAATCAACTTGGTTTGTCAAAAGAGGTGCAAATCCAAACAATGTCCCTGTCGCAGATTAAACGGGCCTTGGCTTGAAGTGAAATTAAGAATGTAAAGGATAAGACATCGCTAGGACCTTTGAGCAGGAATTGCTCGATAAATCAGACATAAGTTAGGGTTTTAATCAGCCTCACGTGCTGGCCATAGCCCTTAAATCAAACATTGCCGTCTGACGAATGCTACGAATAAATTACACTGCGTATGTGCAGCACCCAAACAAAGGTGTAACAATCAAGGTTGCCGGTCTCAAATAAGGCCCGCACGCGGCTTTCCTAGACAGGTCTAGCGCCTAAGCTCTAAGGTATAAATGAACCATCTATTCCTAGTATTTTCAGGCCTTCGAGTGATGGATCAGGCCCTCCATTGCCTGTCAGATCTAATACATAGTCCATCCTGCAGTCGATTGCCCATTCCTCTTATGAATTCATGCGTTCTAGAGAGTATAGAGTTGCAGTTGAAGTGAAGGAAATGGTGACTATACCAAGATCGCAGTACCAATGGCGTGCTCCACGAACGGAATCATTGCATCCATTGCATGACAAATCCCCCATATGACGTGACTAATCGTTGATTGCTTTCTTTGTCTGTTAACTTCTGTTTACTTGATTCCTAAGCTTGCGACTCAATGAGCTTGATAATCGAATAGAAGGAGCCGGAATTAATTCCGGGCAGGAATCCTGCGGCAGCCCCACTCGAGCAACTGTTATAGAAGTTATATAAAGAGACACCGGCTGGAAACCATATTGCTTCCTCATCTTTGAGTACAACGTATCCAGTGCAGCTAAGACCCCTTGAAGCTACAAAACTTCTCCCTTCTTCCGAAATCAATCATTCACCATGGTCCTCAAACTTTACGGATTCCCGGCCTCCACCTGTACTAACCGAGTACGCATCGTCCTCGCAGAAAAGGGTCTCGAGGCCGAGTTCCACCCTATCGACTTGAGCAAGGGCGAACAGAAAGCAGAGTCCTACGTGAATGACCTGCACCCATTCGGCAAAGTCCCCGTTCTACAAGACACCGAGACGGGTGTTCAGATTTTCGGTTCGCAGCTCGCCACCGGCTGTCTAATTCAGAGCAACACGCTAATATCAACCGAATAGAAAGCAGAGCGATTACTCAGTACCTCTCCAGCAAGTACTCCAGTCAAGGAACCACACTTTCCCCTCCCGAGTCCGATCTGAAGGCCTGGGCTCTGTACCAGCAGGTACGTTGACACCTTGGCACGTACCTCGGATAGCGCTAACGGATGCAGGCCCTCTCCATTGAACAAGCTTACTTTGACCCGCTCGTCTCTCAGATCGCTTTCGAGAAAGTTTTCAAACCCCGCAAGGGTCTTGGCCCGACCGACGAGGCTCGCGTCCAGGTTCTCTTTTCGCAGCTCACGCCTACCCTCGAGGGCTATGAGCGAGTTCTTTCCAAGCACAAGTACCTTGCAGGTGACCAGGTAACCCTTGCAGATCTGGCGCATTTGCCGTATGGTGTATTTGTGGAGCAGTTCGGGTTTGCCGATCTTCTTCCGAAGTATCCTCATGTTCAAAAGTGGTGGGGGGAACTGAAGGCGAGGGAAAGCTGGAAGAAGATTACTGCTTAGATTTATGCAGCTGTGGCCAAGGGACTGAATTGAGATTCCGCCTGAGATCAGTGATTGTCAATTTTCGGAGCGATGCACAGAAAATAGCTAGTTAATATGACATTTTTGCAAATTATAGCGTGATAAATGTTGTGAGCGACCTAATTGCTGTCTACAAGCGACTGCCACTATTATTCTTGGTTGCCTCTATACTTCGTACTAATATAGAGTAAACGGCGCTACTAATATTTGACCCACTATGTAGTATGCCACCCGTCAGGCCGCACTAGTAATTTACGAAGCGACGTGTCCTGCACGTGTTTTTGATCAAAATATAGCTTTCCACCTCTTGATATTTCTTTAGTGATTTGGCGCCTGCCTGCCTATCCGCCCATCTGCAACCTCCACAGCCATGGGATTCCATCCGATTGAAGTAAGAATTCAAGCCCTAGCCCTCGTAGCCTGGGGGATCCCCACTGAAGAGATTGCTGCAGCTCTAGGGCTTTCCCCGCGGACTATCCAGGGAATCTATCAACGTGCAAGGGCCAGAGGATTCGATCCCGCCCAGGACGAAGAATCAAAATGGAGTACGTGGAAGACACTAAACGATCTGGTCGACCAAAGAAGACAACCGAAGAAGCCGAAAACGCGGTGGTTTAATCAGTTACTTGCACCGTGGGTGACAGGGCACTGGGCTCATAGCATATAGCTATTTAAGGTGTGATCCGTGCGTATCAGACCGTGGGGTCTAATGATAGTGACATTTTAGCTTAGTTAGGGCCGGACCTGCCTTTTTTCAAATACCAATAATTGAACTATTAGAGAGAAATTGTCAGATATCTTCGCTTATAAAGCCATATATCTTGTTCCGTTGTGCTTTGTATATTAAAGTACTATGTATTTATTAGTACGTCTTGTCTGGAATTACTGATTTTGCAATGGTCAAGCACGTGAAGGTCAACCTAAGTTACCAGTACTAGACCTTAGATAATTGGAAGAATATAATTTGGATCGATAAGAATAGGAGCTTAATATATTGATAAGGTGCCTACGACTATGTAATAGTACGGAACAAAAGCTTCTGGAGTTCGACGACCACTTGAGGGTTGGATCCTCTCATATAGCTTGACAGCTGACAAGCTCATCTACCTATACGAAGTAACCTTGCACGAGCACACCAGAGGTTGATTGAATAATTGAAGAAACCCCCTCAGAGAAAGCAATGAAGATGTGGCCGGTACGGACGACGCACGCATAGTAAACTGAATCCTCAACGAATGGGACAATATTTGAGAAATTTGAGATATGAGGACCTTGCTCTCATTTTGTGCCTCTTATCAAGCTATTCTATGCTCTAACCTTGGGTGTAATTTTGATATGCCGCATTTTATTCGGGATAATCGGAACAGAAGTATGAACTTGGCTGACCTGACATCTGAGCAGCGAGTGTCTCCGGACCCACTGCTATTTCTATTAACTCTATGTAATCTCAACCTATGCCGCTCGGACCCGGGCACAGAAGTCTAGACCACGTAAAGCTATACGGTAGGGGCCTGGATTTTGACACGAGGGATGCCACTGGTTTGCGCTTAGTGCTGCAGGACAAACATGCAGTTAGATCCAAACACATCGCATGCTACTCTACACTTGACTTCTTGATATGTAGTAAAGCCATACAACAAGTCACACCCCATTCTAGTACTACTGAAATCTGTACGGGGTACAACCGTTCTTTTTTGTAATGAAATCAAGCGGGTCGCTGACCACAATTTCAATCACGGCTCCGGTACTCTTTTAATACAATCATATTTCAGTACCAGCCTAAGACAGCACACCCTTTCATCGAGGACATATTTCCCAGCTATTCAATTAGCTGGGCGTGGGTCTGCTATATGGTGTGGTTATATTAGATTTTGATTCAGAGTGTGTCTGTAGCTTCCCTCTATCCCCACTAAAGACGGCGTATGTTTACAACTATCTTGCCAAAATATATATCAGGCTTGCCGCTCTACAAATATCCGAATTATATCCTTGTCCCCCATCAAAGTACCACGTTTTGACACATTCAGAACTAAAAGATATTGTGATAATCTTGTTATATACTGAAATATTATATAGTAATGCCTCATTCAGCCTCATAGCCGGTGATACACTCCAGATCCAATGTGCCGTGGCATCTGCAAAGTAGCGTAGGCTTATATTGTCAAAAAGTCTAAGAAGACTTCAACCAACAGGCGAGATGGCCGAGCGGTCTAAGGCGGTTAGTACCACTAATAATCTGATATCTTCTCAAACAAATAACTAATAATCTCTCAGCTGGAGTAAGGTTCCAGTCTCGAAAGGGGCGTGGGTTCAAATCCCACTCTCGTCAACATCCTTTTTGCTTCCTTCGTACTTGTTCCTACCTGTAAAGATGAACATCTCTATTTTTTCTTTCCTAACCTAACCCCCTTTACGGTAGCTTAATACTGCTACTTCGTATCGATGTATTTTCTCCTATCGTTTGGATGTGTCCGCTGGCCCAGACTCATTCTTTGAACCCCTTGCTGGGTCAAAAGATTCTCACGTGCAACCCACAACAGGGTGTGCACTTCTTCCCTGGAATCAAACCAAATGAATAGGATCTATCACTTATAATAATATAATAACAGTGCTCTCTTATACTACTAGAACTCCAGTGTAGCCTGGGATCGTATGCGTGCAACACAAACCAAGACGACCCGAGGACCTATTGCCAGTACTCTGGGTTCAGTCCTGGGGTTAACAACGGTATTGCTTCCAGTCTACAACAATGGCTCACTTCCCATATTTAAGGTATTGCGATTTCGAATATCTTTAGCCCATTGTACCACCACGTGAGAGGTTCATTGATTGTTTCTTAACAAAACTGGGTACTGTGGGGAAGCATCCGTCCATATTGATCATGGACTGATAGACCCACCGAGCCGACACTCCCAAGGAAAGGAGTAACTATGTAAAGTCATATTGTACATGTGTTGATCTGCTGCAGATCTGCGGAAGAAGATTTAGCGGTACATATATACTTGGAAACAAGAAAAGGCTTCTTCGGTCTATATTCATCAGAGACAGAGAGACAGAGAGTGAGTGTGTGAGTGAGAGACGGAAGCCATAAATCCAGTAGCAATGATGTATTAACTAGTGTGAAGCTTTACAATGTATGACGAATCCATGATATCTTCTTACTGCTGTCATGATTCATAGCATTTCGAGCTCTCTTCCTCTGCATTCGAAGGCCGGCGACGGAGTAATACCCACTATCAGGTCCACCATGACCATTGCATCGAGACCTTTTGGTTCTAGTTATCAACACGTTTATGGAATGTGTGGAACATCAAGTGCCACAACAAGTTGTCGTCAACCTCTACGGTTCTGGGCTATGCACGCGATAGTTTCGAAACCAATGGAAGGTGGCTTCGAAGAATAGCCCTCAACAGGTCCGAACCTATAACGTAAACCCCGTCCTCCTGAGATACGGCTTCAGCAGACACTAACGTGCTGGAATATGAGAAGGCAGCAAAGCGATAGAAAACAAAACGTCAGAAACAGAGATAGATTACTACTTTCTTGCAACCACTCGCAATGTTGGAGTCGCCGCTGACAGACAGATAGTGATGACGTACTGGAAATTATATTGCTTATGGTTGTCTAGATTCCTGAGCGGGTTTTGCAATGCTGGATGAGAGTTACAACTCCAACCTCAAGTGGAGAATAGCTGCATGCAGCGATATGCAACTTGAGCCCCACTTTTTCAAGAGCTGTCCAAAATTCTTAGCATTCGTTCGGCAGTAAGCGGCAGAAGATTCCATGGGTCTAGAAAAATATCATTCCGCTGGTAGCTGCCGGATGTAACTCCGAGATACTATACCTAAGCGAGTAGGACCCGACAAAAGTCGTTTTACAATCAGGTAGGCTGGCCGTCAATGTTTTGCGTACATCACGACCCAGCTTTTCTGGTTCTGTCAACGTACGCCGCATATAATATTGCTTTACTAGGACGAGAACGGCCGTAAAGAGGAAACCTTGGTTATTGGTACTTCGAACTAGGAAACAGTATGGTAATCGATGATGGAACTACCGGTTGTTTAGGACTATGGCATGAGGTAAGAAGAGTAAGTATACACTAGATGATGAGTTCATTCCAGGCATGGTCTTCCTATGATAGAAGTGCTTCCAACGAATCGAGCACGTATAAAGAGGGTGTTCTATCTCAATTAACTAGATCAGGATTCTGAGTTACAACTCATTCTTCCAAAGAAGCTAATTAACTACCTCACACATCGGTTAAATACATTATGAAGCTCGTCTCAGTCCTTTTATTTACAGCTGTGGCTCTAGGTGCTGCCCCTAGGCCCTTTGAAGCATTTTGGGGCTCCCCCTATGAGGATGCGCCTGTAATTACCTGTCAGGACAGACCTGGACTACGCTGCAACCCATCGATTGGACTTGACTGCTGTCCACTGCTTGACTGCACTGCTGATTGCCCAGGGTGCTGGGGCTATGTAAGTGATTTACTCCGCAAAGTGTATACATATCAAGTTCCGAAAGAATGACTTATATACTGCGAATAGTGCCGGAAGGATTAAGCATCTGAATTTCTGGAGGCGTACAAAATTGCTAGGCCTTTTGGTCCAAACTCGGTGTCTTGTTTAGTGGTCAAATATCAATTGGGAGGTGAGAACGATGAAGCCTTGGGATAGGTTTCATCCTTGTATCAAAAATGTTAGGTTTCGGTATCTTATTGTGTGAATCCAAAGGCTTAACGAATTCAATGATATCTCAAGTACTATTCTGCATAGGGACGTATAACGGACGGTGTCGGTACGCAACAATGCCAGAGACGTTTTTGCATTCGGCAATGTAGGTCCTGAGAGTCAATTGGAATGGTAACAAAAATAGTCTCAATATATCAACTAGGAACCTACCGGCGTGTGGCTTAAAGGTGGAAAATACCTGGGTGCGTGTCTTGTGGCTTGAGGAGGCACTAAGTAGTAGGGTACAGTATGTTGTGGTGGCGCCTTTAATATGGGGGAAGCGCGCGCCGCCCCGTGCCACCCCCGTGGCGCGTTGAGTAACCTCCAACCTTTCGCGCCTCGACTTTCAAGTTTCCTATTAATAATAGCATGTTCACCTGGTAAGCCCCTCGTTCAACAAATGGCGTCTCTTGTAAGACGTACTTGGACTTTGAAAAGTCACCTACGGCCAAGCACGTTTCCCATCGCAAGAGTTCAATCCGTCTTTCCCGTCCACCCTAGGCTGAAAGTGCCACCGCTGTGGACCGCCATCACCCCTTCGTTGAGATCACTCTCGACCGTACAAACCCCAATGCTAAATTCTCGAGAGGAAGAGCGGTCACTTGCCACAAATGGGTTCCAAGTTATCGATGCCGATCACCTGGTTGAAGAGGAAGAGTTGCCTGATTACAAGACCGATTCTATCCAGTTCGACTGGGTGAGGTTTTCCAAGATCGCTATCAAGTAATTGCCAAGCTCGGTTTTGGTAATTCATCCACCTCCTGGCTAGCTCGGGATCTGAGGCAAGTGGGCACGAGTTGTCCATATGAGAATGCTCGGCTGACTTTTATAGGGATCATCAGTATGTCGCACTGAAAGTGTGCGTGCATACCTCAATGTTTCATCGTGAACTCCCAGTTTACGATCATATCTCCCGCCGAATGGGAGATACGTCACATCGAGGACGATGCAATATCCGAAGATTGCTAGACTCTTTTCAAATCATTTGTCCAGATGGAAAGCATATCGTCCTTGTCTTCGAAGCTGCCCAGATGAGCCTACGTGACATGAAGCTGGTGTTCCGGCGGGATGGGTTTGATGAAGACCTTGTAAAGGGAGCAATTATCGAGCTTCTCGAGGCGTTGGACTTTCTCCATACCTATGCAGAGATTGTCCATACTGGTATCATCTCTACCTAGTGTTTTCTTCGGATTACAGTATTCTTCATTCATCGCTAACAGATTGCAGATGTACACCCAGGCAACATGCTCCTTGGCACCAACAATAACGATTTATTTCAAAAACTTGAACAAAAGGAATTTTCATCTCCTGTGCCTCGCAAGCCAGTCTCAAGCTCGTCCAAAGTGACTTGATCAGGAACTCCCTGGTCATCAATTTCATCATCAAGGCGGTTTTCTGCTTCATGGTCAACACCCCCTGTGCCATCCGTCTCAGCTTCCAGAATCACGATTTGGTCTTCTTGTCTGCCAGCATCGGGAATTAGGGCCTTGAAGTCTACCGAACATCCAGCGAGAGATTTGAGCTCATTGTTTATAAGCGTCTCGGTGTCAAGATCGTCGACTTCCACGCTCTTCGGGGCATCAGAGGTCAAAGCAGCTTTAGCATGCACCGCACTAGGCGGCCTAATGGCCAGGAATTTGGAACCTTTGATATTATCTTCCCATCCATCGGGAAGATATTCGCGGGACTCTTTGGTACTATCCTGAATGGCTTCAATTATCTTTAATTCGAGGTCTATTCCAGGAAGCAGGTTTCTAAGCGTTTCCACGAACGAATCTGGATCTGCGATTGCCACCCAGGCTAGCGGAAAGGCAATCGCAGTAATGGATCCGACTCCCGGCAGAAATCCGACGGCGACGGTCATAGAGTTCTTCAAGAAGTTCTTCAGCCAATCGGGCTTCTGGGGAGCAGGTTTCTGAATACTGAGGCCAAAGTTGGCTCTGGCGATCTGAGCCCAGTCAAAGTCCGCATGATCCATGAAGGTCTGCTCGACCTTAGGGGATGCGACCATCTTTGCCTCCAGCATAATGATATTCTTCGAGGTGAAGGCATTTTGAGCACGCAACTGACGTGGAAGCGACAGGAGGTTGACCAGCCCATTGATGTTGATCCCCAGGGTCAGATTGTTCCAATCCTGCAAGCCGTGCATTTCACTGAACGTCACATTCTTCCAGTATACATTCGGCTTCTTGGGGTTCCCGGTATGGTGAAGCATATTGATTGTTGCATCCGCAGCCGCAAAATTAACATGCTGGAATGTACAGAGCTCGGGATGGTCCTCCGAGGCTTGGTGTGCGACGGGAATATAGATGGCACGGATATTGGCCAGACGCTGTTTCAATCAGCTTTTCGGTCATCGAAAGGGCCATTGATCAGAGAAACATACATCGATAAAGACCCAACCTTTGTGCCTTTTCGGCATCGGCATCGCCATAAACCAAGACTATTGAAAATTTTTGATTAGCTGGTCGCATATCACGCGATGATTAAACTGGAGCGAACAGTGTTGTGCTACCCACCTCCATGGCATCACCATCGACCTGCTTCTTAAGACGCTCATCCCAGGTGCAGAGATTATGCTGCACACATCGGTGTTCCCCCTTATGATAGTGGGATCCGTAGACAAAGGGTAGATGGGTCCAGCATCCGATATAGGGGCCTTCTCTACCCTGACCCATGAAACCTAAGGAATGCTAAAATCATGTCTTTTATATGTCGAGCGTGGATGCGAATGCGGCTGCAGTGCCTTGTCCCCCGTATGAGCTGGCACATTCCAGAGGAATTCAACCAGAAAGTGCCCGTAAAAATGATCAACACGATCGGCTTAGTAGCAATTTTTGTCTTTGTGATTCAAAGCAGCGCGTCTGAAGAAGCACTCTCCCTCAGGATATGCAAGAGCCATGTTGAATAGTATCTACTTCAACGAAATGGAAGGGTATGAGCAAACTAAGTGGAGATGGGATGGTGGCTAGCTTTCCGCTCCTTGGAATAGGATAGGGCTGATGGGCGAGGAGTGATGGTCTCTTGAGAGCTTCCATAGCTACCTATTTATGATAATGGCATGCCAAGGGGTCTCAACCCCTCAGATTCCAAAGATGCCATACAAACACCACTCAATCAGGGATTGTACATAGGTTCTAACTGCACATGACTGGGCTTCTAACTCAACTACTCCTTGCTTTGACATAGATTCCACTAGACTGACTTATCACTCAAATCATAGACACATATCATGAGCCCAGGGCTATAATCCGTCACCCCGAGGGCCGCCACCCCGGTTCCATAACCCTGGTTCGATGGTAACAACTTCCAAAAACCTGATAATCTGCGCGATTATTTTTCCAATCAATGACCCAGCTTTCATGTGAATACTGTACATGAAACTAACTCGGTGAACTACCTTATATTCCTTTTGCTGTCCTCCGTAGGAAATGGCGGGGTCAGCACACACAAGGTCTTCCTGTGTATATGTTGCAATCCCCGGATTACTAGTAGCTGAGGTGAAACCGCATGGTTTAGCTGCATACAATCCCTGCAAGGTTCTAGATTCGGAGCTTCGGATTGTGATGTAGTGGCTACTAGCAGTCCAACCACCAGTCAGATTGACAGGTAGCAACTAGTAAGTATATAAAAGAGCAAATATGCAGATACCTTTTCATGTCACATGTCTCCAACAGGTTTGTCGGGCATACAGCTAGCAAAGCCGGAAGGCTGCCCTGGAGATTCACCAGAGGCCCTAGGTCAAGGAGGAAGGAAAGATTGTGGTTCCAAGGCCAAGATGAGCAGAAGGAGAGGAGTATAGGACGCGGGGTATAGCTCTTTGGCCTACGACTAAGAACGCCAGATATTAGATGTCAGCGAGAACGTCATCGTACTACCCACGCGGTTCCACGACCGCCAACTGGCGCCCAAGACCTACACCGTGGAACCTAGCCATAGCTTGGCAACACTGTTGAAGAAGGTAAGAAGGTAAGAAGTTGCTGTCATTCCCGTGGACTGCTTATATGAATAGCCACACGGATACATATTCCTAGCGGAATATCACAACCACCGTGATATTCAACAGGCCATGATTTTACATACCTTCGGTTGTCTTGCGGCTCATCTGGCCGCTGGGAAGTCTGGGCCTATGGCTGGCCACAATCCTATGGAAATACATAGCATACACTATTACTCTATGAGTATAGAAATTTCCGTATTATGAACTGCCGCCCTTCTATGAAATCACGACCTCATTGTGCTGGCGGGGCCTATGGAAATTGCGGCCCTAGGGCTTTTACAAGGATACAGAAACCCCGCTGTAGAAAGAGTGATAGAGGAAAGGTCTATCGGCGCATTAGGGATGACACGTTCTCACTTATGAGCTCCAATATGTTCCAGTATGTATTCTCGGTCTGGATGCTAAAGTCCTCAGGGCACCAAATGTCAATAATGGACCCAACCACATAGCGAAACTAGTACCATAAACGAGTGTGACTATCACTTCTTACCACAGCATCTACGTCTACACCCCATAGATTCCCTAGGCCGCCTACGGCACCGCGCTTGGCTCCACTGCGCTTCCCGCCATTGCAACAATCCTGTTGTATTTCTCAAACGATGGCTTTTATAGCACTGAATTTTCGAGGGTATTTAAGGTCACCCAGGGCGAGGTCTCTACAAACCTCAGTGTAGAACACTACAGCAGCCTTGACCCGCTTCCAGACCATACTGCAAAAGCGAAAATGGCCATCGACTATAACCCAGACAGCGTATCATCTACAGCCCCATGGCCCTCTGGGCCAGCCTGATCAAGAACCAACCACTCCGAGTCAACTGCTCGGTCCTACGGCCGGGGATTCGTTGAAAAGGCCTATAGCCTAGTACTTGTGCGTTCTCCTTCGCATATGTTGGATTTTCCAGCTTGTTCCCAGCGTCCACAGTGCATGGCAATTAGTATATCTCTTCTTATCTATCTAATCTCTGGCCCACCTCTACCACGCGACCACGGAACGCGTCTTACAATGATATGAATAATATGGAAGCGTATACTATACCCATTACTGCTTCCCAACCTCTGAAGTGCGTTTAGTGTCTCTTATTCAGATCGTGCAATATGCTAGGATATTATTAGATGGGACAATCCTAGTGGTATAAGCTCACGCACTGCCGGTATATGATTCCATTTGTCTTTCAAAGGCTCCTGACAAGCTACTGTCCTCTGGCATCTGCTGAAGTAAAATAATTGACATGAAAAGGGTAAAAGCAAAAGGAAAAAAGTATGTTGACGAGAGTGGGATTTGAACCCACGCCCCTTTCGAGACTGGAACCTTACTCCAGCTGAGAGATTATTAGTCATTTGTTTGATAAGATGAGTATTTAATAGTGGTACTAACCGCCTTAGACCGCTCGGCCATCTCGCCTTGGTTGAAATTTTGGCTTCTTATTTGATTACATAAATAAAAGCAAATAATGAAGATGGTCTGCAATACTTCTAGATGGTCTTCAAGTTAAGAATAGGCGCTGCTGAGCCAAACTGGAGGGATAGCGTAAATAGAATATCTAGGGGTAACGCCACACCGGACTCATGCACCAAGACCTGGATGTATGGTTGGCGAAATTTATATACAATCCTGTACTGACACGCTAAAACGAACGTACTCTACCCCAATGCGAGAGCTCGCTTGTGGTGCTGGGGAATATCTCCTGGAAACCAGTTTCTTTAATTTAGCCTCCATATGATGGATAGCACCTTTGTGGATCAAGACCTTCAACAAATTTGCTTCTTAGCCACAAACTACGGGGAGAAACCCGTATCTATCGATGATGCCATCGACAAAAGCAAACAACAGGACAGAGTGTCTTTCAATGAGGCTGCGGAATCAGTCTCTCGGGGAAATATCTGTACTCGTTGGCGGCCATTTGCCCCCATTCGATGCTCGTTGGGCCTCCTTTTATGGCTCAGGTGAAGAAATGCCACGAGGCTCTAACAAAGGCCATCATCCATATTGTGGATAATTGGTGGGAAGGTGGCAGAGGAAAGGGCTTTGAATGTCAGTAATATCTGTCCTTTAGAAGATTACAGCCTTTGTTAACTAATATAGCAAGGTACAATGGTGCACCAACAGAGCAAAAATGGATCTTTCCGTCCGATTGTATGGGCTATTGTAGGTCAGACATCGTACTGGCAAATAATGAGAACCCTTTAATGGTGCCGTTCCGCGTTCGTGAGATCGGTTGTCGGGCTCCATTCAATGCTGTCCTTAGCTCAGCTTATCGATGTGAAAGAACAAGGTTGCTGTAGCCCCATGGTACTGTTGACCTGGAATCGAAGTCTGAGGCAATAGTGGATGATTTACTCAGTCTTTTTGAGCCCAGCCTACCAATAGGAACTAGTATTAGATGGGAATGACAAAGATATTCTTAGAGCAATATCCAGGGAGAAGCCCAGGTACAATCCAGATATACTAGAGTACGATGCTAAGGAGAGAAAAAAAGGAGGAACGCTTCATAGGAAATATAATGGTATAGGAAAATTATGAACCGTTTTACAATCTAAAAAAATGCAATCATCCTCTCCCAATGGCCTACTCCAGATCTAAGATCTAAAAGAGTAACCAGCTCCTTATAGGCGATATTCTATTACTGAATATTAAATGAGCGCCAATTATGACTGAGGTAAAATGAGGGCTTACAGAAAGACTGATTGAAAAATATTGATTAACTAATTGCTCAATTCAATTCTGGACAGGCCAATATATCAATATATTTGACGCCAAATTAGTGCTCATGGATATATTTCATTGAACGGAGTAACAATTTGACTGCTCCCGATCAAACGCCCTCAAACCATTTATGCTCCAACGCCTGACGCACCATGATCCTTCTCCCCGGATTAAAGCGTGTCATGGAACATATGAGACTTTTAAAGTCACCATCAACACCATTCCAGAACGCGAATGGCTCACGCGGGGTCTCCTGATTGAATCCGTCCCGAGTTACTTCAAAAACGCGAACCCATGGGTTGTCACCAAGATGCTTCAAGAACCCGTTGAGTCCATCTTCATCTGCAAAGTAAGAGATCTGGCGCCCGATCACGACAGCGAGGGGATCAACACCCTCTTCCAACTCATCCTCTCGAGCAGCGAAAATGATGCGCTTATAGACGGCGCAGATGCACTAGGCAGCCCGTTACCAGCTGCGCTTGTAGAATTTCAGGTGGGAACTTACAACAAGAGCAAACGAGGAAACATCTGAAGGTTTGTTAACAGGCCCTCTTGCGTAGGCTTCGGGGCTCCTCTACATCTAGTTTCCTGCCTGTTTCCCGACCATGTCGCACCCTGGGGGAATATGAGCTGCATCTTCTAGCATCTTCTAGATCTCCAAGTTGAACTTGGTCAACAAGAATCTCATCATTGCGATTCTGCCAATTGATAAGCACATTGTCTGCTTTTACATCTACAAAGAGTAAGTTGTAGTCCAATATCCTAAGAAAACAGCAGTGAAAATACCTGTGTGTATGATATCCTGATCATGAAGCTCAACAAGCCCAGTAGGAGCATTCTTGAGGATTCTCTTGATCACCACAAGGGGCAAGTCCTTCTGGGCAAGTGCTAAGAGATGACCTGTGAAGTGTTCGAAAACAAACATAGACTTGTCAGGGATCGTGTCCACAGCAAGGCGGACATGGCTGGCATTTCCACGTAGGAGATTATTGACTTCTTCAAGATCTTCAAAGTTGACGGGGTGTATGTACTTTAATATGAACTGCTGACCATCCGCCCTGAAGGAGATATAAGCATGTAAACATGGGGAATGTTCGGTGTCTGCTCACGAGGCACGATAGACTTGACGCGGTGGAGAAACTTCTTCCTTCAGAACATGTTCGATAGTGTAAGTGCGACCAGACAGACCTGTATGCTGTGTAGAAAGCAGAGAGTCCCTTGACATAGTGCTGGTTGTGCGATGGAAAAGAAGCTTTGATCTTGAGATTGATTCGTGCTGGAAAGTGTTTAAATACACTGAGCGTTTACAAAAGCGGCTCACTAGAGGAGCGGGAGGCCTTGGTGCCAACATTGGAGGCAGAGTGTGAGGTGCAGACACTTGGAAGTTCTTCGCGTGTTCAAGGATCAATGTATGCTCGAGAAGACGCGCATCACGTTTCGCATTAGCTAAGAATCAAGAATTCCAACTGATTAATCAATATTCAGTATCTTACTTAGCACCTAAATAACTTTTAGTATACTCCTATCTGTAGTATTTATTTTGAATCTAATAAAGTGAGTAGGATTATAATATATTGATACTATTATACTAGTGACTTTCCAAAGCACTCACGACTCCGTAGTATAAGTCTTCTAATACGCCATGTTCTATATAAAGATTGCCACATTTTCTATATGGGCTGTGTAACAGGTTGTGTAATATAACTCATAAACTGTATATTTCTATCAATTAGGATATAGAGATAGTATAGGTCCTTAAGCTTAGGAATTTCAGGTAATACCTTATTTGAGAAATAGTGTTGCTACTCCATTGCCCTCCAGGTCTTCTTTGGCCACTGTATTGTTGTTGCTATTTACCAGCGACATAGACCTTTCTTGGGCGTTCTGGGACGATCTAGACTCCTAGTAATTAGATACTAAGTTAATGATCTGAGCGAAATTGTATCCAGCGGGGGATTGAGGTCCTTCTTGAAATAAGGGTTTTACAGCTTCAAAGGACCGATTGCAGTGGTCACACCCACATTACAAAAGATAGCTAAACAAAACTCTCTATGGCGCTCAAAAGGGAGGGTAAAAAACCGCCAAACAGGAAATAATAGAATTAACTACAGAGCCATCTCCGAAACTGCCACAGTTACATACAAATCTGTAGCCAAATAACCGAAGCCACATACAGAAGCGAGTGGTAATCACCACATGAAAGGCATCTCTACTTATTCTTCTGCTGATTAGAAGCAAGAAGTTTCTCTGCAACCACTATGTCCTCATCCAAGTCATCAATAGTGCGGGAACGGTGTAAGCCAGACAGAAACTTAGAAGGGCGCAATTTGAGACTACCCGACGTTGGGAAGGGCCCCAAATTACTGCTCGTACCACTGACTAGGGCAGATTGTCTGCTAGTCGGCCTGGGCGAGGCAGTCACAGGAACCTTCTGCAAGTTGGATGACAGGAACTCAATAGAGGCTACCAGCTTGGCGGACCTCTGTAGCACTTGATTGACGGCATCGGTATTATGCACTAAACGATCGCTAACCCGATTCACGGCGTCGAGGACTTCAGATAGAGAAACACTAGGGGCGGTCGCCTTATGACTGGGAGTAGGAATGACGGACTCGATAGCATCCGGTTCCTCCTTCATAGACTCACCACCGTTCTTCGCCGCCATCTTCTCATCATCACTCTCATAAAATACAACAGCCTCCGACTTCTTGAGCTTCTTGGCCTCGCTAAAGGAAGTGCGCACAAGACCGCCAAAGCTGAGAATGGCGCTACAACAATTAGTTTGCTGGTCCAGTAAAAAAAAAAAATAATGATAATAATAGGAACCTACCCAATATTCCCTGGATCAAGATTCTGGCTGCCCGCTTTGGCAAACGCCCTACGAATCGAACAATCGTTTCCACGACCTCGTGCAACGCAATTCGAGCAGGCCCCGTGGTAGAGAGCACGCCCGCGAAAGGACGGAGAGACAATACATACTTCATAACGAGATTTTGTCTCCGTGCACTTGTCGCAGCGCTTAGTGGACTTGCAACCGCTCCGATGCAAAACATAGGCGCTTTTGTGATGCTTATGGTTAAGCTGTACCATGGCCGTGGTACCAGAAGCACGACCGCTTCGTACGGTATCCAACAGGCGTACAGCTGTTGTATCCATCACCGACATCCAGTTCAACCCTGCAACTGTTAGTGGCTAGGTAACAGAAGAGATCAGACACCCACTCTTCTTCATGGCTTCAACCTGAGCCTCACGATCGGCTTCTATCATAGGGAGCAACGCCATGTCAGGGAAATTGACAGCGATACGCGCTGCCGCACTCGGGAGATCAACCATGGCTCCAGTGAAAGAAATCAACAGGGAGGGGATGATAATAGGCAAATGAAGAAGAGGGAGAATGGCGAACAGCGATATCAACCGCAACAGGGGAAAGGAAGGATGGGAAAGAAATCAGGAAATCAACAAGGAGACGCGTGGGCAGAAAGAGTGAATAGCATCACCTAGGCTGCCAACAACCAAGGCTCCATGGCAACGGTGCAGTCAATAAAGGCGATAGTGGTCAAGTGCGATTCACGGGCCCTCCACTTCAATTGCTGGTACACTGGTTTTGACATCACAAGTGACTTTCAATACCACGACGATACTGCTTTTCAAGTAAATCAGTTGTTTGGCTAGCTCGACTGGATCCATGTTGGCTTGGTATTTACTTCAGTAGCTATGTAAGCTTGGTCGGAGTCAGTATGCAAAACAAAGGTATTGAGAGAGAGAAGGGTGAAAGCAAAAAGACAATTGCATATTTTATTGTATTTCAGAGATATCAGATATCTTAGATGACAAGATGGCGAACTCAACCACGCCCCTAGCCAAGTCGCCAATTCGAAGCACCCCTGTGTTAGGCGAAGCTGAGTATAGTGTTCACTTGTATCGATGTTAATACCAATCCCTCTACACTCACAATACGGGCCATGAGAGTGACGAGCTTCTGAGCACTTTTAGATCGTACCTGTCCTTCCAATGGCAATACCTACATTAGGAGCCATCATTTAGGCTGCAGAAAATTGTCTCCGGGTCAATGTGATGCTCTTCATAGTCCCCGTCCAATGCCAACCGATCTTCCAACTCAATCTCCACCATATCACCCGCCTCACTGTGTAGATATCGCGACGATCGTATCACTTCTACCTGGGTACTTTATTGAGAGCTACTGTACCCACATTCCTCGTCAAAAGAACCCGAAACTTGAAATTTTGATACCCCACCGCCAACGATTTGTTTACTCGAAGCCTAAAACTGCATCTCCAGAGTTTCTCTACGATCCCCAGACCTGCCAACCGAGGACTTGACCAATCCACAAGCGGCATACTACACCTGATACAAGTAAACCTGCTGGTGCTGGTGCTAGTACTGGTACTGGCGCCATCAGCTACCACCTATCTCTTTCCCCTCTGACCTCTGCATCCCGATTCGTGCATCCAGAACAGTTTGATTTCCTCCGCACTTCTTGTAAAACTGCGTCCCTGAACTACTGCTCACAGTTATTTAAGTCCTACGTTTAGATTAGGCTTGAATAGGAGGGTAGAGGTAAATGAAACAAGGCTCTTCAAAACAAACATATTCCCCCCGACTCGGCCGCCCATGTTGCTAGGGTTGGTGTAGTAGAGGCGACTGTGCAATTTAGATAAACACTCCAGCCTCCTCCTTCAACGGAATGCCGCTCAGTTTTATCCAGGTGTGGTGACAGCGGTAAGTAAGAATACGAACCGTCGTACTGCTCTTCATGGCCTGGATTAATTCGTGACATTGGTCCAGCAATGCATATCGTAATTTGTTTAGGCAGGTAGTTGGCCAAGTTGCTAATCTTCCTGGTTGGCAAGGCTGCGGTGTGAGGAGGGTCATAAATAGGGAAGTCTTATCAGAAGACGAAAAGACTTGGTAGTGGCAGGAACATCGTCACATACATCAGATATTTGTACCTACATAATTAAGGATATTGACTACTACACTGACCTGTCGGAAAGTCTCATCCGTACGGAATTCATTCCTCATCATCTATTAGCTATGTAAAATTCTATGCAACACAAGGCACACTACCTTCTTGACATGGAGGACAGGTATGGCACTTGTGGTGTTTATATTGGAATACTCAATGGCTACATACAGTCTATTTGTACTAACGCATGCAATAAGGTGTTTGAGAAATCTTCATATCTACATCTACGTGCGGGGCTTGGTACTTGGTATCCAACCCATCATTTGCGTTATTCAATCATACCTCGCTCTCTCTACATCCGTATTTTCCCGGAATTTCCAGAACTTCAAGTAAATTTAGTCGACTATAAGCACACAAACTTCACTAGAAGGATGTCCTCGAAAATGGCCTTCTACCGCTTCGTAGGTAATAGATGAGTTGCATTCTGGAAAGCCCAGATTTGGTAGCCAAGGAGTGTCTCGAGGTATTTTGGGAGGATGTCAGAGTATGCTGATCACTATATGTGTTGTTATGGGCATAGAAAAGGATCTTGCGTGACTCTTTGAACGGGACGGTGCCTGCTTCCAGCATACACATGCTGCAATTGTGGTGGTGATTTGGCTGTGGACAAAGCGCAACGCCTGGGTGAACACACCAAGTCAAGATTTGTTGATTATAGAAGATTACCAAAAACATATCTCTTCTGTCGGCGCATAGCCTGCTCTCCCTAGGTAGGGATAGAAAGAGAAAAAAAATCAAAAAAGATGTTGACGAGAGTGGGATTTGAACCCACGCCCCTTTCGAGACTGGAACCTTACTCCAGCTGAGAAATTATTAGTTATTTGTTTGATAAGATGGGTATTTCATAGTAGTACTAACCGCCTTAGACCGCTCGGCCATCTCGCCTATTGGTTGATATTTTTTCTCCAAAAGCGTTATACATTCAATATCGAAAAGGTATATTATATGGTTCCAGAAGTTGTTCACCCTGGTTGTATCAAATCATAATTTCTTAATATCCTTGATCTCTAAAACTAATGCTTGGCTTCTGTTATAGTTAATACTTGTGTATAATTAATGGAAACCATTCATATTTTCCATGATCCTTGTATACATCCATTTCTTCAGCATAGATATATTCACAGTGGATTTATCTGCAAACATTGTGATCGATGACCCAGATAATATGGTACTAAGCCTTGGCTAATACTAACTAGACAAGAGGTATTTCCAAGTCCTCTTGAACTAACACATATAAAGCGCTAGTGCAGTACTATCAGTAGCAGCGCCTTATTTCCTCGGTAGAGTGATTACTGCTATTGCATGGTTAGAGATTATGACATATAATATTCGGATGTACAAACCCAAGTTGCCTTGTATGCAGATTGCTAGGCAGAACTACGCGCTACTAAATGTGGACACGTACAAAAGAACAATATTGTTTTTAGTGTTTCCTGAGCCACTGGAAAAGTGAATGTTCAGCAGCAGAAGGGCACCTATACACAAACGGCTAGGACTCATGTGACACCAATGCTTACCAGACCTCTACAGACAGTTGATACTCCCTCTTTATTGTTAGTCCTGCATAAAGATTCAACAGATGGCATATATCCATGAAAGGTGCTATGCAACAGTATCCATCTATCGTTTTAAATCATGGCCGACAAACCTGGCCTTATAACAAAAAGAGAGGTCCCGCCTGACGCCATTGCGGAGGTTTCCCTCTCCACGAATTCCCAGCGGGCGGATACCCTGCCACAAATCGGTAGAGTCAAGCGTACAAGGAGAAGGCACACAGCTGCAGAGAAGCTCCGAGTTATCTCCTACTACCGAGAGACAACAGAGCTCGACATAGCTACCAGCGAACTGAAGCCAATATCTCTCAAAACTGCAGCGGCCAGGTTCAATATCCAACCACGGTCACTTAGACGATGGCTAAACAAAGAGAGTTCTCTAAAAGCCCTGCCAGACAGTCGGATGAATGTTATAGCCCCGTCCTCTAATCACCAGCAGCTTGGAAACCTTCGTCTCACGCGTCGAAAGATAGTCGAGCTCGGCATAATAACCAAAAGTGACTGGATTAAAGTAGGTCCACTGTACAGTAAAACTGACACCCTTCATGCTTACCAGTACAAGTTCACCCAATGCACCACCCCGTGCCATTTATCGGGATAGAATCAGGAAAGAAGGGCCGTCTACATACACTCGAGGATGCCTACAAATACCTTGGCATAGAGCAGGAACTCTCCCACCCAGGTCACCCAGCTGAGCCAGAATCGCCCACCGTTCTTAGTAATGTATCATTTGAGATACAACACGGTCATACATGAAGGATGGGTTGAACTATCCATATGAGACGCGATCTGTAATTGAAATCAGCAAGACTTTGTATGCTCTGTCACCGAGAATGAGCGATGAAAGCATTGATTTTAGGACAACTCTTACTCAGGAAGATATACCCCCTAGTTTGCGTCAGGGAAACACACGTTTCTACTACCAAGACTTGAAGAACTGTGTTGCCATAGTATGCCGAGAGTTGTTGAAAGCGAGTGATAAGCTTGAATGTGTTATACCGGTGAGAGTTGGATTCGACTACGACGAACCGTATGCGAGCGCACCGACACAATGGGGTGCCATTCTCTCATTTCATGATAATGTCGAAATTCTACTTCCTTTAGCTTTATCAATGCGGGGTCCCAATACTTTACGTTTTTCTGCCCCTGACCAGTACTTCCTCCAAGGTTGGACAATTGATCACGTCGCTGCCAATGGCCAAGACCATACGAAGAGGCAGTATTATGAGCTCCTGATGAATGTTCTCTCTAAATTTCATGCTTCACCGGTTTTACATATTACAGATGTTGATATGTTGTTTCTCTGTGACAACAAAAGCCTCAAATGGAGACCCCGCCGTTTCTCTGCAACATGGACGCTCTATGATACCATTCTCCATGCTACCTATAGGCGCACAGCACCAGTTACCCCTGTCGTTGGGGTTTATAGCGATCAGTCTTGGTTAACCAAATTCGCTTACGCGGCTCAAGAGTGTCATTCACGATCACGCCGTTCAGGAAGCAGCCATTTGAATATCTGCATAAAGAAAGATCTGAGGTTAAAGCAAACAATCTCCGAATCAAATATCCCATTTAACCTGATCAGGCAAGTTTTGGTCCTGGAGCACACTCCACAAAGCCAAGAAGATGATAGTGCCGAAGAGCCTCGTGTTGATACTGATAGACAAGGAAGTATGACTGCCAAGTTGAAAAGACGTAACCTAATGAAACGTAACTCACTCTTTCTCCTCTTGCGGTCTGGGGAGCGTTTAGTGGACAACAAACCGAGATGTGAATTCCAAACCTGTCCCCTACTGAAAGTTGCGAACTCACGTTATTGCGATATACACTCAGCTGGAATCTTACAAATGGCATCGAGCCGTAGTACGGAACGAAAAATCGGAGACACGGAGAATTTACAGTTCGAATGGAATCTTGCCCCCACAAGCCACTGTGAACGGCAGCTTAGGCTTCTTAAAGAATATTTTCTGGAAAGCCCTCGGATTAACTGGATTATTGATTTCGAATTCCTGTCAATCAGAGCAAAATCGCCCATACCTCTGCAGGTTTCGATTCGACAAATGAATGGTGAAACACTTCTGAGCACAAATATAGATTATGGAATTTCGCTCAGTGAGATTATTGAAGCTGCCACTCCATACACTGGGGCAAATATGGGCCCATTTCTTGTCCGCCTGTATGAGAGCTACCGAACTAATGGAATGAGGCCATCGCAGATCCGAGGATACATCCTCAAATTAGGCTACAACCCCGACAAAGTCAATATATTTAGCTGGTATAGCGCTCAGGATATGCAGTGTTTCCAAAGAATACTCACCGGCACAGATGAAGTAATAGTGGAGCGTCAGAGCCATTTGCCATGCAAAAATTTTAACAAGATTAATATCGCAGCGCTATGTCGGAAGCTTCTGCCACCAAGGTGGCCATCTATGACTCTCGAGGCGACCCATACAAGCTTGCTGGAAAGTCAGTCAAGATATGTACACACAGACCTATACCACACCGCGGAGTATGATACACAAGCAGTCGCAGACATTGTCAGAGCCATGATTGAGATTGTATAGCTGCTTGCATGGTACTAGCTGGTGTAGGCCTATACGCAGAATGAAATCACTCGGGTCATACCTCTGCTAAGTCGGAAAGGATCTTCTTATGGAGCTTAACTTAGCTAGAAGTAGCAATCCTACTAATCGGGGCCTGTGGGATTAGAAAGACAATGAGAGGATTTCCAGCATATGTACGGATTGACAAAACTAATACCTAGGTCCTAGGGTTGAAAACACAATGGATCTACAATGTTTGTACTGTGTTTTAGGCATGTCAAATTTTTCTCTTCGTGTCTAAAGAATCTATGATGTAGGGAGTATGTTTTTAAAATCAAGAAGTATTATATTGTCACAGTAGGCTTCCCAAATCTACTGTATTACTATTACAGCTGGAATATTACTGGCCACAGTACATATTTCAAAAGTGATGGAATAGTGTATTAGCAGTAGAACCAAAAAGCTTTATAATTCAACCGTAGACCTCCTGCTTTCTCGTCACTATAAATATCAATACAGAGCTTGAAACCGTTTCCTCACTGTAGTCTCCAAAATCCCTCCCTTCTCCTTTAAGCAGACAACAGGAGCCTAGAGCAAGGAGCCCGTTGCACCTTGCCCTGGCGAATTTAGCTGTCAAAGCATGGGCAGCCCATGTAGCGGGGTGTGAGCGTCGGCACATTTCTACCATCTCACAGCCAAGTATTATTCTAACTTTCCTAGAATTAACGCAGCAGATAAACCTGTACTCACCTTCTGCTTCCACCCGAGCAGCTGCTTCATCATCTCAAGACCAAGACCAGCGGAGTACTCCTGCTATGGCTGCTGTAACCATGGATGCAAGTTATGTTAGCCATGGTCCCCAGCTACTGGAGGGCGTCTTGCAGAGCTCGAACCAACTCGATTATAATGCTCATCTTGTCTCTTCTGGAGGGCTATATCCTGAGGAAAACTCCCCTTTGACTGGGCTCAGAGGGATGCTTCATTTCAGGAGTATTAGCAGCAGTCAGACAGCATTGGTTATTTTTGAAACTATTCCAACATACATGATTTACTGGTTTCTATCATTTTAAAAAAAACTTACAAAGGTCAATACTATTGTGCGATTTATGTTTTATTATTCTCAATTACATACTCATACATTTTAAGGCTTTTCCATCCTTTTTTTTCTTGGTTCTTTTGGAGACCCTGCATTAAAACCCTGCGCCTTCCGCCCAACCTTTCCAAGTGTGTTTTAGAGATCAACAAACGCACTTCTAGTCAGGAGCATCTAAGTATTCTTTAAAGCTTCATTACCTTTCAGAGCAAGCCGATCGCCCTTCTTATGTGGTTTATTCTTGAAACTTGTCTATTTAGCAAAGACAGCACCGATGATAAACGTGTTTCTTACGGTCATATTATAAGCTACCAACACCGCCGGCAGGTTTTGGACCACCGACAACTTGACGAAGAGTAGTTGCTCCCGCACCTTCAACAACATGGGCGAGGCTCTTGCTATCATATTCCGGTAGTGCCCCTTGGAGATTTGAGACAAGGCCATTGGTGAAGACCGTCTGGGCGACTGCCAGGAAGACAGCACCGCCCAACGACTGAGACAACATCATCAACGCAAACCCAGTAGGGACATCCTTTCTCTCCGGTTCCGTTTGAGCGGCGACACTAGCTCGCTGCATCCCTAGACCTAGATCGAATCCATAGACTACTATCATTCAGCAGAGGCAGTCTTGATTACCCACGGACTAAATTGACGTTCCTGACAATAGAGATTTCCTACCAGTATCTCAGTGTTTTTCATTAACCCACGCACTTTTTTTGGTATCGCTCTCAATCTATAAAATATACTAGATATAATATTTTAATACTAAATTTATTATAAAACGAAAGTCTATATATAATTAAGATTCCTTAGTATTGGTAGTAGTGGTAGTGGTTAGTAGTGATAGTAGTAGTTGTAGATCTGGACTAGGCCCTAAACTTAGGGAGAGTAGTACCTAAATTTTAAGGGCCACTGTACCTAGAGTTGGTTAGCAACACGTGATCACTTCCCTTCCAAGGTACTAATTTTCTCTCCCACGAATGTTGTCCTACTCGTACAGGACTTGACTTCACTTCGGGCAAATGGCTGATCAGACTACCACCCACCCACCGCCTGCAATGGCCACGGCCTCGGACGCGGACGCAACGATGCGGCAGGCCGTGGATCGGTTCCGGGTGCGCATGGGTGCCGCCAACCGCCAGTTCATCGAGGACCGCATTGCTGAGATCGAGGCCCGCGGGCTGGCAAGCGAGCAGGAGAAGATCCAACAGATGGCGGAGTGGCGCCATTTCGGGGCGATGGACACCGACGACGAGCCCGGCGGCTGCAACAATCCCGCCACGGAGCGGACGGCGAACCGATTCCGGCGGACCCGCCGCCTGGCGGAGGTGCCCGCTCTGGCAGAGGACGCGTTCCCCCTCTTCGCCATTGACGGGATCTATCCGGCGCGGCTGCGCACGGATGAGGCGCGGCAGATCTACCTGGATACCCTGCAGGAGGTGTTCCAGCAGCAGGCGGAGGAGTGGGCTGCCACGGAGGGCGAGGACCCCCCCGGGTCGATCCCGCGCTGCAACGAGCTGGGTCTGTTCCTGACGTACGCGCACGAGGTGGCGGATCCGGACTTCCGCCGCTCCGGCGTGGCCCCCTTCGCAGCGGGACTTTATGTTATGTCCGGGCTGGAGGAGGTCCTGGCGGAGGGGCTTGACTCGAGCGAGCAGCGCGAGCGGTACCATGAGCGTGTACGCCAGGAGTGCGCTCGGCTGCGGGAGAATCTCGAAGACGACCAGGTATCGCGATTAATCAACAAGATTTCAATCATTGCAGCCCCAGACTGCGATCTGGAGGTCAAGGCGGGCCTCGTCACCGGCGAGGGCTATGTGGGCCATTACCCCCGGTGGTATAGTGCCTATCTGTACTGCCGTCAACGTCCGGATGAGGACGAGGACGAGGAGACCCAGGATGAGGACGATGACGCCCCGGATGCCCGCAACATCCAGGACTGGAGGTGGCGGGTGGTCTTCATGGAGTTTGAGGGCGACTCCTACGAGGGTCAAATCCTGTATGGGCGCAAGCCGCGATTTGACTCCATCTCCGAGTTTCTGGATTGGTACGGTAGCTGGCCGGATCACCTCGATGCCCGGGCATTGCTGAGTCTCCGCCGTCACGCGCATGGTTGTGAGACCGATTGCGAATCGGACTGTGAAGATCACATTGTGTACTGACCAGCTCCTATTTCTCCTCGTGCAGGTGAGAGATAATATATTTAGTGATTATTTACTCCCTGGTTGTGCAAGAGTCGGATCATGTTACAACTCTAATATGTATCCACATGAGAAACGGGCTATCTGGATGCTCCCGCTCACAGGGCGCTCGACACACACACTCCCGCCTTGCTCCACGCCCGGGGATCAATCATAGAGCAAAAAGCGGTCCTCAGCTAGCTGAAAGTCGCAGATACATTTGGAGACATCTGAGTGAGACTATGCTTTTGTTTGACCATCATCGCACATGCATAGTATTGGAAATGCACATCGGCACATAGAACATGAAACTCAGGTACTACTACTGCGTGGCAACGACAAGTGTACGCCCGATGCCCGGCACTGAGACAAGAACTTGCAACAAATGGCAACTCATTGTGGATGGCGATGACTGCTGGTCAATTCGCCATGGGAGCAAGTCTGGGGGATTATGCTGCCCTATACGCTGCCGGAGTGCTATCTGCCTCGGATTCTCTGTTTTTAGCTGGTCGTCGGGCAGAATTGCCCGAACGTAAATGTGAAATGGGTATTCATGCCATGCTTGCGATTCGGGCAACGGAAGCGGAGGTAAAGGAAACCCTCCATGGTGCGAAGTATTAGGTTGTTGCGCGTAATGGCCGGCGAGAGATGTGGCTCAGCGGCATTATAGAAGACATCCCACACATCGCAGCAATGTTGAGGCGGCTGGAATTAAATGCCATCAGCTCAATGTGTCGTATGCCTTCTACTCAACACAAATGGGCCCAATTCTTGATGGTTATGAAGCTCTTACCCAAGCGGCTACCTTTAAAGCACCTAAAGTCCCATTCATTTCATGCTTGTTAGAGGACTGTGTGTTTGATGATAGGACCCTCAACGCCAATTACATGCGGCGTGCCACGCGTGAGACAGCTAGCTTTATTCCTGCGGTCGATAAAGCATGGGAGATAGGAGTGGTTGACTCGAAAACCATTTGGTTAGAGATCAGACCGCAACCAACATTTGTGCAGTTCATCAAGAATGCATATTCCGGAGGTTTCGTTGATTCCACCCTCCCTGTGGTGCGGGGAAGACAGCTTTGAACCCTGTCGAGTACCTTGGCATCTGTCTACAGTGCTGGCATAGATGTCAACTGGGTGGCACCGGCCATTGAAAGAAATTTGCGCCTGCTAGATGACCTACCCTCGTACAGTTGGAATGCGAAGAACCGTTGGCTTCAGTATACAGGTGACTGGCTGCTTGTTAAGAATCAACTACCAACTTGTATCCATCACGCAGACTCCGTTGGGATTCCATCCACACTCCGTACTTCTCTAATTCATCAGGTGCTTGAGGAGAGTATTTCAGGCGAAGAATGGTCCATTGTCATCCAATCCGATCTAATGCAACCTGAGTTCTTCGAAGCAGCAAATGGCAATCGTATGAATGGACATGGGGTTGTGACATCGGTAAGGGTCTCTCTCCTGTACATGTTCTCAATGCTTTTTAATAACATCCATTGTCAACAGTCAACCCACGTGGATATCGCGCTGACGCTCGCAAAGCATCTCTATAATCGCATCCGGCCGGGCTCAAAGCCACCGGGGATAGATATTCGTAACCTCCGGGTCTTGCAAAGCCTCGTTCTCCTTGAAGACAAGACCATCCCACAGCGAATAAGGCTTCAGTGGTACAATGTCCTACCCAATTCCGAGAATCTGGACTATGGCTTCGCCTCTGCAGAGGTGGAATCTGGAGACAGCTAAGTCTGGTTAGATCAGTGGTCCTTTTATGCTCATCTTTGTAATTACTCGCAAAAGCATTGCTCATGGTCGGCCCCTGAGGTCAATTAGGGCTAAGTTAGTAGCCAGCTCAAATATATATAACACACAAAGAGTGAACAATCCTAGGAAAACTGTAACGAGCAAATGGACAACACACAGTATATAGTATCCGTAGCTAATGGACTATAGAGCAAATATTACGGATATTAGAGGTCCACATATTAATTTGGTAGTGACAGTCAATATTGAATCAAGTTGGAATGATAATTCTTTATTAATAATGGCTTAGATCTATATAGCTTATATAAAAAAAAGAGAAGCAACCAAAGGCGAGATGGCCGAGCGGTCTAAGGCGGTTAGTACCACTATGAATCTCATCTTATTCAACAAATAACTAATAATCTCTCAGCTGGAGTAAGGTTCCAGTCTCGAAAGGGGCGTGGGTTCAAATCCCACTCTCGTCAACATACTTTTTTGCTTTTATCCTTTTCATGTCAATACCATAGCTCTACTTTATGCCCTCATTTTTACCCAAAGGAAAAAAAAATATCGACATTGAGTAAAACATGTCTCCCTCAATCCTTTGCCCTCATCCTGATAACCTGAATGGACATAAGCACATCCAATACTGGGAATAACCCATGGCTGAAACGCTCCACTTTCTTTGTACAGTCTTCAGATCCCCGTGATTCCGAAACTTTCCTCTGAATTAAATCAGATTCCACCTCGGACATAAGCTGGAGATAATATCGTTCCGGATTCGGTATAGAATGGTATTTGACAGTCTAACAAGGTTGGCCCAGAGTCAATTGATCTACGGGGTAAATTAATAGCACGCTTAGCATGAACCGTGCAGCACATTGCCCCGTGTGGGCCTCCATGATGCTCCTATCATTGCTGGGGTTTTGCAGGAGCGTAGTCTGCTGGCTATGGAGATCTCTCGTGCCCAGACGACATCGACTGGCCGCAGAATACGAAGTGATACGAGTTTAACTAGAGCTCCATGTAAACCACATAACACAATGTTATTCTCTTCTATAATAAGTTCAAAACAATTCCAATTACCTAAAAAGCAAGCATTGAACCCGACTTCGGAGTATGGGATAGACTGATCATTTGTAGGGCGCATAGAAAACGTGCTGAGTCAGCCATCGAGGGGTTCCTGGAATAAATTCCATGAGTCACCTGCCTTTGCGGGGCAAAAGACTTTTGGATGTTGAAAGTGCTTATCTTCTTTCCCGCACACGAATTCCTGCCAACCCCAGTCCCCCCCTGACTACCTTGAGGACACCGTAACCCACTCACCATTGAAACATTGACGTCCTCTGATCGGCTGGAAACATGACGGAACAAAATAAACCCATCCTCCCCGAATCCGGGAAGCGCAATTTCCTCGTCACCAGCGCTCTGCCATACGTGAACAATGTTCCTCATCTGGGCAATTTGATAGGCTCGACCCTGTCGGCTGATGTCTTTGCCAGATATGGTCGTGGTCGTGGTGCCAACACCCTTTATGTCTGTGGTAAGTCCTCTATACAACCCCGCGAACACTATCAAACCCCTCCATTGCTGCGCTCATGCTAACTGTCCCGGTCCTTCAGGTACCGATGAGTACGGCACGACGTCCGAAGCGAGAGCCATCCAAGAGAGCATGACCACCAAGGAACTTTGCGACAAATACTATGCCCTCCATGCCGAAGTTTACAAATGGTTTAACATCAGCTTTGATATTTTCGGCCGCACAACCACCGAGCTTCAGACTAAGATTACTCAGGATATCTTCCTTAAGCTTCACGATAACGGTTTCTTGTCGGAGCACGTAACAACTCAATTATACTGTGAGGAGCACAAGTCGTTCTTGGCAGACCGCTTTATCCAGGGTGAATGCCCACACTGCAAGTATATCGATGCTTATGGTGATCAATGCGACCTCTGCGGTCAGCTTTTGGACCCATTGGATCTTATCAAGCCTCGCTGCAAGCTCGATGGGGCCACCCCCGTGAAGAGGGATACGAAACATATCTTCCTGAAGTTGGACAAGTTACAGCCCGAGATCCAGGCATTCTTCAACGAGTCTTCGACAAAGGGAGGATGGTCTCAGAACGGAAAGGATATCACCTCATCCTGGTTGACGAAGGGATTGCAAGAGCGCAGCATTACTAGAGATATTAAGTGGGGTACTCAGGTGCCTCTGCCAGGCTACGAGGAGAAGGTTATCTACTCTTGGTTTGACGCTTGCATTGGTTATGTGTCCATTACCGCAAACTACACCGACCAGTGGGAGAAGTGGTGGCGCAACCCGGAGGATGTCGAGCTTTACCAGTTCATTGGAAAGGACAACGTTGCCTACCACTCCGTCATGTTCCCCGGTACTGAAATCGGTACTCGGGAGAAGTGGCTCAAGGTCCACCACCTCTCTACCACCGAATACCTGACTTATGAGGGTGGCAAGTTCTCCAAGTCTCGCGGCATCGGTGTGTTCGGAGACTCAGCCAAGAAGACTGGCATCCCTGCTGACGTATGGCGTTACTACCTGCTCTCTCACCGTCCCGAAACTGGTGACAGCGAGTTCAACTGGGACCTCTTCATTAGCTCCAACAACAACATTCTCCTCAAGAACCTGGGTAACTTCGTCAGCCGTGTCGTGAAGTTCGTCAACTCTAAGAACTACGACAACATTGTGCCCGACTACACCACCTATTCTGACCCTGCCTTTGACGCTTGGAAGGAGGAAATCAATGAACTTCTCACCCAATACATCCAGCAACTCGATGCCGTGAAGATCCGCGCTGCCATTGACACCGTCCTCACCATCTCCCAGAAGGGTAACCTGTTCCTCCAATCCAACAGCCTCGATAACAAGCTCGCCGAGAACGAGCCGGTCAAGTGCGCCGCTGTCATCGGCCTTGCCCTCAACCTCATCCACCTCCTGTCCGCCCTCCTCGCCCCCTACATGCCCGAAACCGCCGCCAGCATCAACGAGATCCTCCGTACTGAGGCTATCCTGATCCCGGATCGTTGGAACGCCGACACCGTGAAGCCCAACCACGAGATTGGCAAGGCCAAGTTCCTGTTCAGCAACATCAAGCCCGAGAAGGCCAACGAGTGGCGTGACATGTTCGGTGACGAGGAGGCCAAGAAGGTCAAGGAGGAAGAGGCCAAGAAGAAGGCCGCTAAGAAGGCCGAGAAATTGGCCAAGAAGGAGAAGAAGAAGGAGCAGAAGGAGAAGGAGGCTGCTGCCGCCACCGCCGATGGAGTGTCCGAGATCTCTCAGTCCGCGGAGAAATTGAACATTCAACAGTAGACCAATAACCATACGGTCACGCGCGACATTCTATACTAGATGATGTCGCGCTGTACGTCTAGAAGGATGCCACCAGCGATGTGGTAGACATGATTGATATGATCACCTAGAGCCTATTTATTTGAAGGATTTGATGTGATTTTTTTTTTATTATTTTATACAATATTCATATGTCCGGCGACTTCAACGTCCTGGAAAGTGTAGTTAGAGATGATACCACGGAGAGCATACTATCAATCAACTGACACTATCTTGGAGATTCTTTAGTCTCCAAGATGCCTATCACCTTGATATTCAAGCCCGGATTGCTGGCGTACACAGGTTAGATACTGATTATTGCATTATACGCGAATACGGTCTCTTCTAATGCTCTTCCCGGGGTGCCGAGGCCGATTGCCTGACCACGGATTCTATATACAGGACATGCTCCTCAACCCGCTGAAACCGACTCAACCTTGCCAATTGCCCCACGTTTCCCTTTGCTTTACCGACCCTCTCGCTGCCACGCTGGCCTTCTTCCGTCTCTATGTCCAGCTATGTCCCTCGCGTTCCTCTGTCCCACGTAAGCATGCCTGTCCCGTATTTTCATCTTGTATGTCCCGCGTCCTGTCCTATCCGTGTTCCGTGCCATCAGCTCGCAACGACAGTTTCAATGCAAAAATGGGACATTATTGAGTAGTGAGGATGTATGTGAAGGTTGAAAGGACGATTTGGCGGTGCTGCTCGGGCAGCTCGTCCAGCCTGGGGCAGGGTCCACCTGTACTACGGGTTAGAGTCAGCTCACGAAGAGCTTGGCTAGGTACCAATCGATTTCCATTGTACGTACAAAATAACGAACGGTAAAAAGAAAAGAGACAAATATGACCTAGATAGTAGGGCAGAAAAGCAAAAAAATATGGGGCGAGCCGGGATCGAACCAGCGACCTCACGATCACCAGGTGGTGTTAGAGGTGAAGTTGAAACTTCAGTCGTGCGCTCTCCCAACTGAGCTATCACCCCAATTGTTGAAGAATGATACAAAATAGGAAACTAGGAAAGCAAGATCATACTTATATACTAGCCCTAATTTTATCTCCAGGGACACTTCACAACTGCTAGCTAGTACTATTATATAAGATATCCCTGGGGCAAATAGCAGACCGGCATAGCCTAGATGCTACGCCTGTGGGTCTCTATGGCAAGTGTCTAAGATACGACAAGGTATGAAACAGACCTAGCACGCATTCCAGATCTTGGTCCGTTCCTTTCACTTCCATATGCGTTTTAGATGCCTCTGGTTGACTGAAAGTATTAGCTAACCAGTTTTCCCATAGTTAGCTGCAGAAGACCAACAGCAAAAGCATGTCCCACTGAACTAGCACTCAAAGCCCAATCACAACACATTCTCCTACCATAAGCACAACGCCAAGTCTCCGAAACTCTCCGCTGACACTTGAAACCCTATTTATATAGATCCAGCAACACCCTGAATTAGAACCATTCATACCTTCAACCAACATACAACACACAACCCAAAGAACAAGCTAGCACTACAAATATTCCAAGAAAAATAAAGAAGATGAGGACAAAAACCCACACCCCCCAGGAAACCCAACACACCTACAGCTACTCCCACCACCCCCCATCCCTTCAAGGACACGCACCCAAACCAACAATCCTCCTCCTTCACGGCTTCCCCTCAACATCCTACGACTGGCGTCACCAAATCCCCTACCTCTCATCCCTCGGTTATGGCATCATCGCCCCGGACCTCCTCGGCTATGGGGCCACCAGCAAACCATGCGACATCACCGCGTACAAAACCAAGTCCATGGCCGCGGAGATAATCTCCATCCTGGACGCTGAGGGGGTCGACAAAGTCCATGCCGTGGGACATGACACGGGGTGCACGCTTCTGTCTCGATTGGCGGACTACTTCCCAGAGAGATTGCTGTCGTGTGTCTTTTTGGATGTGCCGTATATGAGCCCCGGGGTGAGATTTGATTTGGATACTGTGAATAAAGTTACGAGGGATATCTTGGGGTTTGAGAGGTTTGGGTATGTAGGCTTTTTTGCTATGGAGGGCAGTGGGGAGTTGCTGGATCGGTTTGTATGTTTTCTTTTCTTCTAATCCTAGTCCTATGTCTATGGAGACTGGGATGGTATTAACCCACGAGAATGGGGAGGATATGAGCTAACAAATAGTTGATACAGGCCGACTCATTCTTCACCCTCTTCTACCCCCACAATCCCTCACTATGGACCTCACACCTTTGCCCAACTGGGACAATAGAAGAATGGCTTCTATCCGACCATCGAGCCCCATTAGCTCCCTACATCACTGAAGAAGTTCGTTCCCACAAGAATCCAAACCCCCAAAAATAAAACTAACAAAAAGTCCAGGAATTTAAAACCCACCAAAAACTCCTAGTCGGTCACCACGCCTCAGCACTGAATTGGTACCGGGCTCTGGTCTCGAATATCAACGTGGAAGACGAAGAACAGGCCCGTATTACCCCTTCACTGTCTATGCCGGTTCTCTTGGTTTGTCCGAGGAAGTCAAGCCTGGAGATGCCCGGTCTGGAGGAGGGGATGAGGGCTGTCTGCGCTGGCGATTTGGTGGTAAGGAGGGTGTTGACGACGGGGCATTGGGTTCAGTTGGAGGCGAGGGAGGAAGTTAATCGGATGCTTGGGGAGTTTTTTGAGGGTGTGAGGAGCTAGGGGGTATGGGTTGGTGTTGTTGTATAGTATGGCCTTCTTTCTCTCCTCTTTTCTGGGATTTTATGAGATAGGGAGCTTCGTATGTGCACGTTTGGCCTTCATGTCATGTTTCTAAGATGTGGAAGGTACCAAGCCAGAGTCTTATATTCTAGCATGCTTTTCAGGCCTAGTGGTCTGTTTTTCAAGTCTTCATATATACTTTTGCCTGTCTCTCAGAACTCTAGATATTTAGCTTTACTGTACTGTCCCAGATACCTTTATAAATAACTTATAACTCCTCCCAATAAAACCCATATATACTTACTAGCAATAGTATTATTATAAGGCCTCTAGAGCTAATACCCAGATCCATATCCTAGATCAAGTATAAGGATCGAGATTGATGGGAGCACAAAGAGCTATCCGGGGGATTTGGCAGATAGCAGTCGCACCCCGTATCTGTATCAATCCTTACCGATCAGGAGTTGTTCATTTCGTACTGATTTGAGAATATAACAGAGACGCCACTCATAGAATAATAACCGCTAAAGCACACTCTCTGATTAGAGTATGGCAATCGCATTAAGGTGAGTATTGGTGGTGGGTTCAAAATGTCACATCTTATAAGATATATGGCATTTTTCCCGCCTTTTAGGAGATTTAGAATTGGTCTTGGATGGAGTTTTGAAGCTAGTAATTAATTAAGCGGCTTGGTCCTATTGGATCTATTAGCTTTCTTAGAGAGAATTCTTATAAAGTATATTAATTGAAGAAGTAGTTAAGCGAGTTCTCTCTAATAGCTAGTTCGACTCCACTTTGAAAGCCTAGTTTGATATTACATTTTCTTTTAATGAAACTGGGATGGCAAAGAGTCGGTGTGTAGGAAAAACCCCCGTTAGCTGAATGCAAAGGAAACTAGCTAACTACCTTCCAACTAACAGAGTTTTTAGTAGTTAAATTCTGGAAATTCTCTATCCCTTGTATGCATCCTACTAGTACTCCGTACTAGCTTGCTCTTTGAAAACATAAGCTGAAGTGGAGCCCAGCCCCAATTGGTGACGAGTCAACAGATCGGCAGTGGATCTACTTGGGGAAAGATCGGATTGATCCCCGTGGAGCGGTTCGCTTAAAGATCGTGAGTCAATGCTGAGCTGAAGATTGTGCATCAGCGAGTCAGGCTTGCACATACGTAGTAGTAGGATGTGTATGTGGCGCAGCTGGGCTTGACGATCGATCAGGCTTGGCCGATTGAGTAGCACGCGAGATCATTCCTTTTTAGTGACCATCATGAACTATAACCTCCTCTGAACTCTGAGTACGGGCCTGCCACAGATGGGACAAAGTTCGTTCCAAGCGATCCTAGTGGACATAAAGCTCCAAGTTCCGTACTTATTTATTTGGCCAGTGTTTAGCAATCTCCATGAAGATGTCCGAAGAAAAGCAAGCACACAGGCTCAGGGGCAATTAATGACCGGCTCATTCCGCCGTTGAGAGCGATTCTCAATATATTGGACGGTGACACAGTATACACTATGATTGAACGAGCGGAATCATGTTCTCTCCACAGCCCCTGGGAGCCTAGTGAAGCCACAGTCGCGTCCCACCAGCTCATTTCTCATGCATATGACTGTATTATCTTCTACCGGTGGACCTCGCCAGATGGGATGTCCGAGCGTGGGCGCGTTATGGCGCGCCTTGTTGCAGAGATGATGGAGGAAGCCAAGCGTCGAGTCTGGTTGGATCAATGGGAAATGAGACGGAACACGGGCCCCCGATCAAGTCGTGCGACGGATTTCCGACATTTTCTTGTCTGTACCAAAAGTCATCATCCTGGCCGCCCCAGGGGATTGGAACCGCTTCACCAATGCCGATGATATCCATCGATGGGAGTGGGAGTTAAGTTTACAGAGTGGTAAGATTAAAATCCCGTACTTATGACGGAGTCTGGCACTGACTGATCATTGTAAGACAAGAAGATCTGGATCCTGCGGTATGGGGTCCCTGAGACGACACAGGCACTGTCCAAAGAGCAGTTGGCGACGGACCTACGAAAGCACAGCGGCCGTCTAGCGGACCTGGTTATGAATGAAAATATTCAAGTGCGGGTATTGACGATGGATAACCTGAAAAGAGTCCTAAGGGAAGTTGTATAAGTTAAGTAATAGTTTTATTGTGATGAATGTATGCCTGTATTCTGCCATCCTGTTCTTTGACTATTTGGACACTAGTATAGAATGCCGATTCGATCACTCAGGACGACCTAAAGGCCCACTAGCCCAAGAAGCTCAAGGAAAATGTGATCGACTCCACAGAGATAGATTACATTTAGTCAGATTAGTGTAAACTACAGAAATGTGGCGCATATAGCTGAATGTTGGCGGCCAAAGATTAGGCATCGTTACTCCTCTTTCCACTGTAGCTGCTAGCTTTTGTCCCACCGGTACCTGTAACATGGCATTGTTTAACACAGCACCTTTAGGAAGTTTTAGCTCAAACATTCTGTGATCGCTGATCCAGCCCTCTCAGAGTGGTAACACGTCGATCTTAAACAGTACTGCAGGTTCCAAATCTCGTTTCCTCTGACCTTGCAGTCTCCCACAGCGGGGAACACGAGCAAGGAATGTTGCTCAATATGCTTTGTGATACAGAACTTCGTATTTCAAGATAGACAATCTGATTCTTTTAATCGAGTCTTATTTCACTCAGGCAAACGCAGAAGGGCTCACAATTACCTACTTCCAAGAGGTTAATCAGTTAGGTAGTATACATAGGGTAGCTCCTGACCTAGAACTACTACAATAGAACAATTAATCAATGAAAGTAGCTATTAACTAGTTTCAAACTAAAAACTCTTAATGCAAATAAGCTTTTACCACATTGCTCCACCTTGTTTTGACGCTACGTACTCCGGAGTACCAACACGAAGCCCTAATTTAATCTATGTATCAAAAATCCAGCTATCTACCCGTGACGTCACATGCACATCAAGCCCTGATATAACCAATTCTCCACTCTACACTGACAAGTCTAATATAATATTAATTTACATACATATATACATACATATACATACATACTTTAGCTTTATCAACCCACAAAACACCACTCCCCTCAAGGAGTCAAGATGTCCACCCAATCCCAACCCCCTAAAAGCACAACCTACACCCAACCCCAAAACCCCATCTCGCAGACCCCCCTGGAACAACACAAACAACGCGCCCGCCACCACGGCGATAATGTACCAACCATAACCCGTGGTCCGCAATCCAGGCCCTCAAATAGTGATGCCCTCTCCGCGCTCAACCAAACCCGCAAACAGCAACAGCGCGACCTCCACTTTGCGGCCGACGTGGACAGGCAATACGGCGCAGAGCAGCAGCCTAATGAGGGGAGTATCGCGGCAAACGTTGAGGGGAAGAATGCCCGTGCTCGTGGACAGGCGGGGGCCCATGCTGGGCCTGTGGGGAGTGCGTTGGGGCCGGGGTATCCTGCTTCTGCTTCTGCTGCTGCTGCTGCTGCTGCTGGGGATGGTGGGGAGGTGAGGGAGTTGGGGAGGAAGGAGGAGCATAAGTGGATGCTTGGGGAGAGGGTTGGGCGGTCGCCTACGGAGCCGGATGGGGATTTTGATGGTGGTTCTGAGAGGGAGGAGGAAGTTGATGCTGGGAGGGCTGTTAGGGAGGGGACGGGGAGTGCGGTTGTTAGGTGAGTGATTGTGTGCGTGTGTGGATGTGGATGTGGATGTGTCTATTGTTGTACTTTTAGTCTTACAGGAAATTGTTGGATGATGGATGTAATGTAAATTCTATAAACTCAGTCTGTATACGGAGACTACCGGCATTTCTGAGCTGCAGCTGGACAGCGTTGGTAGACAGCAGTCGACTTTCAATCCCCCTGGAAGAATCCAATCCCCAATCATACAGTCAGAGATTCTCCTTAACAGGATTCTGATTTCCCTCCCAAACCAACTTCCTTGGCCGCATATACTCGTCCAGAACCTCATCACTAACCAGCCCTCTCCTCTCTTGAAAGTGACGTACATACTCCTGCAAAGCCTCGATGGCCATCTTCTTCAACTCACCCGTCAAGAGCTCACCGCTCTTATAGCTCTTATAAACCTCCTCGAGCTTCGCGTCGTCCTCCTCAAAATACGTCAGATAGATATACGAAACATCCACATCCGGATTTCCCCCAAGACGACGATGATCTTCTACGCTAACCTGCCCGCCACTGAACGCATACTTGTTAATCTTCGTTTTGATCTGTTTCGGCGTATCAGACATGAAGATAGCGGAATTAGGGTTCGACGAGGACATCTTCCCCCCTGGACCCTGCAGCGCAGTGAGGAATTTGGAATGGATGAGCGCCGGCTTAGGCGACGGGAAGCGCATCTTATGCGCGTTATCCCGCAGCAAACGGAAGTAGGGGTCCTGGTCGATGCCCATGGGGATCAGGCAGGGGATGTTGGCGATGGACTGGGTGCGGGTCGGTTGTGGGTCATCCGTCCAGATTTCTGGGTAGGATGTTGCGAAGGCGGCTACGCATTGAACCGAGGGGAAGAAGATACGGCCGATGTTGGTACTGTTTTAGTTCACAGTTAGCTGAGTTCAGCTTCAACATAGATAGGTAGGTCTAGTATGCTATAATACCTTTCATTGAAGCCGAATGCGCCTCGGACTTGGTTGAAAGTCACGAGCTTCGAGAACTCCCATGCGTTCATCAGAAAGTGGTTGCTGAAGTATTTGAGATCGCTGTAGATAAAGGTCTTCTTCTTGTCAAACCCGATGGCGATGATGTCTCGAGCATTCTCTTTGGAGTATTCCATTGTTTCTTCGAAAGTGAGACTGTCTTTGAATAGGGCTTTCTCGTCGTCCGTGAGCATGAATACCAGGGGTACGTCGAAGACGTCTTGAAGCCACTTGGTGAATTGCAGAGGGATCGTGTGTCCCAGGTGTAGACTACCGATGCTTGGACCACGACCGGTGTAGAGGAAGAAGGGCTCGCCGCGTTCGTATAGGTTCAGGATCCGGTCGAAGTCTCGGTGGCTGAAGAACAGGCCGCGTCGGAGCCAACGGTGCGGCTTATGTCCAGTGACCTGCTCGAAACGCTCGAGGAGCTTCTGGTCTATAATGGATGTGTTCCATTTACTGCGGTGGTTAGTATGTTGCCAACAATGCGTTTGCGGTAAACATACCGGGAAATAGCTTCGTAGTCAATCGAGACAACGTCGCCGTTCTCATCCCGGGCGCCCTCAACGGACCAAGGATTGATGTCTTGTTCTTGATTAGATGCTGTCATGTTCTCAGCCATTGTCCAGGTTGCAGATGATACAGATAGAAAGTAAAGTTGGTTTGTTTATGTAGGATGACTGTGACTCACCATATTTAATAAACATAGGGCTAAGCACCAGTCACGGGACATTGATCTTCAGTTAATTAAGTAGCGATAAGGTACACGATTTCCGCCCCCACTAAATTACAATAGTCGGAAAAATGAGCAGAAGATAAGAAAGAAAAAGAAAAGGCCAGTTCGTATGCGAACTCTGTCATTCAATTTTGCAACAATAATTTATTCGGGGTATCAAGTTTCAACGATCCAACAAAAGCATATCTCAAAACGTAACAAGATTAAGCGTCCTCGTCACCTTCTCCGATAGACACTTTCTTCAGAGAAAGATCCTTCTTCAATTCCTGAATGCGCCTGGCAAGCTTGTTCTTCAAAATCTGGTTTTGCATCTTCTCCCACTTAGCGGTCTCCGTTCGGATAAGCGCTTCTAACTCTGCAATTTCTTCACGTTGCTGTTGCATTTGTTGCCGCTGTTCCAGCTGCTCCTCATCCAGTCCGTCTTCAGGCACACCGCGCTCGTCTCCATCAGACTCGTCGCTCTCGTCACCCGACGACTCCGCTGCAGGTGTGGACGGCTTCGTTGCCATAGGCGTACCAGCTTGATAAACCCCACTGTCCACGGGAGTCGCAGCCGCAGCGGGAGGAGCTGCATTGTCATCGGCGGCCAGAGCAGCTTCCATCTCCGCAGCAAGGGCGTCCTCAAAGTCTTCAAAGATACCGGGGGCCTCTTCCATCCCCATATCCCATTCACCTTCGGCATCCTGCTCGTCATCGTACTCGTCATATTCTCCACTTTGTACAAGGCCCTCAGCCCGGTTCAGTGACGCGCTATCGACCAACTCGTAACGAGGGACGCCAAAAGCGGCTTCATCCTGTGCAATCAAATCTTCCACAGCCTTCTCTACCTGTTCAATCGTCCGAGTACTAACTCGCTCACGGAATCGCCGCCTGCGCACCCACTGCAAAGGCGGCGTCAGACCATGAGGATACTGCAAAGTCTTATCATCGCCGTGTTCGACCTCGGGAGGGAGTGGGTACTCCAAAGCTTCTTTCTCGTTCGCAACCGGGCCCAGCACCAACAGCATCTGACAGATATCCCCCGACTTGTACCATCCACGGCGATCCCAACTCTTCATACCCTCAATAATACATGGTAGATCCACCAAAGCCGCAGCAAATTGCTTATCTCGAACTCTAAAAACGGCGCGTCGTCCTTCGCGCGTAAGCGGTTTGAACGAGAACTCTGAGCGATCAAATCGTCGTTCGGCGATAGCACGTCGTAGATATTCACATTCCTCCCCAGGTAGCATACGTAGGATAAACCCTTCCTCGATGGAGGGATCGATTTCTGTATCTGACGCTTCCGAGTCGTATCCAACACCAACTGGCCGATTGGGAACCAGGCCCTTATTCTTAATCCGAATCGACTGCACGCCGGGTTTCTTGGAAGGGTTCAACTTCAAACGCTTGGGGCCTGCCGGCTTTTCTGGCGCGGGCCGCGACGCAGAAGGCTCGCTGGCGGCGGGTTCATCGGCTGGCCGCTTTTTCGATGGCTTTTTCTTCTTTGCTTTCTCTGGCTCTGCTTCTGTGGTTGGTTTACGCGCGATTTTTAGTGTGAGTTTGCGTTGAGGGGTTTCTGATGGTGGAGGAGGAGCTGGCTTTTTGGGCGGTTCCTCTGGCGCCTTTTTCTTGCCGAAGGTGAGCTTCAGCGACGGGCGACCCTCAGACATGGCGGACGGTTCGTAGATCAGACGAATGAAGCGGAGTGCCTGACCCCAAGCTGAAGCCGGGGGAATAGAATGAACGTATGCGTGTATGTGGTGTGAGGGATGGGAATGAGGATGTCTGGTTGATGTAATTTGTGGTTGCGGAGGAAGAGAAACACAGGCCGAAAGGCGGAAAGGTAACGACGCGACCGCCGGAAGTCCGCTGACCTGAACTGTTTCGTTCCGCCTTTCCTTCAACTTTCATTCCATCAACACCACCGAATTAAGAACGCAATTTTTCCCTCATACTCATCCTGCGTCATTATTCGTCTCTCTCCTATCTGACGAATAAACCTGTCTTTCAACGAAACCCAGACTCTCAGCATCACTCAAATACACCACGGCACAACTCTCACTTTCCCTTCAACAAAGAAATCACCATGTCAGGTCCAAATCTACACAACGCTCTGCTCCGCCCGCCCATTATCCAGATTCTCCGTGCAGCTGGCTTCCACGCAACCCGTCCGTCAGTCCTAGACACCCTCGCCGACCTCACGGCCCGCTACGTGATGATCCTGGCCTCATCTGCAACCACGCACGCCGCCAACGCACACCCAAACAACCCCGTCCCAACCCTGGAAGACATCTACCAAGCCCTACAAGACGCGGGCGCGTTGCGACCACAACTCCGCGAGTGGGAAGAAGACTGGCACGGTGACGAAGACATGCGAGGACTGGAAGGGTTTCTAGGATGGTTCACGGGCCCGGCGAATCGGGAAATTCGACGCATCGCGGGATTTCTACCGAGCGAGGGTGACGTTGTGGATACAGATTTCCTGGAGAAGGAAGACTATCTCACGGTGTTGAAGAAGAAGCACAGTAAGACGGGAGAGGAGTCGAGATATGCGGGAACTGTCCTGGGAAAGAATGCCGAGGAACATCCGATTGTGATTGAGGGTGGTGCGCCCAGCATCCAGGAATGGGGGTCGCAGGTGCGGTCGCGGGCGCCATATTTTGCGGAGAGTGATTCTTCTGGCGTTAGCAGTGCGCCAAGCAACTTGTCGGATGGGGAGGGCATGGATGTGTGAAGCAGTGAGGCTTATGGAGGATGTTATTCCTCGTCTTCAAGGATTAACGTCTGCGAAAAACGGACGGTACATGGTGGAAGGACCATTGTATTGGAGACTCTGTTGGGGTCTCTTTTCTCCTATACATACGCTCACGCTACTGTCTGCTAACAGACAGCAAGGACAAAGGTCTGCTGGGCAACACGGTTGTCCTTGACCAAGGGAACGATTGGTCGCCGATTCGCTCGACTGGGTATTCTTACAGCCCGTATTCACAGTCAACATATCTATGCACCCGGCCAATATTCTCGACATGAAGATGGACACACCGAGACCTCGAATACAGCAGCCCGCCGTGTCGACGTATATATCCTGCCCTGGATGCAATTCAAACAAGGGTATGAGATTGGGTCAACCAGCAGAGTGAAAGCGGGCCATATGAAGGGATATACCACTCAATTCGCCATGAAATCATTAGCTATAGTATCAATGAGCGAGGAGCAGACAAAGGAGCGCTACTCAAAGCTAGAAATAATCAAAGAACCACCAACCACCAAAGCTCCATTGTAGCAAACCTTCCGTAGCAAACAGTAAATAAAGTCTTGGCCGCCATGACATCAACCACCCGAACCTCACTTAAACTCCATCTCCAACTCCCCAATCCCCAAACTACACCACCACCTACACCCACAGACACAATGGTCTACGCCTTCACCCTCCCAACAACCTCGCACCTCTCCTTCCAAACCCACCTCACCTCCACCACGCACCCCTCCCTCCCGCAAGCCGCCTCAACCGCCCGCCACGCCCTCCGCACCGCCCTAAAGACACACAAACGCCTACCCCGCGGCCCGCAACAAGACGCCCACCTCTCCACCCTCCTCACCACGCTCACCGACTACCTCCCCTACCTAACCGCCATCACCAACAGCCTAACCAGCACGCGCCTCCCGGAGACGCCCTCCGAAGAGATCGAAATCGCCCTACACAGCGAACCCGAACCATCATGGCGCCCGACGCTCACCTCCTCCTCGCTCTCCCTCAAACAGCCGCGACCCAAAGGCCTGGGCCTTGAATACGAGCTCGCCTTCGTGCTGACGACATACGGCTACGTGCTCAGCAAACTAGCCCACAGCACCGTCACCCGCACCCTGTATGCCACGACCACCCCGACCCCCGAAGCGCGCACCGCAGCCATCACATCCGCCACAAAGCACCTGCTGCAAGCCAGCGCAGTCCACTCCCTCCTCGCCACATCCCCGGTCTTCGCCCACGTCTCGCGCTCCGTGTCCGCCACCCCGGGCAAAGTGCCCGACCTCGACCCCGCCGCGCAGGCCGCACTGGCGTCCCTCGCGCTCGCCGAAGCAACCCTCCTCGCCGTGCTCAAGGACGACTCCTACGTTTCGGCCTGCATCCAGGCCCGCAACCCCAATGACAAGGAGTGGATGGTCCGCGCGCCGGAGATCCCCAAGGTGCGCGCGCATCTGTTTGCCAGACTGTGTATTCGTGCGGCCGAGTACGCGGAGCAGGCGGCTGCGGGGCTGGGGGCTGTGGGTGCGCAGGGACGTGCCGGTATTGAGGAGGATTTGATCAAGTATGCGCGTGTGCTGGGGAGGGTTGCGCGGGCGCGGGCGTGTCGGTTTTTCGGGGTTGATGCGGAGCTGGCGGGGAAGATTGGGGAGGGGATTGCGTGGCTGCGGGCTGCGAAGACGGCGCTGGGGGTCCGGGGGGAGAAGCAGGAGAATGAAGTGAAGAGTAGAGGGTTTTCGAGGCTGAAGCAGGGGTGGATGGAACGGAGGGAGGAGCGGAAGATGGAGAAGGATGCGGGCAGGATGGAGAAGGGCGAGTTGGGGCCGGGGGATAATGCGGGGCGGGAGGAGGAAGGGCGGGTTATTGAGATGTTGGAGACGAAGTGGGTGAGGATGAATGATACGGTGGGTTTAGTTCTTGTGTCTTTGCTTGAGTCATTGTGTTTAGGGTTCTTTGCTAACGGGAAGTGTTTAGATCAATACGCAGCTGATTCCGCCGTCCGCGGATCTCGTGGCGAACTTGCCGTCTGGTCGAGATATCCATTCTGCTCCCGGGGCTTATCGGCTCCAGGCGTTGGACGAGGAGGAATTGGTGCGGATGCGTGCACCGCCCATGGAGGACGAGTTTGGACCTGGCAGTGATGTAGATGATAGTGAGGAGGAATCTGGTCTGGCAAGAGATACGCCGAGCACGGTTCCTGAACGGACTGACAGTGCTTATTACTGATACCCTGCGACTGTTCTATGGGCAGAGAACATGATGTATAGGTGTGTACATGAGTACATAGTCGAGCTTGTATAGTCAAAGCAACCGCTCTATCATCCATCTCATAAATCCATAACCCAACATAACCTCCAACATAACGTCCCTCACCCCAGAAACCCCCAAACTCAACTCAACTCAACCCAAATCAAAGCGACTCAAAAAAAGAAGAAAAGGGTAAAAAATGATACAATTGATCTAAAAAAACAACAACCCTAACAAAGAAAAGAAAAAAGAATCCCATCCAGTACACGATTCAATTCAATTGAATTCCATTCCATTCAAACCAAATATGCATTCCATCGAACCAAATCCAGCTAAGCAGTCTTCTCGAAATAGTTCTTCTCCTGGAACAGATAACCCTTAATCTTGCGCTCCTTCAGCAGCTCAAAGTACTTCTCTGTAGGACTTTATTAGCATAGATTCAAATGCAGTTTCCAAACCAACAACTGCCAATTCAATTCTCCCCAGTAAGTTTTCCTGAGCCAATTGCCCATCTCAATTCCAGAGTAAACACCCCAATTCAAATCTATACACCCAGACCACAACCTCCAATCACACCTACAAAGCATGCAAGAAAGAAAGAAAGAAAGAAAACCAACCTCTCAAAGCCCCACACTTCTCCAGATGGTTGACACCCTCGCGCGCATAGCACTTTCCCAATTCTTCACCGACGAGACGAGACATCATGCTGCGGACCCATTGCTCACGGATAATGGCGTCACGGGCATTGTGGACGGCGACGTTGTCTTCGAAGTCGACGCCCTCGTAGGTCGGGGGCACGGTGGGCTTCTTGGCGAGGAAGGCGGCGGACTCGGGGGTAGGCATTTTGGCGGACTTTTTGTTTTTGTTTTTTCGCGGGATTTGGAGGATTCTTCGGGGGTGGGAGGTTTGGCCGGGGTCTGAGACGCGGGGAGGGCGTTGCGAAGTGGTGATCTCGGATTCGAGAGATGGATGTGCCTTTTCTGATGTCGTCGGGGTTCCGGAGTTATGTGCAATTGGGCCCTGGTGATTGGCGGAGGCCGTGGGCGGTCTGGGGGCGTAGTGCATTGATACGGCGGGGTGTAGACGCCTTTTGTGCATGTTAGTTTGGATCACGTGAGGTAGTATATCCTTGCTTTGCTTGGGTTTACATTTAGAAGTATTTACAGTGATGAGGAAAAACATACTCAAAATGATTAAGATTCATCTGTCTATGCCATAATTATCTCGTAAGTAAAGAAACGCTTGCCAATCAATGATAGCCCGTCCGGGGCAGTGTACAGTACATCCAACAAATGCAAGCCATGTATAGCAAAAGTATGTCGTCCAAATACGCCGAAATATCGTCAGAATAATCCCACAGCAAGTACAATACGGTCATCGAATCACCCACATGGCGACATGTACAGCGAGCCAAAGATCATCCGCGGCCGATCATGTACGAGCCATTTACGTGGTGTAGTGGTAGGACTTTATGATTGCGGCGTAGTATCTTGCCGCCCAAAGAACTTCTCGTAGAGTTCTGTCGCCTTGTCTTCTACGCGCTCCCGCCATGGCCGGTTGATCGCCTGGCTGATGCGGCGATACTCCCACATCTCTGACCAGCAGTCGCGGCCAAAGTCACAGCCCGCCAAATTCACCATAAAGTCACCTGCGCCTTCCACGAAGTGGATATCTGGATCGCCCCCGTCCCCGCAGGCGCCAGGCGGATACGAGTTCATATACCGCTGAGGCAGGAATCCAACATGGCTGCGGATCCACGGCTCATTCGTATACAAGTATTCCAGGGCGTCCTGTTCCTTGTGCTCCCACTCCATATGTTTCTGTTCATACATGACGGGATCCCACCAGATGTCTAGCAGACGCTCCGACCACACCGAGCGTCGCATGAAGAAGGAACCCAAACTGAAACCACTGCAATCTTGCGACAGCACCATCTGAATTGATGATGGGTCTCCATCGCCCACCGGTGAGCGCGAGGCATCATCAAGATACGCCCCCGTCGGCGGGTGGCTGATATTCAACGGATTGTAGACATTGATATCCCGGTACGAAATCTCGCCCAGGCGGTTGAAAATGTGGTCTTGCAGGGAGTAGGAGTACTCTACGATCCACGTATTGAGGTCCACCCACCAAAACCTAGGAACAACGGTCAGCCAGCATCTAGGGTACCCAATAGTGGTAGAACATACCATTCCGCGTGGGGATACTTGCGCATGGTCTCCCGGATAATATCGACCTTCTCCCAGCTTTCGCGCCATTCATGCGAATACCGCTTCTTGGCCAACATATTCACCACTTCCAACTCGTATCCCCACTGTCTTGCATATTCTTGCTTATTTCGGATGCTGTTGCGCTCCACCGCCCACTCGCGGGCTCCCTTTAATTCCATCACGCCGCCCTCTACATTGGATTCGAGGATGATTACGAATTTGCTTCCGCCGCCAAACGATGATCGTCGATAGCGCTCGATGAAAGCTACCGAAAGGAGTCAGTCCGTGCAATATCCTCACAAAGCTCTCCAGGACCAACTTACATGTCCAAAAGACCAAATATCCAACCAGGACCAGAATCAGGGCCATCAACAACCGTAGCCGTCTGCGGCGCAACATGGTTCTGCCGAATCCACAGGAACGCCAACCTCCCCCCGATGAGAATGGTCGGCCGCGTCCAAAATCGTCTTTATCAATATAGCCATTCGGCGACCTGGAGCCTACACGAAAACTCGGCAGGGTGGCCGAGATGCGACGTTTCGACCGGGAAAAGAAGCCATTATTCCTCGTAGAAAAAGACGGATACCCTCGAACCTCGTCGCTCTTCGCTTTGGCGGCGGCCCACGAGATCCCGCTAGGACCTAACGGGTTCGGCGACAAAAAGCCACTGTGTGGTGTCGAACTGCCACTGCCTGTCGTGAGGCCCGGACTGGACCACCCTCCGCCCGCCGGGTGGGGTGAGGGTGACCGAGAAAGGGACATGAGCGGGGATTTTGAGTTCCCGGGGATGTCGGGAGGAAGGGACAAAGGCGCACGGGCACAATTGCCCGTGAAGCGACCGGATCAATGAGCAATTGTGGTGGTGAGGTTCACATTCGACGACGTCGAATGATATCGCGGGATGGACGTTGAGGGAGCGTCACCAGGACGCGACTCTTCGAGAGGCTGGGAATTCGAAGATGAAGAGAAAAACCGAATGAGGTGTGGCACTGAGATCAAATAGAAAGTTGTTCAGACGAGAGGGAAAACAGCAAGTCGGAAAAGTGAGACCTCAAAGTTGAGTTTGGATCAAAAAAGACGGAATAGGAATAGTTGACAACGGGGGCGTTCGTATCGCCAAGTGGTACCCTATCTCACGGATCCGAAATTATACAGAAGGAGAGATAAAATAAGAACAACGAAAATACAAATTAAAAAGGAGAGGAAAAAGTATCCGTGAACAGAATGACCCGTTTCCGTCCAATAGACAAATGAAGATTGAACCCAGTGGAACTGAATGAAAGGGAACCAACAAAAGGACCACCTGAACGGGAAGTTCCTGGGTAAATGGATGGATCCAAGCGTTGATAACTAGGAACAAGCCGAACAACTCGAGTCAGGACATCATGCGCCGGATGGAGTAGGAGAAAAGAAGAGGACGAGCGCTACCTCCCCATCCATGGGAAATGAAGTTGGAGATAGGTTTCACTTCTCCTCTGTGACGACTGCAACATCACAATGCGCAGAGGACAAGCAAATTAAATCGAAATTTGACAGCGTCTGGACGGGCCAATGTGGTTTGGTGGTGGAGAGAACGAGAAATTATCCTCATTTCGCTTTGGTCACTGGATCCGCATGTCACCCCACCAGTTGGTCTTTCTTGGCAGGGACTTTACCGTAACTATAGTACGGAGTATTAGTACTAGTCAGTATACAATACATAGTCCGCCGTGCTCCGTACCGACCATGTATTATTTATTCCCCATCATGATAGGACTGCACGCAACCGGCCACAGCCAAGGCCCAGAACTCCAGATCTTCTCTCAACGACATTCCTCAAATCAAGGTCATCGGGGTCTGGAATCACCTCATCCCGATCACGACAACGATAACACGCGTTCTGTCTTGATTCTAGTTTTGAATATGGATACTGAGCTCTGTACGTTCTAGCTCCACCACGGCAAGATCAAGAAACGCTCAGCGAAGATTCTAAGAGTTAAAGTTAATGGCGAATAACAGCATCATAACTCTTGATAGCACTGCTACACGACTTAGTCAGTGATGTACAACCTTGTTTCCATGGTTTATTTCTATCTGGTCGCTTTCAAGTATACATTCTTCCGCCAAACCCTAAGGAGACACAGCTGCATACAGCTTCTCCCTTCACAGTATACCCAAATAGATACTGACAGACAGACATATCTACATTCATCAACAAAGATATAACTACGTCGTCATCACCTCACATTCCATTCACATCTAGGTCCAGCCCCAACCCCCTCAGCTACATCCTCGGCCTCGGCGTCGTCCCAAAACCCTACAAGAACCCATGCATCCCGACCGCCACCATTCCCCAGAACACATGGGTAACGTAAACCAGCCTCCCGACTCAGAGGATCCGGCCGAAACCTGTTAAATCACATATCCGCCGCCAGAATCCGGGTCTTGAGGTTACAAATAGTCAGCACATCTCCATGCCAAGCCCGGATGAAACCAAAGGTCGGAGTAGTAATCGGCCTTTGGGCCCACATATAATCTGATGTCGTGAGTCGTGACATGTCGATTGCCCCAGTCGAGGCCGCTCTCTGGTCCACGCAGGGTCGTCATCCTTCAGGGAATTGTACACTTCGGCGATGGATGTGGCGGGACTGAGAATCGGCATCGTGTTTTCCGAATGTCGGATTTGCTGAATGCGACCTGAGGATGCCTGCTTAGCGGTAATGAGGCTTAGAGGCTGGTGCGAATCCAATGTTCATGATAATCGGCCGAGGCACAAGTGTAGCCACAGCTGAGCCTTGGGAGGCACTCTGAAACCCAGCACCAGTATTCGGTGAGCTGGCTAGGTGTCTCGATGAAGCATGCATCGGACCCTGACCCTTCGAGAGATGACGGGACGAACTATTCCGTTCAATCTACTCCGTAATCTATACCTCCATATGGTATGGATCTAGAAAAAAATAAATTAAATCTCTGCATTTAAGAGACTCTAAAACAGTAAAGGATCTGTAGTATACTCTATAGCTTAGGGTTTGATGATTCTCGGCCCCTGGTCCCCCACAAGGCACCATCCTCTCCTGGCTTATGTATCTTCGCCCAGTCGAGGCCGTCCAATTCCCATTCTTCTGCCCTTTTGAGCCCCAGCTGCTCCCAGACATAATCTAGCGCAAACAACAGCTCCTCTTGCATTTCCTTCGTATGCCCCGGCGTTGGGGTAACACGCAGTCTCTCCTGCCCCAGCGGTACGGTGGGGTAATTGATTGGCTGGATATATATCCCGAAGTTGGACAGCAGGATGTCGCTCGCTTTCTTTGCATCCCTCGCATCGCCAACGAGGATAGGAACAATATGGGACGGGTTCGACATAACCGGAAGACCCTTCTCGACCAGATCGTTTTTGACCGCTCGGGTATGCTCGTGCTGTAGGTCCCGTCGCTGCCAGTCTGACTGTAGCAGTTTGATGGCTTCATTGGCACCTGCCATGATGGCTGGTGGCAACGAAGTCGTGAAGATGAAGCCCGGCGCGTATGAACGGATCATATCGACCAGCATAGCTCGTCCAGCAATATAACCCCCCGAGCACCCATAGGCCTTTCCAAGAGTTCCCGTGATTATGTCAACCTGGTCAAGGACTGTTCCTTCGTGGCGCCCGTCGACATGCGCATCCCAATCTAGATGTTCTGCCACTCCGGCGCCGGTGGGGCCGTACATGCCAACCGCGTGGACTTCATCAAGGAATGTTATGGCATTGTACTTGCGTGCGAGAGCGCAGATTTCTCGGACAGGCCCGATACTCCCACTCATTGAATAGACTGACTCGAACGCGATGATCTTGGGTGCGTCGATAGGGACAGACGACAGCTTGGCTTCCAGATCAGCAAGATCATTATGCTGGAATATCACTTTGTTCGCTCGGGAATGCCTGATCCCCTCGATCATCGACGCATGGTTTGCACTGTCAGAGAAGATGGTACACCCGGGTAACTTTGATCCCAAGATCGTGAGGGTTGCATCATTAGCGACAAAGCAAGATGTAAAGACCAACGCAGCCTCTTTGCGATGCAGCTGGGCGAGCGTCTTTTCAAGCTCGACTGCATGTTGATTGTGCCCTGAAATGTTCCTTGTCCCTCCCGCCCCGGCGCCGTACATGTCTAGGGTTTGATGCATGGTCGTGAGAACCTTTGGGTGGCTCCCGACGCCGAGATAGTCGTTTGAGCACCAGACGGTGATAGTTTCGTTTGCATCCCTGGTGTGTGCTTGGGGGAAGCTACTTGCGAGGCGGTTGATATTGTTGAAGATGCGGTATGAGCCATCGCGCTTTTTCTGCTCGATCTGACTCTCGAAGAAATCCTGATAGTTGAACCGCGGATCATGGGTGCGCATCTGAGGTCGAACATGCCCTGGATCGTGAGTTAGTATAGATGACAAATTGGCCCACTACCCTCCTCTCACGTACCAGCCTGGCCACTGATACTATGGAGCCCTCGGTGGAGTTTTGGAAAAATAGACGAAGTCCTCATGAAAGTTGCAGCAGGGCGGTGCGCCATGGTCAGCTCTGTACACACCAGCCGTTGCCTCATATCCCTGCTTCTGAGTCACTGAGCGAGAGGAGGTCCAAGTCATGCGAGATAAAAGCGATAAGATATGAAAACCCCTGTGGCAGACCTGTTGTATGGAGGTGAAGTTGTTACTCTATCAATTCCGAACTAAGACTGGCATGCTTCGACTAATGGGGCCAAATATATTAGTAGAAGGTGGACCCTTTTAAGGTCTCAGCCCCCCAGGGTATACTAATGGCAATGGCACACATACACAACTGACGAAATATTAGTAATGCTCTTTGCCTCATAATTTACTAATAAATGTGTATATTACTACATCTTAGTACCCTGCTGGGTGGAGCATGATGTTTTCCTAGCCACAGCAGGCTGCAAGACAGAGTCGCCGCGCTTTCGATGCGTCTTTTATTTGTAGAACTGCCCCATTCTTGGTTCAGAGATGAAGCATACGAGTCCGCCGCATCGAAAACAAAAAAACAACATCTAGTACCAGTTGCACAAGCACACATTATACTCCAATATGCCGTCCATTGAATCTCAAGCACTCGGCCGACTCTACGAATCTAAAGCCAGCCGCATGAAGGCCAACCCAAATCTGGACCGCGCGACGATTCTCTCCCTCTACGAAGAAGAGCAGAGCTGCGCCGCTGAGGCTCCGGGCGTCACCTACGAAGATGTCAACGTCAGAGGACGACCAGGCATCTGGGCTTCCCCGGTCAGCCTCCTGCCGCAGTCCAATGAGAACCAACAGTCCGTCATCATATATATCCACGGCGGGGGATTCAGTCTGGGATCGCCAAACAGCCACCGCAAGCTCGCCGCGCATCTCGGCCGGGCTGCCAACGCGAACGTGCTGATCCTCGATTATCGTCTGGCCCCGGAACATCCCTTCCCCGCGGCTCTGGATGATCTCCTTGCTGCTTACGAGTGGCTTCTACAGGAGCGTGGATTCCCCGCACACAAGATCGCGACCGCAGGAGATTCCGCTGGAGGGAACTTGGCCACGGCACTGGTTCTGAGGATCAAGCAGGAGGAAGCAGGCCGACTCCCTTTACCTGCAGCCATTGTAGCATTCTCCCCATGGTATAATCTGCTGAACAACTTTGACTCCATGGCACTAAACGACAAATTCGATAAGTTGGTTCATCAGCCGCAGCTGGATCAATTGGCCGCGGCGTATGTTGCTGGCACGGGGGCCTCGCTGCGCGATCCTTTGGTTAATCCTATTTATGCGGACCTGAAGGGTCTGCCACCGGTATATATTGCGGTTGGGACGCATGAAACCTTGCAGGATGACAGCGAGCGGTTTGCGGAGCTGGCTAGGAAGGCGGGCGTGGAGGTGGAATTGGAATTGGCAGAAGAACAGCAGCATGTTCATGTCTTCATGGCAGGTCGGGCCGCTGAGGCTGATATCACAATCCAGAATGTTGGGAGATGGCTGCAGCAAAAATTCTCCTCGATCTGATTCCAGCATCCAAATGTTTTGTCAATTTGTAGACGAATGATTATCATCAATTCAAGTACCAAGAAATTATCCCTGCTCTCTCAAGGTAACCCCCCTGTAGCACCCCCTAAGTGTGAGTCTGACGTTATGACCTGCTCCCGACGGGAGCCCCTGCGAGCGAGACAATTGGTTCGAAGAGATATAATAGGACTAAATAGCAAGTAGGACATGCATATACATTGGTAGGCTTTCGGCAAATCAAGGGGATCCATGTTCATAACGGGACACTTTGGGATTGGCGGAGAATTGTACCTAGTCAACTGAACCTCAGAAATGACCTATATAAATCAACGTATGTATACCTTCAAAGAAAATGGGCTGTAAAGAAGGTGGCCCTTCCATCCTACTTAAGCTCTCATGGTTTCCCACGCGTAACTACAGCCCTCCAACCACATTGTCAGATAACGGCATTTTTTCCCATCTCATCAACAATGAGCTCAGAATCATTAATGCTCCAGCTGCAATAACGAGTCCATACAAGTCGCCTAAAGTGGAGACAATGGCTCCTACAGCGCGGGATCTTGTCTCCATGTCTCCATCGTGCAGAACAAGAGACTGAACACCCGCAAGAGCAGTTCTTAAATCACTATTGGAGAATCCCGAGCCTGCAAGCACGTGCTGCAATCTGTCGTACCCGAGATTCTGGAAAATACACCCAGCGACCGCGAGAGCAATCGTCGTGGATCCGATCTGTGAAACGTTCTGGAAGCGGATGACTTGGGCCGTTCGCGACGGAGGCACATAGGCTGCTGCTACGGCGTACCCGATCTGTAGGGTGCAGCCAGATCCGGCTCCGATCAGAACCTCATAGCCGTATATGGCGCTCGTGGAGGTTGTGCTGGTGACCGTATACATGAGAGCGCTGCCAACAACAATACATATGCCACTGATAAGGTACCAGAGCTTATAGTAGCGAAAGCGAGGGAGCAGAGCGCCGGCGGCGATATTGAAGACAATATTAACGATGACGAATGGCAGAAGCCTGACTGCTGCCACCATGCTCTCTTCTCCCTTGGTGAATTGGAAAAAGAGCGGAATGTAGTAGACTGGCACAAAGAATGCGGTAATCGACGTTGCCGTACCAAGGTAAAGCAATACTTGGGTTCGGCTTTGGAGGAAATCAAGAGGAAGGATACGATTCTCTTTTGTCGTCATGAGACACCACGTCTGCTGTACAGCATATAATATAGCGGCTATCCCTGCTGCCGCCCAAAGAATGATGCCCCCCACCGAAGACCAATTCCAGACGGTCCCAGACTGAGCAATAGCAACTGTAAGAATGGAGAAGAACGCAGCGTGGAGCACGAACCCGGCCCAGTCGATGGACTTGGACCTTTGCGCAAAAGAGAGCCCTGGCTTCAAGTCCAGTGACGGGAAGCGATAGAGAAATAATGGCAGCTCTAGTACTGCAATGACTAGGTTAATATAGAAGGCCCAGCGCCAGGTTGCTCTGCTTGCGGCGAACCCGCTGCCCACCACAGGGCCGACGATACAGCCCAATCCCCAGAATCCACCCACTAGGGACACGTAAAGGCCTCGCTTCTCCACATCTGTAAAGCCGGAGACATAGTTGAGAGTCCTATCGAGAGTGTCATTAGTTTCGCTCGGACATGAGACGCAAGAGAAGCATGGCGCACCCAATATACATGCCGCCGCCACCAACCCCCGTCAGCACTCGACCCACTATCATAGCCTCCATGTTTGGTGCGGCGCCGCAGATGGCACTGCCGATTTCGAAGAGAGCGATTGTGCAGAAATAGAGCCATTTCATTTGAAACGTCCCGTAGCATTGGCCAAACAAGACCAGAGTAGCCACGGACCCCATCGGAAATCCAACGCCCACCCAGGACAGCTTGTCGATCTCGCCTACAGCCTGGTATATCTCACCCTGAATCGAGGCTGCAATTGTAGTATCCAGCCCTACAAACCTACTGTTAGTCATAAGTTTCCATGTGCACAATCCCGCGCTGAAGAGTTGGAACAATGTGGTTTTGGAAGCCGCACCGTACAAGAACCCCGTCAAATAGAATGCAATGCAAGCGAGAAACCACCTCGTCTTGCCTATTTGTGTTCCGGTCGTGTTGTCCTGAGCAACATTGCTGTCATTCATTATCGATATTTCTGCCTGGATCGGAGATTGGTTGTAATTCGGATTGCTAGCGAGAGCGCTCTTGTCTTTGGTGTCTATGTTGGAAGTGTGCATCGAGACTGGAACGCATCATTTTATCAGTTATATGCTACTACGCTGCCGAGGCCAGCCCTAAAATCACGTCACGAGTGGTGGCATACAATTGAACAACGCAAACACTGCAAATGGGACAAACTTGGCCCCTATGCATTAGTGCTCACTGGATATACGCCGATCTTGTTTACCCCCTGGTCATTACTACCTCAAAGAGGTCCACTGGGGTTTCACTCGGCCGAAGTTAGCCATCGAGTTGGTCTGCGCCAGTCGGATTACACCAAAAAGATGTGCAAATTGACGCCCGGGATCGTTCCTGGCGTTTCGCTCCGACCCGTGGAATCCAGGGCCAACTGAGCTCATCGCAGTGAACTAACCCTGCAGGGATCAACAGCGGCAAACCAAACACACGTAAGCCTTCGCTACTCTATAGACTTGCTACATACAACTTACTATGTGCTGCTCTGGCTTTTGCGAATTACTACTGGGTATGGCGTAGCTCACATGTAGCTTCCTTCACATGCAGCTTCCTTCCTGATATCCTCGGGCGAGTAGGCTCCTGGCCAGATGCTTCCGTAGCATTGCTGCCGCTTATTTAAAGACCATACACAGAGAGTCGCAGTACGGGACTAAAGCAGCGCACATATATCATCGTTAACAAGTATGGAGGCGCCGAGCAGTGCCGACCCCATGGACATAACGGAGAAGAAAAGGATACAGAACCGGATGGCACAACAGAAATACCGTAAGCTGTTCACGGTCAGATATCCACCACTCCGCCTCTGCCTTCGCTTACAGAGCTTCACATCTACAGGTAAACGACTCAAGGAGAGAATCCGGGAATTGGAAGAGCTCAAGAAGCACATGGGCGACATTTCCGAACTCAAAGACCATGTCGACGCAGCTTACTCGCCCCCTTCCACGAACATCCAGACTGGGGCATATGCGACAGAAAGCACAAGCATTGGTCTGCTACCAGATCAGGAAATCAGCGCTCCTGAATCAGACAATTGCCTGTGGGCCTTGAACTGCCCGCCGATCAGCCCTGCCCAGTTCGACAACCACCCCGGAGTCTCACCAAGCTCGTCCCTGGATTTTTTGTCTTCAACGTTTGAACATCTTGATTATTCCTCATCTTCGCTGTCAAGTGAGTCCCAACCACATGTAAGTCCATGCGCACATGTGGCCCGTCAATGGCCCTGCGCACTTTCTGCGCCATCGCCCAGAGTATCAAGTTCATCGGCTCCGCACCAGGCGACGCGGGATACTCAATGCGTCAGTCCCGAGGACCAACCCTCCCCGGGGGCCGGCTGTGAGGAGCGATTTATCCACATTCTCAACAGCATACACCAAGCAGGGTATGAGAGCATCGAGAAAAGTAAGTTTGCCGCATTCTCCAACCTGGACGGGCGTCCGAAGTAGATGATCCTTTGAGACGACGCCCTTCCCAGTGTTTACTCGACTGATGAGCGTCTACTAGTGATGATTGAGTACTATACAGCGAGCTTCAAAGCCGACAGCGTGGCTCACTGGTCGCAGAAATTGAGTCGTAGATATCGCCTGTGCGGGATGTTGCGGGATATCTATCACAACTCGCAGGCTTGGCCGGAGGATGAGAGGATGGTGTTTCGCGAGGCCCTCGCATATATTGCTGTACGTGAGCGGACTGCTAAGACTCAATGTACGCACATGCTGAGCACTACTTTCTGAATCAAGATACTTCGTAAAAGTAGTTTTGTCAGGGGGAGTGATTATTATCTTAAGTGAACTAGAGTGTAAAGTTTAACTAGGTATTGTATGTCCATATTCGGTTCGATTTCCCAGAACAGATCGAACTTGGCAGACAGACTAGTATCAATCTCGATAACAGTACTTGCTAAAGCATGTATCACACGCTCGTGGCAACTTGGTATCGGTCTTTTTGAGAATAGCACAACCCAAGCATGAGCCCCAAGCCTCGTCACCATTCTGCGTGGCCACTGCCATGCCATTTTCGATCATTCTCCGAGTCTCTATTTTCGAGTATTGGAGTTTTGAGGTGGCCATATTGCTCATGTACGTTTGAGCGTTATTTGGCAGGTAGACAATGGTGATTTTATCAGCTTCGTCACATCCAAAGATCGTTGCGCGCTTGTTCAGGCCTTTTTTGATAAAAGTGGCGACCTCTGGGATGTAAGGCATGCGGGTCAAGCCCTGGTTGAAGGACTGCGTGTAGGTCGTCAAGATCTCAGTGCCGTTTGGCCAATTGTCGTTGGTATCGGCACTGTTGTCGTTGACGAAAATCACGTCGACGCCGCGAGCTGGCTGCAACATGGGCCATATGGGGTTGTTCTGCAGTGCTTCGCCTCCGTCCACAAGGTGCAGTTTCTCCTGTTCCGTAATTAGATTCGCCGTGTTCAGCTCCATGGTGGCTGACTTGTAGCCATTGAATGGGTTGGAAAACACTGCAAAGAAATCTTCGGTGGTTGTTTCATGTACGTCGACTAGGAGTGATTGCACGTTGGTCATGAGTTCCGTGGTCAGGAGGGAACTCTTGGGCATAGATCCGGCGGCGTAGTTGAAGACATTCGAGGAAACTGCGAGGACGTATCCGATATTGTCGTAGTCTGTCACGCAGCCACTTTTGTTGGTTGGGTTGCCGCTTGTGATGGATGTGCCCAGGTACTTTGTCTGGACAAAAGCGCTCACGTCGCTGTCCCACGAGCCAAATTCAAAAGGGCTGAACTCGTATATTGTCGCGTTGGGACCTGGAAGGCTCTCCCCGTTGAACGTCTTCACGCCTAGGCTAACTATCATGGGGAAGGGTACAGCATGGTCTGTGAAGTTGGATAGGGTCGCCACGGACGAAAACGTGAGGTTCGCGCCATAGTCTGGGCCTGGGAAGAATTGATAGGAGAGCAAACGGCCATATGGGTCGGTGAGGGTAGTGTCAAACCCAGCTGTATCCTTTGCAGCCACGTCGGCGAAAATCTGCTTGTAGATCTCAGGCGCATTCCCATTTTCCGGGGTCAGAAGCCCGTTCTGAAAAGTCTCTTCCCAAAGATCTTCCCGCAGCTTCGAAATGGTCGGGTAGTTGTTCCCGGCAAAGGAAGATAGCAGCCAGCCACCTCCAGAGAGGCCAGCCTGATAGGACAATGCCTGGAATAGACCACTTAAGCTTCCATTGCTGTCCCTTTCATCCATGGCTTGGATGACACCCGCTCCAGTAAGCATGGATCTGTAACCTCCACCACTGGTAGTCAATCCAATCTAGGCTTATATACCTCTTAGTAATATGCTCCGATTTTATCTTCACGTTGTAAACGCTATAATACTAGGCAAATTCAGACACTCACCGTTGGTAACTTGACATCCTCAACGTCAAACTGGTCGCTCGTTCTGGACAACCAATTAATCAAAGCAGCATCCGCTTTGCTCTTCCGCTCCTCAAGAAACTTGAGTTCGTCAGTGCTGAGGCCTGATGCATCTCTGACAAGACTCATGGACGGACAAGCCGTATATTTCGGTGTTGTGCATTCTGCACCGGAGAGGAGAAGAATCGTGCCCAAAAATATATATTTGGTAGTGAATCTCATTTTGGGGATACCCCTTTGCTGATATTGCAGGCAGGAACTGAGAAACTGTCTGTTTTCGACGAAATGAACACCTCTTCACTGCCTTCGCTATACTACCCCTTTATATAAAGGCGTAACTACCTAGCTCCTACCAAGCCACGGGCAAGACCCATTACGCGGCATGAGGCTTTCTTTCACAGCAATAGGATGAGATGCCGTGCCCGCTGTAATCGGCCGCGTAGAGATGATCACTATGAGCCCCTAATGGCCACACGTGGTTGGGTATTGTCTCATGGTTCGTGAAGAAATGCTGTGGAGAGCCCCAGCCCACTAATTCCAAATATAAGAAGAGGTCCGTTGCTATCCACTTTTGCGTCCTGGTAGACTACGAACCATTTGCTACTGGCTGGAAACAGCCCAATAATTTGAGATTCGGGAGCCGGGACATCCGGGATTTAGAGCAACTGAGGAAGCATGCTCTACACTAGAGTCTGGCAAGCCGATAAGATACGGGCTCATCGGGAGAATCTCAGGCAGAAGGAGGAAGTTTCGGAGAAGTTTCCGCCATCTCCCACTAACGTTCTCTCGGAACTATTCCAGGGTACTCACGGGAACGGTCCGGCTTGGGTTCTCTGCAATGTGGTACTTAGTGAAGGACCGCAGTTGAATCCTATGCGGACCGGGACAGATCCGAACTTCTGAAGTATCCTCAAATTTTCTATCACGGAACGATCCCGGGACGGACATGGCTCTAGTACACATCACTCCTCCGTCTTGCGAGGTCAATTCCTCTCTCAAGCACGCGACACCGACGGGATTCCGGCCGGTATGGGGATTTTAACATGCTGCAGCGATCTCCAGGATTGCATGGTTGAACTGTCGGGGTACACCCGTAACTCTTGTACGTAAACGCCGACCTAAAGATAGTTCAGTCTACAAAGTAATCTATATGGTTGTTATTCAGGGTGGATTCTTTCCAAGCGACTAAGCAAGGATGGTAACTGCTCACCCCGTTTTATTCTTGTCGGGAAATCATATTCAACCAATTCCCGACTCTGATTTCCTGTGTGGCGATTTCTGCAGTCGACTTATGTAGACTGTTTTGAGCGTGATGTTGCACCATTTGGATGGTTGCTTAAGGATGCACACTGATATCAGAGATTCTTTCCGGCGCCCTTGACTCTTCTAGAACCACCTGACGTACCGAATAGAGCTAACATTGGAAGATGCACTTCAGATCCCGACATGTTCCCGAAAGTCTCGTCTGAAAACTTTTGTCGACACCCACGCCGACGGTTGTCCAGGGTCACATCGTTTCATATGGGCTGATTTTTAATGCGTATAGTATCTCAAAGATAACGAACATGACAGTCCACGGCACATGCAATTTCAGCGTTCCGAAGTATTCGGCCGGGAAAAGCACCTTGCGGTATTCAGAACACAGTCCATGCCCTATCGTATCCGGCCTCGTTATACAACTTGCAAATGACAACATCACCGTGATCCACATGGAATATCCCGCTGTTACACCAGGGATGTTTGCATCCTGATAGAATTCAAGCATGCCATTGCAAAACCTGCAAGGCTTTAAAAAGCTCATACAATCCAGCCCGTCAATTCCATGACAGCGCATTCAAACCGCGGCTGTCTTTGAATTATACCAGATCTCCAGCACTGTGACCACATCACCATGTTCAAAATGGGCCCGTATTCTGGTCTCGCTTCTTTACTACTGTTCATAACCACTGCATTTGGTTTGCCGGCGACAGATTCCGGAATTTTTCAGGTCCTTCAGCAGGCAAACCTGAACTTCACCAAGAACGCTGCAGCCATCCATTTCTCTGATTTGGCAAAATACAATGTCACTCACAACTCAACGTACGCAGCTACCATCGAAGCCGTGAAGCAGTCCGGAGGCACGCCGGCAATTCCCCTGCTTTGGGAAAGCGAATACGTGTGTCCTGTCGTAATTGGAGGACAAACTGTTTACCTCGACTTTGACACAGGTTCATCTGATCTGTAAGTGTCGTCAGCCTAACAAGAAAAAAAAAGTCAAGTTTTTTTAATTGAAAGTATCTAATAGGTGGGTCCTCTCAACCTTGACAAATGTCGAGGGCGTTGGTCACAAAGTTTATGACCCGAAATTGAGCACTTCTTCCAAGTTACTGCCTGGAGCAACATGGGACATAACGTATGCCGATGGTAGTGGATCGGGCGGCATCGTTTTCAAAGACCGTGTTGCGATTGGAAGCAGCGTTGCTGTGGATCAGGCCGTCGAGGTGCCTCTAGTTGTCTCGCCCCAGTTTGCCGCCAATCCTTTCAACAGCGGTTTGCTAGGTCTGGCCTTTAGCACTATAAACACAGGTGAGTGCCAATGTGACGGAAGCTATTTATCACTCTGTAAAGCGGTCGGATCTAATGATCCACCTATTCAGTGTCTCCGATCCACCAGTTGACTTACTTTGAGAATATCCTACCAACACTCAAAGAACCGTTGTTCACCGCGGATCTTCGACATGGGCGTCCAGGAACATATAACTTCGGTTTCATTGACCCCGCTGCATTCAAAGGGCCTATTGCATGGACCCCCGTCACAAAGCCGCAGGGATATTATGCTTACTGGCAGCTCGATGTTACTGGATTTCAAGTTGGGCCTGAACCGTACCATGAACATATTATCAGTGGAATTGCGGGTGAGTCAAAGTATGCCAGTATATCTTCTATTGTAGCGCTAAGAATCTCCCTCAGACACTGGAACTAGCCTTCTGTATCTTCCCCCTGGTATTGTCCTTGAGTATTATTCCAAGGTAGTTGGTGCATTCTTCGACTCAAGCAATGCTGCATGGGTATTCCCTTGCACTTCCCATTTGCCTGACTTTATCTTCGGCATCGGGGCCTACCGCGGAGTTGTCCCAGGGAACTACATACTTTTTCAGCCCCTGGGTGACGACCTTTGTTACGGAGGTATCCAGGTTGATACCGGCCTCCCTTTCTCCATTTTTGGGGATATCCTGCTCAAAGCACAGTTTGTGATCTTCGATCATTCCGGTCCGCGCCTAGGATTTGCGAACAAGCTGTGAGCATTGGCTTGTGGTTTGCAGAGCAGGAGTACGTGCTCTGACTCTTGCCGTTGCGTTATCAAGCTAAGCGCTTTTCTGGAAGCTGAAAGCTTTACTCTGGTGTTATTTATGAATAGGAATACGATTGGTCGCTAACCAAACAGCCAGTCCCTTTGTATTTTGCCTATGAGATATTGTATTTACTTTGTTTGCCCACATTCGCTAAAGGGAGATTGCTCAAATGTCAATACATGATCAGTCCGAACTAATTAGTATATTTGCAAAGCCTATCTACCATATTAGTTAGTCACTGTGGAATGCCACGATAGTGCAAAGCACGCGCGGCTAGAGCTAGAGCTCCCTGGATGTTTTTTTGGACTCTGGAAGATTTGATTTTGCTTAATACGAGGCGCCTGCCCCTCGCCCCCCTAATACCGCGGATTCCATTGCTCAAATAAACACTATATTATTTTTTCGCTTAAGCCCTGCAGATATACCATTTCATTTCAGCTACAGGGATCATGCTTTCGCTGGGGAGGCTGTGTGAGCTAGAGCCAAGCTCTAAGTATATGCTGCAGTCGTACCGTTGCCTTAAAGCCTTACACGGGCTCAGACCCATAAAAATATTTACAAATATTTCATAGAGGAAGAGCTCTTAAAAACGAAGTATTAAGTATTGATACTACCTTAGCTACTTTAATCTACTGTTAGTATATATGGTATTTGAAAATAATACTCCCTGTTGAAAATTGCTATATGTTCCCAGAAGGGTAGAGCCAGCAATGGATCATCAGTTGATCGTCTCCTCGAGTGTGATATGGCAATGTTACGCCTCCGGTATTGTGGATTTATTAAAAAAAAAAATCGAAGATATAGTACTAGATCTTTTTAAAATTATAAATAATTAATTAATATAGTATATTAAATAAGATCTTATATAGATAAAAAATCGTCTTTTTGTTATTTTTTTTTTATATACCCGCAGTGTATATATCAGGCTAATATATTTTAAATTTAGATATATAAGATTTAAACGCTGGGTTAGGATAAATTTTATATAAATAATATAAACTATTAAAGTAATAGCCCCTGAGTAAAAAAAAACCACAATTCTTCTAAACACCACGTATAACTATATCACTTCCGTCGTCACCAAGAGTTACTGGAGTCCATAGTGTACCTTTCGAAGAAATTAGCAAGCCAATGTAATTATACTGCTGATACATAGATTGTACTATATTCTCATACTATTCACATCCAATGTCCGTGCTACCTAGAGAAAGCTTTTGCAATGAGATATATGTGCTTTTTTTTTTTTTTTTTTTTTTTTTTTTTTTTTTTTATTTTTTTTTTTTTTTTTTTTTTTTCGTATTCTGTTTTTCGAACTTTGTTGTTCAATTGCCTTATTCCGTTTCCAAGCCTGCTAACGCAATGTCGTGGATATACCCAATCTTCCAATCCATGCCTCCATAACGATGTATCCCAACAGCGGGAGTAGAGATGCCAACAACCAACTCCAGAAAGTAAACAAGAACCATGTGCAAATAAATACCCATAAAACCCTAAATGCTATCCAACATTACCGCCATCCATATCGTCTATATGTATTAAACAAATCCTCCATTACTTTTTTTCATTGCGGTCCTTCCGCGCAGGAATTTGGTTCGCAACCGCGTCCTTGGGCACCAGGACCTTGCGCACGGTGAACCCTTTCTCATTCTCCGGTCGGGGACACGCACTGTCCCCATGATAGAACTCACACCGAAACTTTAGAAATTTGTGGCGATGTTGATAGATCGTGATAATATCCCCCGTGTATATCTTGCCAAAATGAAACCCTTCCCGACTGGTATCCCCCTCCGGCCCTCGACGCAGCTCCGTATCGTTCACCCAAATGCACTTGCGAGTCTTAGTTGAGAGTATTGCCATCACACCAGGTACAGACAGCCAATCCAGCCCCGCCCTTATCTTGGACTCGATGGCGGGGGCCCAAAAGGTGACCTCCAACGCGTATGCTGGGATTCTCGTGTCCATAGGGTCTGGGTAGCAGACAGTTGCTTGAGGACCCCGGCCCCACGATGTCATACGATCTTCCAAAGGGATCGTCAATTCGAAAATCGACCCAGGAAGTGTCGTCAACTTGCCCAGGAGAGTTGGAGGTTTACTTGGTTGGAGCACAATTTTGGGATTCATAGTAGGCGCGGGATCGGCTGGAGCATCACCACCTGTTCTTTCTGGATAGTCTAAAATTGGCTGCCCGGTCTTAGCATCAATGGTATTTGCCAGCTCGATGTCGAAAATCTCTCCTGGGATAGATTTGGTTTCGTGGCGTTCGTCCTTGGCATGTTGCGCGATACTCTCGGGGCTCGAGCGTTCACTGGCGGTATCAGGCATGGGTAATTCAATCCGTCGGCTGAAGATGGCCGGTTTAGGGGTTTCGTTACCAGGGCTGGTTAGCTGCCTTGTCTTCGCCTCCTTTTTCTCTGCAGAGTCCTCCCCCTTCGCTCCAATTTGCCGTACCGGTATCTCGACGACTGGCGGACGATTGGTTGATGTGCCAGGGTGCCACGAATTCATGTTCAGCTGCCCAACAAGGTTCTCAGTTCCCATCAAGCTTGGTGCGGACCCACAAATAGGGTCCTCCGGAAGGGAAATGATGGAGTTAAGGCTGTTGCCGTCGCTGACCATCGACTCACCGGCTGAAGAAATGAAGTCATTTATGCTGAAGTTGTCTCCTTCAAACGCATTTGTATTAGCTCCCAGCACATCCGAGCTTCCTAACACAGACGGGGTGATTTCACCGAAGAGGCGTTTTGGTGTTGTATCAGCAGCAACCTGGACTTCTTTGAAACTTTCAATATGAGGCAGAGATGGGTAACGAACGTCCGTGGGGGGGCAATCAATCCTCGGCCGCTTGGATTGCGCCAAATCGCTATCCTCTTGCTCACCCGGGTCTTTGGGTTCTGATTCGTCGTGAATTGAAAGCTGAGATGCATCCAATTCCTCTTCCGCATCCTCACCGATGTCCGAAAGGTCACCCCGGACATTGGCATAGAGTTCGTCATCATCATACTCATCCACATCTTTGACCTCAGCAATCCATGGATGCTGAAAGCATTCACGTTCTGTCGGACGTGCCTGAGGATCGCGGTTTAAAAGTCGGGTGACAAAATCAATACCTTCTTCTGACACGCCTTCGTTACGCAGAATATCAACATCGGGATCGGTGGTCATGATCGTTCGTAGCATCTGAGCTCCTCTGTCATCGCCACGGCCCATAAATGGAGGAACGCCAGCAAGGATGTGGTAGAGGACCGCGCCAAGGGACCACATGTCGACGGATTGGCTGTACGGAGAAGTTTTGGGGGGTCTGGCCATCAGTGTGCGCTCGATTAAGAAATGTCACTAGGGAAACTTACGGATCACCTAATCGTCGCCTTTTCCTGACCTCGCCACGACGATAGGAATCGTACTCTGGGTAAACTTCAGGGGCGCAGTAAAGCAATGTGCCACAGAAGGTCTTGAGGAAGGTCTCTTCCTGCACTACTTTGGACAGCCCAAAGTCCGACAGCTTAACTCTTAGTGGATCGAGCGAGGAAATGAGGATGTTGTCCGGCTTGATGTCTCGATGAGTGATCTTCCGTTTATGGAGATACTGTAGCGCATGCAAGACCTGGCGGGAAATGGTTTTGACCATGTCTTCGGGAATCTTGCCAATGGATTGCAGGTACGTCGACAGCTCACCACCGGGGACGTACTCCATAATGATGTAGATCCATCGATCATGCTCGTGATGGTCAATATACTGAACAATATTAGGCTGCCAAGAAAAGTATCAGTCAAACGATCATCCTGTGCCTGGAGAAAGAGATGCTACCACTTACATGCTTGAGGTCCTTCATAATCTTCATTTCATTATCCACTTTCTGGTCCAAGACCCCGTTCTTCATGAAACGTCGCTTGTCAAGCTCCTTCGCTGCATACACGGCCCCATGCTGCTTTGTGGCAAGTTTATACACCGTTGCAAAGGCTCCTTTCCCTATCTGGCCGGTGACATTGTACATCGGCCCGCCTGTCCAGTGCATCCCGTAGGTATTAGAAACCGTCCATTGCAAAACAGGCTGTGCCGAGGTTTGACGTGACTTGACCTGCGTAGTTCCTGCCCGGTGTTTCTGTATCCGCTCAAAATAACGTAGCAAATTCTCCGTATATTGCATAGAGAACCCCTCTCGATTTGGAATGCGGACGACGAACCTAACTTCATCTGAGGTTTGGTCGCCATTCATCACTTGAATGACAGAGCCATTGGTCAGCATTCGACTATTCTCTCTCTGGCTCTTGCGAAGACGGCAATTGTCTACAATGGTGCCATTGGTGGAAATGTCCTCGAGCATAATGATTCCGTCTTCGGTGAGGTAGATACGGAAGTGCTGATTTGAGATGCGTTTTGAATTCTGGTCACGGGCAAGGAGAAGATCGCAACGAGTTCTGTTGCGTCCGAAGCAAAATCCAGTGTTCAAATCGTGCACTTTCGATGACAGCCTAAGCCCAATGTCCAAGGCTGCTGAAGTTTCGTACACGAGCTCATCTCGCTGAAGGATATGCTGGGGCGCAGAACTGGCAGAGGCGGCCACCGCATGGTGGGCAGCAGGCGAACTAGGATGTAAGATACATATTATGTCCGCCACGTCCTGCTCATGGAGACCAGAGTTGTTGTAGCCCATGCGGCGTGGGTCCGTACATGGCTGGGTGGATTCTTGAGTCGCTTCCATTTGGAGTGGGAGGCGATAAAGTCTGGCGAGAAGTCGCTGTAAAAGAAGAAAGAAATAACTACTATCACAAGATAACTTAGGGTATATGTGCTGATGTGTGAATATGAAGAGATGTTTGCATAACCAATACAATCAATAACACAGCTCCATACCATGAACCTATTGGAGGGGTCAGTTTTTCAGGCCTCAGTGTGTTTCATAAGGTGGTCTTGACTGTTGGAAGGATCTGAAGGTTCCTTACCTTATGCAAAAGCAACGACAAATGAACACCAATGACAGGTGCGCTTCAATGGACCCCTAGCTTGCCACTGGGAGTGTTAAACTATGTGCACGGACTTGATACTAGAACAGGAGTTGCCTGTACTGAGCCAAAAGGCACCAGAAAAATCCACCAAGCTTTTGAGGTAAAATTATATTCCTAAAACGCGTAGTGCCTCGATGACAACGAGTATTGGGAAGGTAAATCCGTAGGCAGGGAGACCCCGACCTTGCCGGCCAAACAGTCAATCACAAGCAAGCTCGCACACGATGTGGTGGGCCGGATTCATTGAACAAAGGAATGACAAATGGAAGTTCGAGCTATGGTTTAAAAGGAGGGAAAGGGCTATGTCTGTGAAACAGTTGATGGCATTAGTCGGGAGCTCTTGATTAACGAGGAGCGACAGGGCTCGAAAACTTACACAGTTGACGAAGTCCCCATCCACCATCCACTGCACAATCCAGGACGTGACTGCGACAATGGCCTTAGTTTAGTGGGGCAATCCGGCAACAGGGACGCGACAGGATACTGTCTTGGTAGAGTCGTCGTCCACAAAACAAGCAGTGAGGCTGAAGTGAGTATCCCGCAATTTATTTGAAAGGCGGAAGACGCCCCAGGCATCAACAAGGTCGTGCCCAGGCACCAAGGACTGAGCTGCCTGAGGCGGACAAAGCCTTTCCATCCAATCAGGATGTACGGTGGGGATATTGGGCGGGAACCAACCGTGGATGCCGAAGTGGGGATTTTGGATCTAGTGACCCGAGACATGATTCACTATCACATATCGATTTCATGTGTGAAAACTTCGGTTACCTTTTATTTTATTTGCACACTACTGTTCGTCTAGCAATTAATACAGGGGTTCGAATCCGTATACATTCAGGCATCATGCTCGATTGAAAGATATAATATTCTATATCTATCTTCACACTACTAGTATATCTATATCTATATCTATTGAATAACCAGGATATCTTTAAGCATGGCTCATCGGCAGTGCCGACATTCGTCCTTGGATTCCGTTCTGTTCATCCTCGGTCAGCTCAATCCCAAACTGATCCCTCAAAGCATCGACTCGTTCCCTCTCGCTCATGCACGTTTGGACCAGAATGTTCTTCCCGCCTTCATTCTTCTTAATCTTGTCACCATCGAAGACCATCTTCCCGTACACCTCATCCCCTTCACGAAGATACTTAACCACAAGCAAATGTGACGTGAGAAAGCAGTCCGAGTGATAACTGGTGAAGAAGTTCATTACTTCGAAATCACGCTGGAAGAATTCCATCTCTGTGAAAGCGTAGTTATGTATCCACGGCTGGTCTTCCGCATTGCGGGTCTGATAATTCCACTGGCGTTGACGTGACCCAGGCAGAGGTTCGTACACCAACCGCATAGTCTGGGTTCCAATGTTCTCATGGATAGGGCCATCGACCAATGGTAAAGGAGATCTGGGACCATTCCCTCCATATCCCACGTCGACCAGGTATCTTTGCTGGTCGAGGGTGACGATGTTCACAGAGTGCTCCCTTGGAACCTATCAACATGTACCCAGGCACAATTAACGTGCAAGTACTCACCAGCCCGACCAGCCCGCTGGCTTCCCATTTCCAACTCGAAAGAGCCGTGCACCAGTAAGGTAGACATCGAATCCTAGAAATAGAAGGACATGGTGAAATAATATATTGTTTTCCATGCAATAACCACCGCGACGTCTCTGGACAAGCTTTTTGTATAGCTCTGCCACATCTAGCGAAACCTTCACATCCTTCGCATAATGAAGGGACAAGTTTTCGTAAGGGATTGCTGAAACGTGATACCCTTGAAGTCTAGACAGGAACGGGAGATCCAATGTGGGGCCCTGACCGCGACGGTATGATGTCGGTAACTGGATGCGCTCAAAGTAGGCGTCAACCTGTACACCCGTGAGGGCTGAACAGATGGATGTCATATTCTGTATAAAACCAAATTTGGGGCAGGGGGTCGTTTCTATTTCGCAGAAAGAAGCAAGCCAGCCGAGATTCAACTGTATATAATATGACTCATGTTAGTCCGATCTACGGAATAGTTCATGGTTGATGCTGAGCTACTACTAGTAGTAGCCTTGGTGGAGATTATGCACATCAAAAATCTGCCCCAATTGGATACTGTCTGATCCGAGCGTCGATCTTGCAGATTTGAGATGAGGGGTGCCGATGGTCGAAATCCCGACATTCCCAATTTTTCTTTTACGTTTCTTCTTTTTCTCAGTTCTTGGAAAGTGCATAGTTTGCTTTGCAAACCACCGAACAATATCCTTCCCAAATTCCCGTTGCCCATCCCGCCAAAACCGTCTACGCTGTGTTCATTATGTCTCTTTTTATTGTAAGTTCACCACATATTCGAATCTTGAAGACCCGCTAATCTATGACGTGAAGGATGTCATCTCCGGTGACCATCTGTTCTCGGACGATTTCCCTATAAAGGAAGTAGACGATATTGTCTATGAAGTAGACTGCAAATTTATAGAGGTTGAACGAGCCCGTGATGTTGGTGCGTATTCACCCTCCCATCCTTATGAGCAGACCTTTAACGCAGGATTCAGATATCGACGCTAATCCCTCCGCCGAGGAAGAGGACGATACCATCGCCAAAGTCAATAATGTTGTGCATGCGTTCAGCCTGCAAGGAATCACCTTCGACAAGAAGACCTATAGAGACTACATCTCACGTATGCCCCCTCTATCAGTGCTGGTGCAATCTACTGACAGCGCCACAGGCTACATACAGAGAATCAAAAACCATCTTGAAGAAACAGATCCGGACAGGGCTGAAGCGTTTGAACGGGGTGCATGGCAGTATGGGAATAAAATCCTCAGTCATTTTTCAAGCTTCGATTTTTATACTGGACCGAGTTTCCATGCCGACGGCATGGTTGCTCTGCTCAACTACCGCGAGGATGGCGACACCCCATTCTTTACCTTTTGGAAGGATGGACTGCAGGTGGCTGATCGTTAAGAATTATTAACGAAAGTGCACTATATGAGATGGTCGCACTAGCTGCATGTATAGTCCATCCAGGATAGCCTATCAAACAGAATGCTACTGTTGGAGGACTAGCGGATCTCGAGTCGTGCGGTCAATGATTGTTTAGAATCATAATGCTACAGTAATCACAACTTCCCGCTTCATTTATATAAACATCTTCCATAGCTCTTTCTGAGGGAATTGACCGAAAACATTAAGCTGTTAATCTTGGTACCATACCTTGTCGATCAAATCTTGGTGTTTCCAGGTTACGGAGTATTTAATGCTTACTATGCTAATTATGATATTTTTGTTAATACATGTCCCTTGCAAATCCCAAATCGGTATAAAACCGTAATACATCTTTTTGAGAGGTCTTATTTTCAATAACTTCTTCGAAGAGCCGAATGTAGATCGGAATGCGATTACTAATCGCACCACCCCCTCTTAAAAGAGTGGATGCCCGCAAGAGGAAATCCGTGAGTTCTATACTCTTCAACTTATGTACTACCCGTTGAGATCAATACATTTCAAGTCTTAGGGCTTTCACCTGCTACCGTATGGTAGGCTTTGATCCGTGCTACGTTGATAGCTCCCACTCATAGCCAACCCAAACACTTCGCCCAGACGCGCAATCGCTTCGTCCGATACCTCTGGGATCGAGTCAGTGTCCGCTGCAAGGATAATCCTAAATAACCCGTAGAATGAGGGGTACGTACGGTAGTGAATGACAATCCGATTGCCCAACAGCTTCAGCCCCTTGTCCTTCCCTATCTCCCCCAAGTCATTGGGCCCCAGCCCGGCCGCGTCAAGGTCCACCCACACCATGTTAGTCTCTACTGGCTGAGACAGCTTGCCGCCGAGGCGTTGCCACATCTCAGCGACTTTCTTCGCCTTAATATGCGCTTCGCGGAGCTTCCCTCCCTGGCCATGGGGGTCCGTGCCAAAGTTTTCGTCGAGAGCAACCCGGGCAGCTGCAGCGAGTACCCCTGCTTGTCGGACTCCACCTCCAATAGCTTTGCGGAACCATCTAGCTTTCTTAATAAACTCCTTGGACCCAACAATAATACTACCAATAGGCGCCCCGAGACCCTTAGAGAAACACAAGCTCACACTGTCAAACAAACTAGCGTACTCCGGTAAGCTACCGGCCCCGGACACCACCGCTTCCCAGAGCCTCGCCCCGTCCAAATGCACCTTGATCCCGTTCGCATGCGCCCATTCTGTAATTCTACGAGCCTCCGCGAGCGGCAGAACCCCGCCGTCTAAGGTGTTTTCCAGGCTGATCAGCTTCGTGGGACAATGGTGGATGTCGTCGTCAAGCACCGCATATTTCTGGATATCCTCCAAGGTGAGATAGCGGCCATTCTTGGGATCGAGGGGTTGGACCATCGCACCGGTCAACGAACTGACTCCTCCCGCCTCGTAGCAGACGATATGCGAACGGCGATCGCATATCACAGAATACGGCGGCTGCACGAGGTGAGTTCGAATCGCAACCTGGTTACCCATTGTTCCGGACATGACGAGCAATGCATCTTCATGGTTGGTGCGTTGGGCTACATAGGCCTGCAGGTCATTGGTCACCGGGTCCTCATTGAAAACATCGTCCAGGAGCGTGGTTTGAGTGATCGCTTCGAGCATTGACATAGTCGGTTTGGTCATTGTGTCGCCTTTAGTTTATGATTTTAGCATATTTTACAAAGATATATAATTGACATAGTCTTACTCCTCAGGTCAAACTCCGCCGCCCCAACGCCTTGCCAGGTGTTGGCCTTATTATTGGAAGCTGTTGATAGGCTCGCCATAATGAATCTTTGACCAGATGCGACCCTTTGAACAAATAACGCCGACCGAAACAAAGGTGGTGGTCGAATCAATGAGCGAAAGAATGGCCTCATCAAGTCCGCTTATCGCTGACAATCCACAAAGCATACAATGAAGGAGGGGTACAATAATGACTCGGTACCTGCATGGTTGTTTCTTTACCGAATGGAGGCATTCCGAGACACCGCCTGCAGCGCATTGCGGGGACCATGGAATAATTACCGCTTACGGACCCATACGGTAAAACCAATACGAGACCGGACAACATGCCGGGGAAATGAATGGAGTAATAAGCGTCTTAGAATGACGACACTTGGAAACGCGTGCGGTTCTTATCGATAACCCAAATAGGAATAGGCGACCCGCCGACGTGTCCCGACAGTGGCTGAGTCAGCAGTCGAGATCCCTCTGGACTTTTGCAGGGTGGGAGAGGCTTTCAACGTCTTCGCATAGTCCCTCCAACCCTTCTGCAGGTGGCGTACGGCATATCGGACGCCATTTTGTGGGTTTTGGGATCTATTTTCACCATGGATTTATCGAGATTGACCCGTCCGGCCATCCTGTGCCAATGTTTGCGCTGTTCGAGCTCCCTGGCCGCACTGGAGAATGAATGGGCCAAGCTTTCCAACTCTTATTCCGTCGCAGCAGGATGGCTAAGCGTCGAACTTCACCGAATTTCAATCTCGCCGGAAAAGAAAAAAATACCACAATCATCAGACCTGAGTGTCCTCCGTGGACGTATCCTGCAAGAGATCTCCTGCAAGCTCTGCCAGCAGAAAATAGGTGTGCTGTGTTCGCTAGATAATGGGTAAGTCGGAACAACACCGAATGAACAAGAGGATCATCGGCGCATGTATGGAGACTAACGATGCCAAGTCCTAATGTCTTCTGGAAGCTATCAAAGGTCTCGTTCCGGGAAATCGTATCCATGCGCACGGTAGAACCTTCGTTCAAAGATGGACTACTCGAGCGCCTGATCAACCCACCTCAGAAAGAATCGACCCGACGGGACAGGGCGTCCATCCAACCCGGAGCCTTGGTACCGGTCGGTTCATCCGAGATGGACCATTATACCGCATCCGTGGAGCAGCAGATCCAGCACCATGGACTGAGTCTCGACCATATCTCAAGTTCCGTGAGCAACCTACACGACACCATGTCGGAGCTCAAAGGTGCATTCACAGCGCTCCGTATCGAACTGAACGGTCCCGGTCGGTTCTCCGATCTAGGAAACACCATGAACAACGACTTCAACATGATCACAACAGTCCTGAAGGAGCTGAAATCCAAGTCAGAAGAGATCGAAAAGCTAAAACTAGAAATCGAGGCCTTGAAACTCAAAAACCGCTACATGGAAGAGCAGAACACAAGAGAGCAGCAGCTACCCTCGACCCTAGCGGTACCCGCCCCACTCCCAGAAGTCCGCAGCCCGGGATTGCTCCAAGCTGGCAGGAAGCGGCCATGGCCGGACTCCTGGCCCAGCGGCCGCACACAACCGATCGCCGACTCTTTCGACGACGGCGACGAGGAAGATAGCATCGACTTCTTCCTGGAAGACTCACATATGCCCCCGGTCAGGATCCCGTTAAAGGGCCCCGAGACCAACGCAGTGATGGACACGCCAAACGATCCAACAGCGCCAAGATCTTCGAACTTCCGAATCGAAATTAATGAATCAAGACGCCAAAGTCCGCAATGGGGTACCCCCGAAGTCCACGCCAGCGTAGAGCAACAAACCATGTCCAAACGCCCCCGTATGTCCCAGGCTCCCGAGAAGCCACCATCCAGCGTGGAGCTGGAGAAAAGACGGCCAGGGCGGCCACGCAAATCCATAAGCCAAGCCACGAAGCCAGATTTCTCCCAGACTCAGACACCGAGGCCAACGCCATTAAGCGAGCAAAACCCCAACATCAGTAGCAACGGCCAGAAGGAGGATGCACCCTCCAGCACGAGTCCCAGCCAACGCCAATCTGGAACCGAAGCTCGTCCGGGTCGTCCCCGAAGCATGCGCAGTCGGTCGCGGCCGCCACCCCGACGTTCAACAGGGCTTAATGATAGTTTCTCCGAGCAGGACCAGACACAGACACCGGAGGGTAGCCAACAGGACACCCCGCGCGGTGCAGAAGATCCAGTGTCTTTTGATCCGGAGACAGGCTCCGGGAAGGAAAACCCGCCGGGAAAGACAAATGGTGCTCATACTGATGATGGGAATAAGCGTGAAGCGCAAGAAAAAAGAAAGGCACAGGTTGCCGCGCGCGATACGATGGCACGCTTAGCCATGCAGCGCGAAGAAGCCATGGAAACGGAGGCTCGCTGATTCAGAAGCTAGACTGAAATTCTATTCATGTATTATTCATTTTATTTACTCCCTTCTTCCTGTTTCCGTCTTAATCGTTCACTCGCTGTTTTCCTTTTTTGTCTTGAACTCCTGAACTCCTTTGGGTTTCTTATGTGATGGTGTATAAAAAAGTCGGTTCTTCACGAATACATGGAGCAGTGGAGCAGTGGCAGGGTTAAATTGGTCTTCGTGGGATCTGGATATCTCAATATTATTCAAGAATTATTTTCTTTAATTGTATCTTTTCAACTTCCTACTGTACAGGGATATCTACGCTATATCAGTAGCCCACAGTATATCCAACCCAGGCCCAAGGCGACATAGAATCTATTTGACACACATGAATCCGCAGCCTTCTCGCGCCCTCTCACAGGCTTTTTTCAAGGCTTGTTCCTCAGTATCCGTCCATTTGACTGACAGCTCGTCCCACGGCTTCTTAGCATTGAACTCTTCTCGGAAGCGCTTGTGCATGGCCTGTAGCCTACTAACTTCGCGCGGGTCTCCAGTACCCGAGTACACAATGAACAAAGTACACGGCGGAAGAGACTCATAGACACGCTGGATATGAGAGACTGTACGAGATACTGTATCAATGAGACTCTTCTGGGGGGTCTCCGAGGGGGCGGACGCAGGGGGGCCCGTCGGGGTGGTTTCTTCAGGGGGAGGGACTAGTGTCGTGGACTCATTCGCGTTATTGGGGTCTGGCATACGATTGCACCAGCCTCGATACATTTCCAGTTCTCGCATCCGTGCCCAGGTAAAATCAACGCCACCGCCGGGAACCGACGCGTTGCTGTCATCTCCGTTTACGACGGATGAGATTCCTTTCACAACATCCTCGTCATCGCTACACCCGATTGCGACGGTCGCCTGCGATCCGAATCCACGCTCGGGGCTTCCCCAGTCTACCACAGCGCCAGTACGGCCTTCCCCTGCTGGGTTCGATTTGCCTGACCGTGTGGAGCGTGCCAGGCGCTTGAAGATGCTTTCATTCTGGGCGTCACTGGTTCCCCAACGCTCGCCCTTCTCACACTTTTGTTTCACCAGCTCAAGTACGGCGCGGGCATCTTCGATGGAGTCATGGCCGGTTTGGCCCTTCTGAATTTCCTTCCCGAGATACTTCTGCGTGAGCCACTTTAGGCTACACTTGAGAGGTGGCCCACGAGGGTGTGGATAAATGAATGTAGTGTCGACAATAAAAGGGTGAGTGAGCTTGAGAGCGTTCAAGTCCGAATTCAGTGAATGGCCGACCAGAATAGTGTGCGGAGTTAAGATAGTGAGGAGTTTTTGCTGGATATCAGCCAGGGTAGTCGTGACAGGATCAAGCATTTCTTTAGTAATCCCTGAGAACCGGGTAAGGTAGTCAATGACGGGTAACTGCGGCTTCACAAGCTCATCTAGTACCACTTCGCCGTCCCAGCCGACCAAGCTTATACGCGTGAGCTCGGATTTTCCACCTTCCGTTATACACATCTCACAGTCGAGGGCTAATACCGTACGCCCTGCTGTCATGCTTCCCTGTTGGATTTCGGCCTCGGCAACATCGCCTTCCTCCAAGTTTGCGACATGGGTATCGACCCACCCGGCCGCAGCATCCTGGCCGGCTCGTTTGCGGCTTTGCATCAAATCGGCTTTCTCATTCTCCTTCGTGAAAAGTGCCGGGTGCAGAGGATACTCGTTCTCACGGAGATCCTCGAGAGAACTGATGAACGTCGTTATCGGAGTCCGCTTGGGAACGAAACTCTTATCCATCCGTGCCTGTTTGGGACCCTTCTTTTGACTATCCTCCTTGTTCTTGGGAAGAGCGGACAACAAGATTGCTTGGAGCGGCGAGTGAACTTTGTTATACTTCGAATCTCCGGGTGCTCTGACCGGCCAAACATGAGGAAACATATCTGCCAGCGGCTGTAACGAATCTGGAAGTCCATCGCGCGACAAAGGGCGAGGGTTAAACCGATGAGATCGGTCTTCGAGAGGCAGCCCCTGTTTCCAACGATTAAACTCGGCCGTTTTAGGGTCCTCCCCCTGCTCATCGGCACCTGCAGTGTCATTTTGGTTCATTTGCGAGCCCTCCTCCGTAGGTGGTTGCAACGGAACTGTCCCATCAAACATGCCAATCTCCAGACCCGGCACCATCAATGCCACTACCTTCCTCACATGGCCCGAGTGCTTGATGGAAATCCACTGCGGTGCGATGCCGTCCGCGAAACAGTAGAGCAGGAGGCCCTGTAAGTCTGCGATCCGAATAGAGGATTGTAGTCGCCCATCGACGTAGGTAAGGACTGGATATTTTGTCTTCTCCCCGTCAACCCGCTTCTTCTTCGAAGGTCTTTGTGCTGGTACATCGCTCTTGGCCTTTGGTGGATCGTCCAACTGCATAGCTGTAGTAGATTCACTCTCCTCGGAAGGCTTGGGGTCACGAAGCATAGACAGTGTTTGCGCTACACCAAAGCCATTGCTGGCATTTGACGTGTCAGTAACCGGGGGTTCGTCGTCTGAGTAACCAGCCTCGGCGCGCTTGCGCTTCTTCATGCCTGCCATGTTGAGACCGCTAGTGGCGAAAGGGGATCGATCTTCGATGTCCGTTGCGAGCACGGCAGTTATATAGGAGCTCTAACCAACGTTGTCGTTCCGTTTGACAAAGTTTTAAATTACCTTGGCCAAAGAATGGCCTGGACTATGATCGGTCTTTGGAGCTTGATAACTGCCGGATCGGATTTATCAATCGACTTTTTGTATCACGTGCTGATAGCGGATCGATATGCATTGATGACTCAGTCATGGCATTAATGCAGTTATGCATAGTGTTGATCTATACTCCGTACAACCTACTTTATAATACAGTTGCTACGGATGAAAAGGTCTGTCTTTTCTAGAATATAGCAGGTTTTAGATCTAGGAGAAGTTGTAATCTGCTCACACAATAACATGTAAGAATCTATAACTATAGGCCACTTTGCAGTCCTCAACTCAGTTCAAAGACCATATCACCTGCATGCCTGTTGATGCACATGTACTTATCTACATCCTCTAAGCACTTCTCCTAGTGGATTTGTGCTATTCTGCAATGATTGATGCCATCTTATCATCCTACAATTCCCACCAGTACGTCGCCATAGCCAACCCGACTAAACCCGACCGGGGCCAAAACGATGGTGTCATCGGAAGCGAGCCCCACCGACGCCAAACAGAAAGCGAGTCATCGCCAGCGCCAGCCGATTTGCGTCCCTCGTTCGATCTGATAAGCGGCCAAAATTTCGCCTCACTCCGATCTTCCCTCTTTCCTTCTCCTCACTACAACAATACCCGGTGAAGCGCATCGCAAGTGTCGACTTGACCGTCCGCCCTTCAATCCGATTCCAAAAGTCCCACAGACTCAAACAAGCTCAACAACCAAGCGACGACCCATCCCAGAGATTTCCCGCCGCCACAGTCCAAAGCCCGGTCTTCCCAAACCCCGCAGAGAGAGAGAGAGAGAGAGTGGAAACGTCAAGATGTCAACTCTAATTGAAATCTCGTCCGAGGCCGAATTCACCTCCCACATCACGTCCCTGCCGCCGACAACCCTCTCGATCCTCTACTTCCACGCCCCCTGGGCCGCGCCCTGCGCGCAAATGCGCGCCGTGCTCTCCGCCCTCGCATCCCAATACCCCGCCACGACGCCGCCCACCACCTCCTTCATCAGCATCAACGCCGAAGAACTGCCCGACATCTCTGAAGACTACGACGTCACCGCCGTCCCCTTCGTCGTCCTCACCCGCAACGGCGAAGTCCTCGAATCCATCTCCGGCAGCGAAGCCGCCCGCGTGCGTGACGCCGTCGAACGCCACGCCGGCTCCAAAGCCGCCTCGGGAGGCGCCCCGGCCACAATCCCCCCGCCGTTGACCGCGGTGCCCCGCGAGACCGGCCCCGCGACGGCTACGCAGCCGCCGGCCGGCGCTGCGAACGGGGACACGCTGACGCCGGAGCAGTCGAAGGAGGCGCTGTTTGCGCGGCTCGGGGAGCTGGTCAAGGCGGCGCCGGTCATGCTGTTTATGAAGGGGACGCCGAGCGCGCCGCAGTGCGGGTTCAGCCGGCAGCTGGTGGGGATTCTGCGCGAGCGGAGCGTCAAGTATGGGTTCTTTAATATCTTGGCCGATGAGGATGTCAGGCAGGGATTGAAGGAGTTTGCGGACTGGCCTACGTTCCCGCAGTTGTGGGTTAGTGGGGAGTTGGTTGGGGGGTTGGATATTGTGAGTTCTTTATTTATATTTTTCTCTTTTGTTTTCCTTGAATGGTTCTTGTGCTAACCCGTCAACAGGTCAAGGACGAGATCGACAATGATCCGGATTTCCTGCGTGAGTTCTCTGTGAACAAGGCTCCTGCTGCCGCTTGAGCGTATAGAATACGGGAAAGAGTTTTCTTTATGTCTTGTTTTCTACCTCCTTGCAAACTCGATTTGTTAGATTATAGGACAGCGATGCCATTACGTTTTCTATGTTCAGTGTTCCAGCACTATATCTTCTTGCATGTTTCGTTCTTTTGGTTCATTCATTTAATAACAGAGACCCGGAAAAAAAAAACAAATGAATAAATATCACGCTATGCTTATGTACAGGAGCTAATCTAAGCTCCTCTGACATGCGTTGAAACCGCTGTATACCTCTATGCTTGTGTATTCGAGCCTTTTGTAGAAAACACAGTAGCCAATGGATTAACACGTCACGTTCTTCGTCATCTTTACATAGTCAATTCCTCGTTGGAAAGCCCATCGTGACTCTCTCCCTCAGCCCGTTTCCGATATGGTTTGCTGGGGCTGTCACGCCACAGCTGCGGGTATTTACGTGCCGAGGTTGCGAACTTGGACAAGACGGCGTCCTCATCGACATAGGCACCAGCGAGCCAGCGCTGGCCAGTCGCGGTATTGAACTGCTTCCGGGCGTGCAGGACGCGGCGATTCTCGAAGATCACACACTCGCCCGGGTTCAGCTTCAGCTCGTAGATATACCGCTCGTCCTCCAGCATCTTGGCGAATTTATCCAGGGCCCGCATCTCGGTTACGGTGCGGTTGAACGGACGGCGCTGGCCGTGCATCGGGGCCTGGAAGGGCGGGGAGTAGTTGGCGTGCATCAGCCTCGTCTGCTGCGTGTACTCGTCCACAAACGTCTGGAACACGGGCCAATCGTTGGAATACACATCATTCTGATGGTTATACTCGTACGAAAGCCGGAAGTGGCACAAGGCCTTGAACGCCTCCGGGTCATCAAGGCTAAGCTGTCTGGCGACGGCGAACGAGTCCGCGAACAGCGACTCGCCGCCATCGCACGAGTTCTGGAGACAGTGCAGGAGCTGGAATCCCGGCGGCTCGTTCATGTACATCAGGTCCATGTGGAAGCCCAGGAACTGGTTCGTGTAGGCGACGTTCTTGGCCTCGGGGACGGTGCGGACGTCCCACGTGGCGCCGTAGAAGGTGTTCCGGAGGGGCCCCATGCGGGTTGCGATCTTCTCGACCTCAGCGCGGGAGTCCGGGACGTCCTTGACGAAGAGGAGGCCGGTCTGGGCGAGGCCGCGCATGGCGCTGGAGAAGGCTTTGTCGTCGTGCATGTACTCCTCGTAGGAGACGAAGCGGTGCTTGAACCAGTTGTGCCACAGCAGACGCTTTCTCTTGCGGCCGGTGCTGTGGTAGGAGTAGTTTGCGCTGGGGTTTCGGAGCTGGTTGAGCGTGTATGTGGAGGTGTGCGACTCGTCGAACCCGGGGATGTCGTTCTCCCATTTCACTTTCAGGACGCTTCCGTCCCAGTCGGCGGAGCGCGGCTTGATGTCCGCTGGGATGTCCGACATGCGGAAATTGCGCTGCTTCGAGTGTTGGTCTACGCACTGGGGGCATTTGCAGCCGTCACGCAGCAGATAGTGCATGGCCGAGATATTCCCCTTCGCGGTGTGGATTCGGATGCCTTGGCGCCCAATTGAGGGGGGTGAGGGCTGGCTATTGCGAGTCTGAGGCTCTGGAGGCTCTACTAAACTTCGGATAGGATCCCCTTCAGGAACTCTTTTCGAGTTCGATCCGCGGGAGGCAGCATCTTCGGCGCCGCTGCTCGCAGCAGAGTAACCTCGAGAATAGAGCGGGCGAGCTGAGGGCACAGCAGTCCGAGAGGACCGAAGAAACGTTGCCAACAGACGAACCATACTGGGTCAATGGCACCGCCCAAGGGCACAAAATGCAGAAAGATATAAAGAAGAAGGGAAACGAGGGGATGTTGGAGAGAACATCACTCCATATGAAGGTTTTGGGAAAAAGCCGAGGTCCAAGCACCAAGCCGGTTCAGGGTTAGCGTGATGTTTTACTTTTTAACCATAAAAGTGCGGAGTAACCAGGCAAACTGCTGTACAATACCGTCCTGGTTATTTACCGCCGTATCGATAAGGTATTGAAACATGACCTCCCGTCTTTTTCATTTTTCTTTTTTTGAAGGGCAAATTTCTTAGAATAGATCGCAATCGATAACTGTTAGTAACCAGGAACAAGAAGAGCCAATCCAATGCATTGCTCGTTACCTAAGAACCTCTTTACGTATCGCTGACTTAATGGCAAATTTCCCATGAACTATTCAACCCATTGAACTCTTATAAATCCCCATTGTTTCCTAGCTCAATAAATTTCCACCCCAAAACGGGAAAGAAAAAGAGAAAAGAAAAAGAACATTGTCCATCCATTTACCCGGCGCCATCCGTTCCAGATCCCCGTATCCCATAATCAATCACATGCATGTCTGCCGGGGGAGAACACCTCAAGGATGAGGTAAGTCAATCAAATCGCCTTGGCTTTTTATTCCTTCCTCCACTCTCGTACTAAAGCGCAATGTGAATGAACAGGGCACGCGACGACAAGTCGTTCTCGCAGGCGGGATCGCAGGCCTGGTCTCCCGGTATGTCCCTGTCCTCAACACCAAAAACCTCAAACTCGACCTTAACTAACATTGAAGTCCAATAATAAAGATTCTGCGTCGCTCCCCTCGACGTCGTCAAAATCCGTCTCCAGCTCCAAATCCACTCCCTCTCCGACCCAACCTCACACCAGAACATAAAAGGCCCCGTCTACAAAGGCACGCTCCCCACGATCCGCTCCATATTCCGCGAAGAAGGGATAACAGTACGTCTTACGCGCAACTACATCCAACCCGGCAAATCCTTCTAACTCCAAAGACAGGGATTATGGAAAGGCAACATCCCCGCGGAACTAATGTACGTCTGTTACGGCGCCATCCAATTCGCCGCCTACCGAACCACCACGCAAGCCCTATCGCAACTAGACCCTTACCGGCTCCCTCCGCCGGCGGAATCCTTCGTCGCGGGTGCCACGGCCGGCGGGTTAGCCACGGCGTCGACGTACCCGCTTGATTTACTGCGCACACGGTTTGCAGCACAGGGCACAGAACGTGTGTATGCGTCGCTCTACGCGTCGGTGCGCGATATAGCGCGGAATGAGGGCCCGAGGGGGTTCTTTCGGGGATGTAGTGCCGCGGTCGGGCAGATTGTGCCCTATATGGGATTCTTTTTTGCGACGTACGAGTCCTTGCGGCCGGTGATGTCTGGATTGCATGATCTGCCGTTTGGGTCGGGGGATGCCGCAGCGGGAGTGGTGGCCAGCGTCTTAGCCAAGACGGGTGTTTTTCCGTTGGACCTGGTGCGGAAGAGGCTGCAGGTGCAGGGCCCGACACGCTCCAAGTATGTGCATCGGAATATCCCGGAGTACCAGGGGGTGTTCAACACCATGGCCATGATCGTGCGGACACAGGGGATGCGAGGGCTCTACCGCGGTTTGACGGTGAGTCTCTTCAAGGCTGCGCCGGCCAGTGCTGTGACGATGTGGACCTACGAGAAGTCGCTACATTATCTCCGCGAGCTTGAAGTGGCGGCGGAGTGATCACCGCCCCTTTAGACATTGATTAGATTGTACAGTATAGACTAATGCATTACCCGGTGTTCTGCTTGACGCCGATTGGATAATAGACTGGGAATGGGAACCCTCGCAGGAAATTAGATGTGTATTCGTATTTTACGCGCCATATTCTACCGACTGGCTACCGGACAAGAGTGGGAAATGGAACGAACGCTAGGGAAACAAGAAAACAGAAGGGGGTGTCGCAAGCACAAGGACGAGATACAATTTTGGCACAAAGTAGACAAGCCAAGAATCAAACCGACAAGCAGAGTGGGCGCCGAGTTGCAAGTCGATTAGTATTCAGGCTCTTCCTCCTCCAATGGCTCGCCATCGTTGGCAACCTCCTCGTAATCCTTCTCCAGGGCCGCGAGGTCCTCACGGGCCTCGGAGAACTCTCCCTCCTCCATACCCTCGCCGACATACCAGTGGACGAAGGCGCGTTTCGAGTACATGAGGTCGAACTTGTGGTCGAGACGGCCCCAGGCCTCGGCGATGGAAGTGGTGTTGGACAACATGCTGACGGAGCGATCGACGGGGGCGAGTTCGCTGTTGGGAACGCGCACGGGCTTCTGGTAGTTAATACCCAGCTTGAATCCGGTGGGGCACCATTCGACCAGGTTGAAGGAAGCCTTGGCCTTGACGGAGGCGATGGCCTGAGTGCAGTCACGGGGCACAACATCACCGCGGTACAGCAAAGCCACAGCCATGTACTTTCCGTTCCGAGGATCGCAGACAACCATCTGGTTGTTGGGCTCGAAGCCTAGGAGTAGTTGTCAGTCACACCGTGACATCAAAGGCACTTTGGGGGGGAACATTAGGGGCCCATACACTGGAAGGTGAGATCCTGCACCTTGAAGCTCTCATGAGAGCTGCGGTTGCTGGACACAACGGGGGCATAGGAGATCAACGGGTAGTGGATACGAGGGAAGGGCACCAAGTTGGTCTGGAATTCAGTCAAGTCGACGTTGAGGGCACCATCGAAACGCAGACTGGAGGTGATGGAGCTGACAACCTGAGCAATCAGACGGTTCAGATGCTCATAGCTCGGACGGGGGATGTCCAGGTTGCGACGGCAGATGTCGTAAACTGCCTCGTTGTCAACAAGGAATGTGCAGTCGGCATTCTCAATAGTGCTGTGGGTAGACAGCACAGCGTTATAGGGCTCAACAACAGCAGTCGAGACACGAGGGGAAGGGTAAACGGCGAACTCTAGCTTGGCCTTCTTGCCGTAGTCGGTGGAGAGGCGCTCCAGCAATAGAGCACCGAAACCAGAACCGGTACCACCACCGAACGAGTGGAAGACCAAGAAACCCTGCAGAGAGGAACAGTTGTCTGGCCCGATCAGCATAGGCTTATAATAAGGTCGGTCCATTAGTCTTACCGGCCACCCGGCGGACGCGATCAACGACACTGTCCACAAGCTCCTTTCCGATGGTATAGTGGCCACGAGCATCTGTGGTTTATCGATTAGCCTTTGCTTTCCACTGTTATTTTCTGTAGACCGCACAGTTGTTGGCTGCGTCTTCCTTTCCGCTTATCAACAGTTCAGGGTGGAAGAGCTGGCGGTAGGCACCGGTACGGATCTCATCAATAGGCTGGTGATAGTCAGCGGAACAGATTCATCGCAAGCATTCTGTTGTTTTCCTAGAAGGCGATTGCATACCGATGGGTCGAGGTCCACGAAGATGGAACGGGGGACGTATTTGCCGTTGCTGGTCTCAGTAAAAAAGGTCTCGAACGAACCGCCCGAGTTGACTTCCTCGGACGCCTCGGGGTCGATACGGCCATCAGCCTTGAGGCCATGCTCCAGAAGGTATCTGTATGGGTCGAGATTAGCTCAATTGCAACCCGGTTGCTACCCAGACGTGGGCTAGTTGAGAGTGGGGTATGTATATGTTGGCAACGGGAAAAGCGGTGAACGTACAACTCCCAAGCGCTGTTACCAAGCTGCGTACCAGCCTGGCCAATGTGGATGTGGCAAATCTAGAGATGAAGGACGGAGGTTAGAATCAATAGATGCACATCCATGGAAAAGGGTGATGCCCAGGCAAGATGAGCCCGAACGAGGTAAATGTCAACGGTCGTGGTTAAGGGGAGGGGCGTGACAATGCGGGGGAAGTAAATAAGCAAACGGCAGTAAATCCAGAGTGGTTCGTACCTCGCCTCTCATGATGGCTTAACGAGATGGTGATACGGGAGACGGGCGGAGCGACAGGATATGCCGGTGGTTGGATGGGAGAGAATTGGAAAAGAGTCAGGTGTAGCTTCAAGGAATCGAAGAGGAGAACAAGGAGAGAAGAGAAGAGAGAGCTAGTAAAGTGAAGGAGTAGTGGAGTGATAGTTCGGCGGTCGTTCTTGCCCGTGGGCCCAATAACAAGGCTGCATCAGCCAATCAACGGGTCTCCAGCCTCTCCTGATCCATCCACCGAGCGGATCATTACGTGACCCGTCAGAGCCCATCATGTTATGTTATTCCCTCTTCCATCTATCTTTCCCTATCAACCGAGTTTGATTTTGGCTGAAAATGGATGGCCAACAGTCAAAGACAGGACAAGACGAATTCTAAGTCAGAAATTTGACTTTCTATCTCCATAACGCTGGCCGTGAGGTTAAATTATCGGAGACAATCATGTACGAGTATATAATCAAGTCAGTACCGCTGAATCCCTATCTACAATGCCACATACAAGACGCATCATATACCCTATGACTTGCCTTACGAAGAGTATCCTGCTGTCTTCGCAGATTAGCTGCCGAACCGTCCACGGTGCTCTTGCACTTCTTTTTTTCGGGCTACTCAACTACACTACTAGTACTAACCTCAGGCCATCGGGCTATAGTTACCCGAACAAGCAATATCATACTCAAGCTGAACTGTAATCATTAGCATCCATCCCCAAGAGAACAACAATATCCTAAAGAATCTGATAGTCTCCTGGTTAGCCCGTCAGCAATAGAGGGGCGCTGACGGACGGTAAAAATGAAGCTTTTCTTCCTGGTTTAAGTAAACCTTTCGCAGCTGTACTTCTTATATTCTAGGTATCCGGAGTTAATGTTCTGTGTGGTATATCAAGTGGGTGAAGGAGAATAATAAGATATCCAGTGCATTCTGTTCGTTTTATCACTTTGTTCGGGGCGTATAAGCAAAAAGAGAAGTGACATCGATGTAGAAGTGTGTTATACAGTAAGAGATGGATGACCATGCGGGAATGGAGATTACCTGCGACGCAAGTTCGGAGGTATTGGCAGCTTTGGCAGCTTTGGCAGCTTTGAGTGTGAAGAATTCAATTCAGTTACTTGCCATGTTATGTAGACTGAACAAATGTTGAGGTTGTTGAGTAAGACTAATAGTAGCTTCCTAGATCACAGGGGTGATATTGATTTTCACTTCTCACGAAGAGATAGTCAAATATACAACTTAGTCATAGAACTCCGAAAGCAACCAGGATTGGACCTGCTGCCATTTTCTCGTGACCCTATGAATGAAAAGCCGCTATGCTATTGATAGTCATATATACAGAAAACTCACAGCGAGTGAAAAAAAAAAAAAAAAAAAAAAAAAAAAAAAAAAAAAAAAAAAAAAAAAGAAAAAAAAAGAAAAAAGAAAAAATAAAAATTGAGATGAGATATATATGAGAGAGAGAAGGGTGTGACAAATGTAAATACCAGCCAGCGTCACGTACAAGGCACGTGAATCATCCTTTGTAGATTTGATCCTCTGCATGCCATATCCCAGGGAGGTCAAAGCATCAATAGCATCACCTTTTTAAGGAACCTATTCCCCAGTCGTCTAACTTGCCAGAATGTGACCTAATGTGGACATGAAGATACACGGGGAGGAGACTAGTAGAGTATGAAGATCGCTGCTAACCGTTGATAACTTGGTGGTGGTGACTGGAGTAAGGCCCTTATTGGAAGGGGAAAGGTCAATATGCTTCCGATGCACGGATAGTCTATGTCGATCGTCATCCGAACTCGCCAAAACTATTTCTGTCACGCTCCACTTCTTCCAGTCTCGAAAATCGAGAGTCAAGACACATCGGCCCAGAACGAAGCCATGATTCACATAAAGGCCGGTATATATGGGTAGCGAACGCCAGACCAGTTGGTATGTACAGACTGTGATTGATACCCGGGTTCTTTACAAGGTCGTCCAGAATTTGCCTTCCACTATGACCTGATATCTTAAGCGTCTCTTGCCTAAACACCTGTATCCGGTAATGTTTCGTGGAGAAGAACAAAGTACATAGTGTCTGGAGGTGATTATAGGTATGCACTACTAGATAAGATAGCATACTGTTAAAAGCTCGCTAGAAGCGAGTAATTTGGCTGACCCTTTGAATTGCTTACACCGAGGGATTTCTTATGTCGGCGTTGCGTATAGCGAGATTCATAGTCGTGTCTCAGAGCTGTATTAATGGGGTACTATGCCCTTATGCCAGCATGTCGAGAACATGCGGTCATTATATTCCAGAGATTGATCCTTGTTATCAGACTGCATTCTGGGGGTATCTCTCAATATTCTGGGTAACTATGATCCACGTGCTCTTTGGGAAATGTGGGGATGGAACCTATGCACCATATCTCGGTTTATGGGCATCATATGGCCCATGACCATGCCATGTGGAGCAGATTGCGAGGTATATATCACAGTACCCCGTATGCGATTGTTTTCAGGTCTTGAGCATATCACGGCGTGCATAGAATACCATGGTGGTACACTTCGCTTATGCACTTCTTAGTAAAGAAAGTTTCTGATGGGGCGATCCATTGTTCGAGTGCCTATCAAGATTTGGTACAGAATCGTCACAGAAGAATCTTCCGTTGACTGGTTGATCGGAGCGGGGAACAACACGTCAACAATTCCATCGCATGGAGACTTTCAATTAACAATCAATCCATCGAGGTGGATGTTGGGGGGTGCTACTATGTAATGTTTTCGTTGCACTATACCACCTATGGATGGTAGTGCTCGGGAAGGT